TCTTCTTCTTCTTCTTCTTCTTCTTCTTCTTCTTCTTCTTCTTCTTCTTCTTCTTCTTCTTCTTCTTCTTCTTCTCTTCTTCTTCATCATCATCATTTGTATTAGCAAATGGGAGTGAGCAAAACAAAGAAATTCCTTTCAGTGGGAGAGAAGGATCATAAATATACAATTGACATAAACAGAAAAAGATGACTGACTGTCTCTGTCTGCCTCTCTTGCTCATTCTGTCTGTACACAAACCCTGCATGAAAACATCTATATAATGTATATAAACATACAATGTGTATATATGCACATATATGCTAATTCAGGAATGAAAATACCATGTTTAATACATATTGATATCTTTTCCTGTCTTCGCTCTTGAATGCTTGCACTCATGGGTGATGTAGGACAGACACTGGACATTTACCCCATACGTAGCCTTATATTCAGTCATCAAACTTCCTTTTCTGTTAACTTTTTCTTTTAACGTCTCTTTCATATTGTTTTTACTTTTTATTGGGGGGTACTTAAGTATGTTTATGATTTACTATCCATTGAAAATTCTCTTAAAAGAGAATTTGAAGATTGTTAAAATTAGAGAATGAGAGGGTAGAGTCTAAATCATTGACCCCTTTTCTTAATGCTGTTTTCTGATTTTTGAAAAATGGGCCAAAAGAAGGAGCAGTAGGAATCACAGTAGGATTCATGTTGGGCCAGAGGTAAGATGGGATTTGAGGACTGACTGTTTCTGCCACTGTCTCTCCTTCCCACCATGAGCTAGTCAGCAAACCAGCAATGCGTGTAAATTTTGAATTGTGCTTTTTTAGATGACTACATTATGGGTACAGAAGTATCTTCCTTTAAAGAATCATTTTCATTTTATAAACCTATTATTCTAGTGTCTCCTTAGACACCAGCATATTACAGTACATAGGGAAATTCAGAGTCCTTAGCTATAGCTAAACAACATATCTTCCCCAAAATCCTATCAGGAGGTGTAGAAAGGAGGTGATCCATAGACCATACGATCCAGGCCATACTGTGAGCGTCATTTCAGAAAAAAAAATGGCCTCCTTTCCTGTCTTACTCTATTGAAGCATTAAACAAAACTGACCATGGTTATACTTCACGGTGAACAGAGTGTTTCTTCTTTTATTTTTCAGGTCATTCATTCTGGGCAGAAGTTAAGGAAAAAGTCTGCTGAGGCAGGCGAGAAACGTGGCTGGTTTAGTGGGTTTTGGGGAAAGAAAGAGTCCAAGAAGAAAGATGAGGACTCATTGATCCCTGAAAGTAAGTTTCAAGACAGACAGTCCTCATGCACTGATGAGGAAAAGCCATGCAGGCTGCTTCCCACACCCAGCAGAGGAACACGTGACCACATGAACACATATGACAGGCTATGTACATTGATCCAGCAAAGGAACACATGCACATGTATGACAGACTACATAGTTGCTTTGTGTATCTACCTAGAGTTGAACTTGGAATTCTTGAAAAATGACTTGTGAGAGATTTAACATGTTCCTGCTTAGAGGTCTCAGCATTCTATATTCCTTCTTGTTAACTTTGAGATAGATTTTAATCACAGGTTAAAGTTTTGAAATTTTTAGTGAATTTAAAAATATGTATATCTGAGAGCTGAATTTTCTTAACAGAGAGTGTCTTTTTACTGTTTCTTAACATAAACATCAAATACAGGGTGTTTGTTTTAGGTAAGCCAAAGTGATGTGTTAAAATGAATTTGTTAGCTGGTGTGTTAAAATGAATTTGGTAGTTGATTTTGCTTTAGCATTTGTGTCTGTGATCTTTTCCCCCCAACCTAATATTTTTATTGATTGTTTAAAAAGATATCTTTAAAACCAAAGCCATTCATTTCCTAAATGACTGTCTTGTATTATAGCCATCGATGACCTTATGACTCCAGAGGAGAAAGAAAAGTTCTTCACTGCCATTGGCTACAGTGAGAGCACCTACAACTTTGCTTTGCCCAAGCAAGTAGGTGTCGGGAGCCTTCACAAGTGTCTTGCTTGATTCATTTGCTGGGTTATCTTGACTTGGGTTAAATTAGTGATGTTCTGAGTAGCTACTGGAAAGTTGTTGTCCTTAGTGTAGTTGCCGTATGCTGTTCTGGGGCTGTACCAGTGAAATTCCTCAACTGTAGGGTGGCTTGATTTAACGAGTGAAGGAAGAACCTGGTGAAAGTCCTTGTTAGAGCGAGTGGTTGAACCTTTAAGACGTTTTTATTGTGAAGTTTAACTCTTAACCAAAATGAACAGAACAAAAACATCCTTCATATTTGACAGGTTGAAAAGTCACTGGCTACAGTGACTATCAGTATCAAGGTTTAGAATATTGTACCCTCCTTGAACCTCCTACACCTCCCCTCGTCTCTTCCCAGAGATAACCAGTGTCCTGATTATGAACACAGTCACTTCTTCCATTTCCTGTGTGTTTTGCTATAGACACCCCATGATTTTGTTCTACAGAATATTTGTCTTTCTGTAAATGGAAGCACAAAGCGTGTTTTCTTTTGTCTGGCTTTATCCTTGGGGCCGTCTCTGCTGTTGCACCCAATATATTTTTGCTCATTTTCATTGCTATGTAGGATTCTATCATTTGAAAATCCGGAATTTGCTTATTTGTGCTTTTGTTGAAAAGCATTTGGGTTACCTTTTTTCCTTCCTTCCTTCCTTCCTTCTTTTTTTAAAAAAAACAAAACTGTGTGTTTTCATTCCTACTGAGTAAATACCTAGGAGTGAATTGTTGGCTCATAGGGTAGATGTATGTATAACTTACAGACAAAAAAGAAGTTTCCCAAGCATACTGCTTGTGATGGCTGCTCTTCATGTTGACGTTTAGCTGTTCTACGGAGATAGCTGCTTTCCTGCTGTATTTTTAATTTACTGTTTTCCTGATAATGATGTTGAACATGTTCCCATGGCTCGTTGGCCATCCTGTATGTTCATTGTAAGTACACATTTTAAGTGAAGTGGTTTGTCCTTCCACTGCTGTCTGTGGGACACTGCGAATTTACTTACAAGTCTTCTATCCTTTGTACTTGTGTACAACTTTTAGAATTATCTTGTACTTTCAGGAAAACATGCTGCTGTAGTGCTGTTAGAGATCATGTTGACTCCAGTGTAGAAGGAGCAGTGGGAAGTTTTTCGTCCCGCCTGGCTCCCAGCCACCTGGCTAGCTAGCTTATACCCCGAAATAACAACACACAAATTGTGTTCATTTAAACACTGCCTGGCTCATTACCTCCAGCCTCTTATTGGCTAACTCTCACATATTGATTCAACCCATTTCTAATAATCTGTATCCTACCACGAGGTCGTGGTTTACCGGGAAAGATTCAGCATGTCTGACCTGGTAGCTTCATGGCGGGCAGCTCTCTGACTCTGCTTCTTTCTCCCAGCATTCTGTTCTGTCTACTCTGTCTATCTAAGCTGCTGTCCTATCAAGGGCCAAGGCAGTCTCTTTATTAACCAACGAAAGTAACACATACACCACTCCAGAGATGATTTTGGGGAGATGAGAAGGGTCATTGAATCGCATATTGTGTCCCCTCACTGACCAGTGGTCACTGACCATTGTCCTTATTTCCCTTCTCTGAGTGATGTCTGTTGTTTGGTTCCCTCTAATGAAGATATGATTATAATTAGTTTTCTAAATTTTTGCTGTTTTTTTTCCTGAAAATAACTATTATTTTCTCTTGTATCTTAAGGATACATCCCCTACTCTTGTATTTCCACCCCACCCCCATCCTCCCTGTCTCTGATTACTCACTAAGTCTAGTGTTGCTCATGTAAGATAGGGGGCCATCTAGTGGAGAAAGTTTTTCTTCTCCATCTAGTGGAGAAGATTTTTAGTATTTACTGTGATAAAATTTATACTTGCTTTTGCTCATGTAGTTTGACTGTCCCAGGTCTCACCAGTCTCACAGGTCTCACCAACTCTTCCCTTCTCCTTTGGGACTTCGGATGTGAGCTGTGCCTCTGTGGTGTCTTCTGTTCCCTTTTCAGCTCTCTGTATTTCTCATTTTTCCACTTTTCATTTGAAGAGTTTCCTCTGATTCTTTTTTTTCCATTCAAATATTTACACTTCCTTCCCTCCTCCCAGTCCCCTCCTGTTCCCCCAATCACTCTCCTCCTTCCCCCTCCCTGCTTCAGAGAGGGCAGGGAACCCTGCCCTGTGGGAAGTCCAAGGCCCTCCCTCCTACATCCAGGCCTAGGAAACTGTGCATCCATATAGACTAGGGTCCCAAAAAGCCAGTACATGAAGTAGAAATAAGCCTCAGTGCCTTTATCAAAGGCTTCTCAGTCAGCCCCCATTGTCAGCCACAATTTGATCACATGCTCGTTCAGACCCAGTCCAGCTGTATTTGGTGAGCTGCCAAATACACTGCCTCAGTTGGTGGACCAACCACTCGCAGTCCTGACTCCCTTGCTCATCTTCTTCCTCCTTCTGCCCATCAGCTAGACCTTGGGAGCTTAGTCCGTTGCTCTGATGAGGGTCTCTGTCTCTATCTCCATCCATTGCCTGACGAATATTCTATGGTGATATTCGAGATAATCATCAGCGTGATAGTGAGGCAAGGACAGTTCAGGCACCCTCTACTTTGCTGTCCAAGGACCTAGCTGGGACATCTCCGTGGACACCTGGGATCCCCTCTAGAGCCAAGTCTCTTGCCAACCCTAAAATGGCTCCCTTAATGTAGACATCTTCTTCCCTGCTCCTATATCTGCCCTTCCTCCATCTCCACCCTCTGACTCCCCCAAGCTCTCGCCAGTCTTTGTTCCTGTGTCTCAACCAGACCAGAGGATGTTTCTTCAGCGCCACTGCCTTGTGCTAGGACTGATTTCTAGTATCTTCCTGGCGAGTCTCATTTCATAGGCTGTCTTCATGCTCGTAAAAGTTCAAATGCTTCGAGGGGAAACAAATCCCCAAATTCCACATTGTCTGTCCAGTGGTTGTCTGTCCTAAGTATATTTTTGGTTTGGAGTATCCTCACACATGCATGTGCATGTATGTGTATAATGGGTGTGTGTGCCTGTGCATGTGCATTGTGCATGTGTGTATGTGTGTGTACTGTGTACTGTGGATGTAAATTTCTACAGCTGTCCAGCAGGTATTTTTGTCTACAGTTTTTCTTCTACTCTGCTAGTGGACTGGCTTGCTTAGTTTGCATAAGTGAGAGCTTCTCAGTGGAAATTTTCTCCCTCTGAAAGTTTTGTCGCGGTTTTTTTTAAAACTAAGCAAACGAATTTAGATGTTTGTAAGTGTGATAGTTGTCCAAGTCAGCTTTTATTGAGTTTTCTAGTCTTGTTCAATTATGGAGAGTATGTGGTGCTGGAACTTGTAAGTTTTGTTGAGTCATTTGATAATTCACCATGTTTAATTAAGATGAAGCCATTAAAGCTAGAATTCATTCACATGATAACTGTCCTCATTCTTCCCCCTGTTTAGTATGTGGCCCATATACTGACTCTGAAGTTGGTGAGCACCTCTATCATAATAAGAGAAAACAGGAATGTTCCAGAAATCCTGAGAATTCAGATAATTGGCTTGGGTACCCAAGTATCCCAGCGGCCAGGAGCACAAGCACTTAAGTAAGCTTTTAAGAACTTAACTTCATTTTCATTACATTTATAGTTGTAGGCCCCAAGTATATAATCTTATGCAGCATGAAAGAAAACTTGTTTATGTTTTATGGTAAACGGTGTAAGTCACTGTTCTACCCTCCCTCCTTGCCTCTGCGCGTGCTTGCCAGGCGGTATTTTATTTAGAGTGTCTGTTCTGTGGTAGCTGTTTAGGGGATAGTACATTTTTGTTTTTGAGACTCTTACATTGTATTATAGAAGAGTATATAAAAAAACCCATTCAAGACTATTTAACACATTAGACAACTTACCGTCGAGCATGGTGTGAAATGCCTGCAGTTGGACTACATGGCTCAGTTGTGGGCAGGAGAAACTGAAGCAGTAGGAGGTGTAGGCGGCTGGATGGGAAGGATGCCAGGAGAAGCAGGGGGAGGATGTGGGAGTGGCGTGGAAACAGGGTGATGGTATTGTCTGTGTTTAAACACGTGACCAGAACTTGTGCCCTGTGCTAGGAGCATGATAAATAGCTAATAAGACAGTGGCTGACGGCACAGAAGCAGGTTTTGTAGGTAAGTGAAGGCCAGCCTAAGAAGATAAAGTGTAGCTTCGGGCATAGGGATGGTTTTCAAAGGCGTTTCAAAGGAATTGCTATATTTTTTTTTACATGCTTGCTTTTCCCTTATTGAATAGGATAGAAGCAAAATTAGAACATTGGTACGTCACCGGCTTGCGACAACAAGACATTGTGCCGTCGCTGGTGGCTTCCATTGGCGATACTTCATCATCCTTGCTCAAAATTGAGTTTGAAACCAACCCTGAGAGCAGTCCTGCTGATCAGACTCTGCTCGTCCAGTCCCAGCCTGTGGAGGTCATCTATGACGCTGTGAGTACAGGCGGGAAGTGTCCTTGAAAGCTGTCGCTAGGGCTGGGGAGATGACTACATCTGTGCACTTGGTATGCAAACATGAGGCCCTTTTGAATCTTCCGCTAAAACATTCTCATGGGCATGCATGTGCCTGTAGCCTAGCACTGTGGGAGATGGGCAGGAGGATTGCTGGGACTTGTTGGCTGCCAGTCTAGCTTCATGTTCAGTGAGAAGCCCTGTCTCAAGGGAAGAAGGCAGAGAATAACAGAACAGGATAGCATGTTCTCTGACCTATGCACACGTGCATGGGTGTACTCTCCTGCATGCACACATGATTACGTATTACATATACATACACCATTTACACACACACACACAAATAAATTTTAAAAGTTTTTTTTTTTTTTTAGCATTCAAAGGATGGCTCGGTGGGTAAAAACATTTGCCATGCAAGCCTAATGACCTGAGTTCAATTGCTGGAACCCATGTAAGGGCAGTAGGAGAGAACTGACTCCATAGAACTGGCCTTTGAACCCCATACATGTACTATGATATACGTGTGTGTGTGTGTGTGTGTGTGTGTATGTATGTGTGTCTGTGTGTACAAGCACTCATATGTAAATGATAAAATAAAGTAAAAAACATTTTATACTATAGTTGCACACACATGACAAAATTTACCATCTTACACATTTAAGATTGTGGTTCAGTTTGTTTAGCACATTCACAACTGTAAAACTGATCTCCAGCACTTTCTTCCTCATATAAAATCTGATATTTTTATATTCAAGTTTTATATGTAGGTAAGAGTTAACAGCTTTCCCGGTTTCTTCTCTAAATGTCAAAGAATGGCAGAATCTAAGTACAGTGTTGAGGGATGGGGTTTCTACTGGAGGCCAAAACTAGAGATCTTGTCGGTTACATGCCCTGTAGACCTCTGCCATGTGTGCAGGCTTTCCTCTCAGTAAGCCAACTGGGCTATCCTTGCTCACCGGTGTTTCTCACTCCTCAAGGGAATGTAGAGAATATTTTTGGATTCCTTAGTTCAAAGCCACAGCTATTTATAATTGAGGTAAATCCTTTAGATTTTAACAGAGATTTAACATATAACCTGTTGTGTTTTAAAATTCTTTTTACAGAAAACTATCAATGCTATAGTTGAATTTTTTCAGTCAGATAAGGGGCTGGATCTTGAGCAAATTACATCAGCTACATTGATGAAGCTGGAAGAGATTAAGGAGAGAACAGCTACAGGTGAAATTTTCAGTGTTGTCTGTCTGCACCAACTAAACTTGAAACTTGGCCATTGTAATGGAAGCGTTGTGTTTGGTTTAGGTTGTATTTCTCTTTTAAAATTGGGCTGTGTTCTGTGGCTATGTCAGAGCTGTAGAACTTGCTGTGCTGCCCGAGAATGGGAGTAGTGGAGGGTGCAGATGTTTCTGTCTCCCTTCCGTCCAAGATCCTGTGCCTAGGAATGATCTCTGTGGACCGACCCTCCACCTCCATTCTTCAACCCACTCACTGTACTGTGCATGCCTAGTGTTAAAGAACCCAGCAGACTATTTCATAAGGTTGAAAAGCCATGGAAACAAATCATTCTAATGCCTAAACAAAATGCTAGTTATATAAGATTTGCTCTGTTATGTGTATATTCTATGGGATGTTTGTTTTCTATCAACTTAATGTAGTTTTTGCTTTACATAATTAATTGAGAACCTAATTTTTGACAGAATTGACACTAATGTCAAGTAAAATTCTCAGTCTTTTTGGTAGACAGATTGACCATATCATTTTTTCCCTGACTTTCTTTTAGGACTTACACATATTATTGAGACTCGGAAAGTCCTCGATTTAAGGATAAATCTAAAGCCTTCTTATCTAATAATTCCACAGACAGGTTTTCACCATGAAAAGTCAAATCTTCTCATTTTAGACTTTGGTACTTTTCAGGTAGGTATATGTGTACTTTTTTCTTTCTGTCTTTGACAAGCTTGGTAACTGTGATAGCTTGCTGCTTTTCTTCAGTTCACTTAAATTAAGTCTAGACTTATCTCACACATATTGTTATATGGCTACCCAGACCAAAAAAAATGTCATTAGAAATTCCTGTAATGACAAAAATTTGGCTTTGAGGCCTGGATGGATGATTTTTCTGCTTTTCTAATCGGAGAGAAACCATCTTTGTTTTCATGGTTTATAGAGTTTAATTTTACAGTATCATTTTTTGGGCCATATATTTGACAGAAAATTATCTATATACACATATATATTTAATATATATAATTTATTTCATATATTTATATATACATAGCATGTTATATTATGTATATATATCATACATTTATATTTGATTGCGCTAAGGAATCTAGAGTGGGAATTTGGATTTTTCATCCTGTTAAGCCTAAACATTTGGCAAAAGGTCACAGTTAAGCTGATTTGAGCCTTGATTCCATCTGGGAAGGGGTAAAGGAAGTAAGTTGGAGCCGAGTCCTTAGTTCATGGTGGGCAGTAGCAGAGACGAGCCATAGCTGGCAGTACTTCTTAGGAGTCAGGCAGAGGAAGGAGCTTTCCTTCTTGACAGGACATTTGAAGCACACAACTGTGTAATTGGCTCAGCATCTCTTGCTCACACACAGCAGACATGTGGCGAGGTAATGTATTCCTAACAAACTGCTTCCAAATCACCAGGGAACTAGGCAGGATATGAGCTCATTAAGGCAATCTCCTATCTTCAGTTAGAAGTTTTGAAATTTGACCAAAGCGTGTTGATATATATGTATGTATACTTTATGTTATATGAAAATATTCAGTTTTTTTTCTTCACTTCTTTTTAGCTCAACAGTAAAGACCAAGGTACACAGAAGACGACTAATTCATCTCTGGAAGAAATAATAGACAAGGCATATGACAAGTTTGATGTGGAGATAAAGAGTGTGCAGTTGCTATTTGCAAAAGCAGGTCAGCCACCGCTCAGGTCTTAGGGTGGTCCGATTAACTCCAGTAGCTTTGGGGGTGTGCGTATATGCATTATTAGGCTTGGCAGTGTGTGTGCATGGGTCTGTCTGCTCATGGGCATCAATCCCAGCCACTGTCCTGTACACTTGTCCTGCTGATCACCTCAGAAAACCCAGTAGGAGTAGCCTAGTGCATAATGCCATAGTTATAACAGAAGTTGACACTGGACTATTAATCCTAGGCTACCCAGGACCATTTAAACCTAAGCGTGTGCATGGCCTCTGTCTGTAGCATGACTGAGCTGTCAGGACACAGCAGAAGATACAGTTGGTTCAAACTCTTCTGTCCTAAGGCTTTGAGCTGTTTCTATGTTCCCTGTGCTGTCTATATTTGAAAATGTTTACTGATTTAGTCTGGTCTTTAATTTTTGCTTTGTTATAACTACTTTTATAGGTATCTGAGAAACATATTTAAAGAATACTACATCTAAAAATACTATAGTAACCTTTCTTGATCTAAAAATCCTCTGACGTATGCTATTCCAAAAATCTGAACCATTTTGAATGCTGATATGATGCCACAAGTGAAGAATTCCAAATGTAATCTCAGATATGAACTGCACTTAAACACACATGTCCTGCAGATGCCAAATGGCTTACATGTAGGATGTGTGTGTAACACAGGCAGACTTTGTCGTTAGCCTTAGGTCCCATCCCTAGGATAGATATCTCATTTTATATATGTGTGTATTCTCAGATCTGAAATTTGAGATAGCTTCTCTGTTCTACCACATTTTCACTATAGATACTCATCTTTTAGATACATTCTTGAAACTTAAAAAATAGTTTATTTTCTCACAGATTTGGTGGGTTTTTTTTTTTTGTTGTTGTTGCTTAAGTACAGCTTTTTGGTCCACCATATTCCTTCAGTAGAAGAAGTAAGTATTGATTAAATATCTTTGAGCATGTCACATTTTGTGGAAAGTCACCTGAGGATGTACTCTCTGCAGACAGAGGCTATGCACAAGCTTAGGTTTGTGCATAGTGAGATCTTTAACATTAAGGTAACATGTCTGCTTGGTGCCTGTCAAGAGCCTTAGAGGTTCTTAAAGGAGAGTATTAACACAGACAATAAACACTACTTTTCCTTTTGCGTGTCCTCACAAATAATTATTTGAATAATGAGCTCTTCAGTCCCTGGATAAAGGTCTGTGTTAGCCACATGGAAAATACGTCTTTAGAATCTTCTTTTTGGAAAATAGTAGTTATTACACAGCAGTCTTTTTTTTTTTTTGATAACGTTTTCATCTTCTACCAGTCTGTATTAAAATACAGATTATTTAGTTTATATGCCGAAGGGAGTAAAAGTTCAATAAATTTGTTAAGTATTTTCTAGTAATGTAAAGTGATTTTGCACAGAATATCTGACAGTTGTAAAAAAAGTTATTTACTATTTGAATTTTTACTTTTAAAGAGGAAAACTGGAAAAAGTGTAGATTCCAACATCCATCAACTATGCACATATTACAACCCATGGATATTCATGTAGAGTTGGCCAAGGCAATGGTGGAGAAGGATGTTAGAATGGCCAGGTATGTATGTGTGTCTTGTATTAGAAATCAGCAGGGGTGCTACATCTGTGTCAGCTACTGAAGTTTAAGGAAACAGAGTTGGATATACATTGGGGAGGAAATCACAGTGATTATTCTATGTTCTAGCACAAACACATTTTAAAGAAAATACTTATTTGTATAATATGCTGTGCTGGCTAGTTTTATGTCAACTTGACACAAGCCAGAGTCATTTCAGAGAACCTTCATTGAGAAAATGCCTACATAAGATGTGCCTGTAGGGGAGCTTGTAGGGAATTTTCTTACTTAGTGATTGGTGGAGGAGAGCCCAGCCCATTGATAATGGGACCACCCATGGGCTGATGATCTGGGGTGGGGAGCAAGCACTCTTCATGACCTGTGCGTCAGCCCCTGCCTCCTGGTTCTTGTCCTATTTGAGTTCCTGTCCTGACTTCCTTTGATGATGGACAGTGATATGCAAGTGTAAGCCAAATAAACCCTTTCACCCCCAAGTTACTTTGGGTCATGGTGTTTCATCACAGCTATGATAATCCTGAGTAAGACATATGCTGTCTCTCTTACTTCAGAATTTGTATTTAGATTTTTACATTCTTAAAAATTTGTTATCTGATATTCTGAATATGTGAAAGTCAAGATTCATTAATTAGAGACCTTTTCTTTTTTCCTAATAGTGACAGTTAATGCTGAGAATTTTACTTAGAAACTGTTGCATTGAATGCCAGCTGGTAACCCATTTGAGAGTTAGGCATCTGCTGACTTGAGCTGTTCACAGCTTAGCCGGGGAGCTGGAGGATAAGCTGAAGGAGCTTGTGAGAAGCTTGTGGTCAGGACAGCTAGGAGACAGACAGGAGGCAGCTCCGTCCTGTAAGGAAGGAGGACAAAGCAGCTGCCGCGGGGCAGATGAGTGATGAAAGCAGGCTAGATACTCAGCCGCATAACACACGACCTCAGGGAGTTTGCATGCCAATATGAAGGGACAGGAAATAAGACATCACTTGTCCCATATCCGGTGCTGCCAAGTGCAACAGATAAACAGAGCAGGGCAAGACAATGTGATAGAGAGCAACCAGGCAGATACTCAGGTATTAGTTAATAGAAAGGACTCTTTGATGCTAGGAAATAAAAATACATAATGTGGTTTTGGGTTTTAAAAATAGAGAGCTGTGCTCAAAAGGACTTTTATAGTGTATTACTTAACTTTAAAGGACTCTGTGTTAGTGCACCCCCCTTATGGCACCCAGGAGCCAAAGAGTCTGTGAGTTGAGGCTGGCTTGATCTGCACAGCAAGCTCCAGGCTAGCTGGGGCTACATAGTGACACCCTATTTTTTTAAAAAAGTTCATTGAAAGAGGTTTACTGCTTATGTAAGATATATGTAGGTGGTCTGAAAGTTGGCTCTCAGTGAACTCCCCTTCCCTAAGAGTGCGTCTAAGTGTGATGGGTTGAAACACGGCTGGCTGGCCAGCCAGTGACCTCACCATGTCATCTCCTGTTCATTTGCTTCTCCTCCCTGAGACCTCACAGTCAAATTGTATTTTTAGATTTAAAGTGTCAGGAGGATTGCCTTTGATGCATGTGAGGATTTCTGACCAGAAGATAAAAGATACGCTGTGTTTGATTAATAGTATACCCTTGCCACAGAAGTCGTCCACACAGTCTCCAGAGAGACAGGTGAGTATGTCATTGTAGTAAAATGGCAAGTCAATGCCACGTGTTTAGGAAACCACACTTTCAGAGTAGTTCTGATTGTTTAAGGGCAGGTTTTCTAGCCAAAACGATCAAAGATGCAGAAATGGAGCTTGCATAGACAGGCAGATCTCTGATTTCAAGGCCAGCCTGGTCTACAAAGGAAGTTGCAGGCCAGGTAGGGCTACATAGTGAGACTCTGTCTCTAAACAAACAAACTAAACTAAAAAACAGCAGAAATGAAAGGAAAATGTCAATCACATTTGTAAAATATATTTTATATAGAACTAGAAATATAAAGTTTTAAAATACATTTGCAAATAAAATACCTATTCAAAATTACCCCTGTTTGGTGAGTCTTAAATGTTCTAGGTCACTTTAATTGGAATAATCTTTGTAGCTTGAAATAAATGTTGGATTTCCACTTACTTAAAAAAGGAGTTTGAGAAAGTTAACAGATAATGATGCCATTATCATGAGCCCTATGATACTTATGTACTTTTATATTGTTACTCACAGCAACTAAATGATACATGATGATTCATAGACTTATTTACTTGATTTGTACATAATTTTATCTTTAAAATGTGTCTAGTGATTTTAATACTTTGTAAATTCCAGCTGACCATTCTTTGATTGCATTAGTTTCTTGAGGATTTGACTGTGACGAATATGTACATATCTTCCCATCTTCCTCTGTCCTCTGTTGCTCTTTGGTATGTAGAGATATCTCATCTGCAGTATTTAGTTCTTCTTTCCAGCGTGCATTAAAACACATTTTGTGTTCTTTGTTAGGTAGCCTCGATTCCTGTTCTTTCAGGTGGGACGAAAGGTCTTCTTGGCACTTCACTGTTGCTGGATGGATTGGAATCAGGTGAAAACCAGAAAATACTGTTTCTCTGTGAAGCTAAACCTGCACATGGTTATGTAGTGTGAGTGTTTGCAGAAAATAAGGAGTCCTGAAAGCACCATCCTGTCTGTGCTGCGGTCTCACTGGATAAATGAAGAGTTTTCTTATTAAGGGAGGGTGATGGAGTTAGCAGTGTTTTCCAAATATTTAAATAAGTTGTTGTATTTCTCTGTGGTACTTTCATCTAACCAGGACTAAGTGATGCATCACAATTTCAAATTAGAATATAGAATGCAAACTTTGTAGTAGAGACAAGGTCAAGGCCTGGCCACTCCAGTGCCCATAGTGGCAGCCACATCCTGATACATGGCAGATGATACCCAATAAATATTTGCTGAATGGCAAGTGAATGAACTGAGTTGGCAAACAGTAACTTCTGAAAAGATGGTAGAGTGCTGTTTGGTTCGAGTCACTTTAGGACTCAGAAAATTGCAAATATTTTGTCTCAATGAGGATTCATGCATGAATGGCCTTTGTTAGGCTTAGTGTCTGTATGGGTTCTCAGTGGATGTTGTCTGGGCTGATGTGTGTCTCTTTGCTTTAGAGTCTGATGACGAGTATTTTGATGCTGAGGACGGAGATTTGCAGACTGCTAGAACTGTGAAAGCCTCAGAACTGAAAAAAGCCTCTGAGGTTCCAAATGAGGAGCTGGTTAACCTTCTGCTCAAGTTTGAGATTAAAGAGGTATGTGCTTTTCTGTTCATGAACATGTTCCTGTTAGTGTTCCGTACACATGTGTTAGAAATGTGGTGTTCTCATTTCTTTTCCCCCCATACACACAGTTTCTGAACTATGAAGAGTGTTTTAAAAAATGGTTTAAGGGGGATCCATGTGTGTGTAATCTATTCTGGAAAAGCTCAGGTCTCTTAATTAGGATTTGCATTTCTGTGTAAATTTTGTTTTTTTTGTGTGTGGATGCATATATCACCCCCACCCCTTAAAAATTAAGCTCTCTTAAATTTTTTTAAGATAGAGTTTTGCTGTCTATTCCAGTCTTCCTTTGAACTGACTATCTCACTGTATAGCCCAGGCTTTCTTTGAATGTGTGACGTTCATCCTGCCTCTAGCAGTCCCTCTCAAGTGCTGAGATTATAGGCATTTGCTACCACATGCAATGTGACTTCCCCTTGAGCTAAAGAGTACTTGTCTTTGTAATGCATGCATAATGTGGAAGAAGTTAGCAAACTTTCATTTTTTTTTTTTTTGCCTTTAAAAGTCATGTAGAAAGCCAAGCATGGTGGCATAGGCCTGTACTCCCAGTTTTCCAGAAGACTGAGGCAGGAGGATTACAACTTCAGGCTCTGCTGGAGATGTAGGCCTTCCTGGTCAGTTTAGCAAGACCCTGTTTCACAATAAGCAAGCAAAACAAAAGAAAAAAAAAAGAAAATCAAAAAGGTGTGGGGGTAGGATTGACAGGAGACAGAGCTGGAATGTGTGGGGCACGCTGCTTAGATCTTGTGAAGCCCTAGCTTCAGTCCTGAGACCTGTGTTTAGAGTAGCCACATAGAAAAAGAAAACTTGATGAGATGTTTACAGCATATTTTGGTGGTAAAAGAGATTTTGGTATACAGGTATATTATTTTGTTTAGTTACACGTATATATTTTCTTTTATAAATGACAGTGTTCATCTCCAAGTTGATGGAATTGCAGCCTTTCATTTTCACCTTTGCTTTTCTATGCTCTAAAAATTTTTATAATATTTTTTATCACTTTAATAATAAAGTGCAAAATAATACAAAGATTACTTTGATATTCCAGAATGACAGCCTTTCCTAAGTCATCATGTCAGATTTGATACATCTGAACGTTATTGGTATCTTCGTAGTCTGTTTCCAACCCTTGGCTTTTGACCTGTTTGTGTTTCCTACTTTGACCCCTGTCTTCAGATGCTTCCAGGTGCTCTTCCTTTCTGCTGCTGGACCACCCCGGCCACCATCATTTCTTATTTGTCGTTTAAAAATGGCCTCACCTGTTTTGATTTTTTTTTCATGGGCTGAATATTTTGACTGTCATTTCCAAAATTAATTTAAATGCCACAGGAACAAACACTCTCACTTTTTGCTTTACTGGGACTGCTGCTATCAGAAGAATCTATCAATTTGTTTTTTATCGAAGTTTAAAAAAGCAGATGTAAGAACCATAGCCTTGTTTATGTGTGTTTGCAGTCCTGACGCTAGAATTCGAGGATAATCCCAGACTTTGTGTCTGGTGTGAGAGTGTGGTTAGAGTCTTCGCTCTTGCATTGTGTGTGGGGAAAGACTTTGTTTCTGTCACTTTAAGGATGACTGGCTTACCAGCAACTTTCTTTCCACTGCCCCATGGATTCTTGTAGGTGATTTTGGAACTCACTAAACAACAGAAAGAAGAAGAGACAATTTTAGTATTTAATGTCACCCAGTTAGGGACAGAAGCAACAATGAGGACATTTGATCTGACTGCAGTGTCCTATTTGAGAAAAATCAGCTTGGATTACCATGAAATTAAAGGTAATGGCCATGAAAATAGAAACAGCACTCAGGAGTAAAAATAGCACCCTTGTGTGTCTGGAATAGTTTCGTTTATAATGAAATACTTCGTTTCATTGTAATTGGTATAATAACCACACTGTTCTAACACTTTGTGACTACTAACTCCATTCTAGACCATGGCTATGAGACATCCATGTTACTGTCTTCAGTTCACATGTAACATGCAGATGGTCCTTCACTCAAGCTTAAACAACTGTGCGTGATAGAACCCTGGCTGGAACACTGGAAGCCTGGCTCTGGGATCTGGCAGCCTCAGACACTGTGGTTCATCCCCTCAGAGTCCAGGAAAGCCCACAGATGTTAGGGAATATCATTCCCATTTCACAGACAAAGAAAGGCTAAAGAACCCCAAACAACTTACTCATGCCCTGTATCTTATTTGTGATGGATTTTAATATTCAGACCTGGACTTAGAATACTGAAGCTTAGAGCAGTGGTTCTCAACTTTCTTAATGCTGCAACCCTTTAAGACAGTTCCTCATGTTGTGGTGACCCCCAACTGTAATGTTATTATGTTGCTATTTTATAACTGTAATTTTGCTACTGTTATGAATTGTAATATAAACATCTGTGTTTTCTGATGGTTTTAGATGAACGCTGTGAAAGGGTTCCTGCCCACTGGTTGAGAACCACTGTGTTAGGGTTTCACACAGCACAGAAACACTGTGATAGAGATAAGGGGGGAAGATGCAAAGCCACTTGTGAACGCCTGTAGCTTATCATTTCAGTGTATATCTTGTGAGCTCAGGTATGTGAGGCGTGAGTTAGGGAATTCGTCTGCAGCAATTAAAATTCTTCAACTGTTTACTCAGTACTTTAGTCAAATGTTAAGACATTTTATGACTTTTAGAAAATAGTTGAAACTAAAATAAATTCCAGTTTAGGAGCAAAATAATGTTTCCTATGTTACTAATTTTTTTAGCTAATGCATTACTATAGAATTTATATTGCAGACCTGAGAAATGAATGCAAGCAATAAATTTTCTAGGCTGTTTCTTCTTTAAGACTGGAGAGGGAGCTAGAGAGGTGACTCAGCAGTTGCCTGTACTTCCTGCTCTTGCAGAGGACTTGGGTTTGATTTTTAGCATCCACTTGCGGCTCACAACTGTTTGTGACTCCTGGTCCAGGAGATCTGACCCTTCTGAATTCCTAGGGCACCAGGCACAAATATGGTGTACATACATACATGCAAGCAAAACAGTCATACAAAAAGTGAAATAAATGAATATTAAAAAACAGTTTATAAAAGGAAAGACTAGAGACCAGAGGAAACAATCTAGTTGTAGCAGAAGCAGGATTTACAGATGGAAGAGTAAAGTATAGATATGACTCAGTGTTGACGAGCCAAATCTCCCTATACAGATCCGGGAGCCAGTTCTTCTGCATGTGCATACACACAGCGTAGTTCTGAGCGTAAAAGAGGTGTTTGTTCAAGTAGCCCATGCTGGCCTTTGACACACAGTGTAGCCCAGACTGGCCTTGTACTAAAACGATCCTCCCTTCTCTATCTCCCAAGGGCTGGGGTTACAGCTGTAAACCACCACACTCTGCTGAAGAGGAAAATTTAACAGTTATCCTCTGTTAAAAAAAAAAAAAAAGACTTTCTGTATCCTTTTCCCTCCTAGGTCTAAGCAGAGGAACTGTTTAAATTATTTTAATCTAATAAATATAAATAAAACATTTTTATACAATTTTAGAATTCAACAGTTTATTAGAAATTGTCCCAGTCAATTTTCCTTATTTTGCAGTTGAAAAAGTTAAATAGCTTTGGGTTAAGGCCTGAGGTGAATTAGAATTCACATTTCCACATTCTTATATCCTTAGTCCATTCCGCTGCCCTGGAAGCACACAGGTGGCCTTAGGAAAGTCTTGAGAAGTTTTGACTCCTTTTGAGCACAGTATGAAAGTAAGCTAAAGGTGAATGTTTTTAAGTAAGCTAGATGTTTAAGGCAAGGATTTAAGCTGGCGTATTTCCCCACCAGTAATAGGCCGGTTATTTCATAACCATGGAAAGGTACACATGCCTTTAAAGCACCAACAGACAGACATATAGATCATTTTGTAAAAGTGACTTACCTGCCAACCCCTTCTCTCTTTTTATTTAATCTAGGATCCAGAAAGAAGCCCCTTCACTTGATTAGCTCTTCAGACAAACCTGGATTGGATCTTTTAAAAGTGGAGTATGTTAAGGTAAGGACCAGGGGAAGATGATAGAGCTGTTTGAACCCCTCACTGTACCCCTGGAAAGACGATGACTGTGTTTCTCTGATGGTTCTGGGTGTGGATTTGGGTTAGCTCACATACAGTCACTTGCCCCTGGACTTCTGCTTTCACTGAGACCAGCATATTATAAAGCTGCCAGGCAGCTAACACCAGAGATGGAACCCAGGGCCACGTGGGCACTCGCCTGTCTCTGGGCATGTTCACACCACTGCACTCTTTGTAAAAATAGATGACAGTTAGTTGAGCATACTGCATTAAAAAAGGAAGAGAGAATTAGATTGAGTTCAGAAGAGAGCTGCTAGCGCTGGGGCTGGACTGGAAAATGTACCCCGTGAAAGGGGCTGAAGGAACTGAGGCTGCTTGCCTTCATTCTTGTCGGTTCCCTGACTCTTTGCTGTATCTGTGTGAATGTTCGTGCTGTTGGGCACTACTTGGTTTGAAGGAAAACTTGCTTCTCGCTGTTCTCAAAGTAGTTGTAAGTTAGCAGAGAAAGCGACCACAATTAAGATGTAATTCTGGCTGGCTGACAACAAACAGAGTGACTGGTTTCCTGAGGGAAAGCACAGAGCAGAGTGGATGTGGAGAGGGGGAAAGTAGCCAGGTCAGAACGCTGCTCATGGGAGGGGTCTTCAGAGTGCGTATTTCTTCTCTGTTCTAAAGGACTTAGCTGAGTCCAGTGAGCGGTTATGATGAGAGATAGATCTTGTTTTATGGTCTCAGGACAAAGATCCCATTAAAGCAGAGCTTTCTCAAGAGATCTGATTTGTGAGCACTGATGTCTCTCACTGGAGATTGAGTTGAACGTTGTAGAGTGGTATAAGCATCAGTTGATGGGTGGCTGAGATGACCTTTAACCTCCTCACCTCCAACTTCATCTTTCTGATACTTAGTTTCTCCGAGGGAATAAATGTTCTCCCATGCTAAATAAGAGCTCTTTGCATTGTTATGAAAAATAGTATTTGTATGCAATTTTAAAATATGACAAAGTGATATATGATTGTCTTAGTTACTTATTTCTGTGGTAAGATATCACAGCTTAGAGAGTTTATAACAGAAACTTTGGGGCTCATGATTCTCAAGGGTTGGATTCGTGACCATCGTGGCTGAGAGCAGGGCAGTGTAGGCGTGGTGCAGGAGCATTAGCTGGGAGCTGTCATCCTCATCTGCAATTGAAAGGCAAAGAGCTAATTGAGAATGGTGTGAGATTTGAAATGTCAAAGCCTGCTCCTCGTGACATACTCCTTTCAACAGGTCCACACCCCCAATCCTTTCCAAATAGTTCCATCAACTGGGGACCTAGTATTAAATATATGAGCCTATGGGGCAGTTCTTATTCAAACCATGTGCTTTCTCATTTCTCTTCCTCCCTCCCTCCTCTTCCACCTCTCTTCACATAAACACATACACACTGCTTATAAAAACTTTTTTTTTGAATTTTTATTTTTCAGGTCGATAAGAATGGACCTAGTTTTCAAACTACTTTTGAAAAAACTGAACAAACCATTAAGGTAAGAAGTTTTATTCAGATGGTATATCCTTTCTGAAAATCTCTGGAAACCTACTCTGGAAATCTCCAAGGTCCTTTGGAGAACGTTATTTGATCTGAGATATAATCAAGAACCAACAGAAATTATAAGTTATAAAGCCCCACAGGTGTTACCATGGCCTCTACCTGTGATCCAACTTAAAAAATAATACTCACTGTATCAAATTCTATGCTTTAAAGAGCCTCAGTGTTATTCCCAAATAAGGAGGTGCCATGACAGAGCATTTGGCTACAAAGAACTAACAGTATTCTAAACAAACCAAGTTGATACCATCTCCAGTACAGGAGTGAGAGACTATGTAAGTATAAGTGTAGATGCTAAGTGCTTCTGTAGCAGTTATGATGTGAGTAAAAAGTATAGAGAAGGAGGAGTCAGAAAGTATTATGAGTTACATTAAAGAGTAAATGAAGCCAGGCTGTGGTGGCTCATGTCTTTAATCCCAGAACTCGGGAGATAGAGGCAGGTGGATCTCTGTGAATTCGAGGCCAGCCTGGTCTGCAAGAGCCAGTTCCAAGACGGACTCTTTCATAGAGAAACTCTGTCTCAAAAAAACCAAAACACACACACACACACACACAATTATGTATATATGTGTGTATATATATATATATGTATGCGTGTGTATGTATGTATGTGTGTATGTATATGTGTGCCGCCCCACCTACCCTTCAGTGGGATGTCCCAGTGGGTAAAGTCACTTCCTGCCAAGCCTGACCACCTGAGTTCAATCTCTAGGGTCACATGGTAGAAGGACAGAAACAACCCATTTCTTCAAGTTGCTCTCTGGTTTCCACAAGCACACAGTGGTCTGCATGCCCCTTCATGACCACATGCAATAAATAAATGATAGAGAAACAAGAGAGATGAGCTGTAGCTCACATTTGGGAGTGATAACATCATCTGCTATAATATAGTGGGCATTCTTTTTTTTTCTTTTTCTTTTCCTTTTTTTCCCTCCGACATTCTTTTTTTTATTACTTAGTTTTTATAAGCATTTTTTTTTCAGTTTACTTTCATAAAACCACAGAGCTGTAGAAACAATTTGTGTTGCTATGTTAGCTCTCAGGTGGCATTTCTTAAGTGTAACGCTTTCCCCTGTTAGTCAGACATGCTGTGCTGGCTTTAAATGCTAAGACCATTACTATGTTGTAGAAGATCCCTTCATACTTGAGACCATGTTCATGTTCACAGTAAATCACCGTGATGCTCTCCTGTGTCCTTGAGTATGCAGGTGTCATTTGCCTAGTCTACATCCCTGCGCCAGGGAGTCGTGGGCTCTTGTCTCTCTCTCCGTCCCTGTGCTGGAGACAGTCTTTGCTGAGACCACAGGTGGCAATTAGGAAAGAGCTAATTTTCTTTGCAAAACCCTTTCAGGTGACCTTTTCATCTTTGAATCTGTTGCTACAAACACAAGCTCTTCTGTCTGCTCTTAACTACTTGACGACCATCGTCCCATCAGATGGTGAGAACACCGGTGTTGTCAAGGAGGCGCAGGCTGCGACCGAGAAACAAAAGAACTCCCCCCTGCAGAAAGGTATGCGAGTTATCAGTGTTCTCTATGACAGACACCCGGAGAAAAGCAAATTGAAGGAGCAAAGATCCTTGTTTTGCTTACTGTTTGGAGATGTCAATCCACAGGGACTTGGCACTGTTGCTTCTGAGCCTGTGTGTTGCCGGGCAGAACATGATGGTGAAGCATATGGTAGAGATTGTGGTGGATAGGAGGCAGACAGACAGACAGACAGACAGATAGATGGACAGAGGTGGTCTGAAGATACGCTATGCTCCGCAAAGCACACCAGTGCACTGCCTCTTAATAATGCCATTGGAGTATGAGCCCATTAATGGATTAATCCATTGGCGGAAGTCATGTTATTCATTTTCTTTTAAAACAAACGCAACAAACAAACAAATTCCCACGGTCAGCAACCAGATTTTCAGCTCATGTCACTTTAGGTTCAAACCATACTGTGAAAAAGATTTCTATGTTTCCTGTTTGTAACATTCTTAAAATTTTAGTGCTAAGTGGGAAATGTTAAGTTTAGCCATTGGAATCCTATTGCCTCTGCTTCTGTGCTTTTCCTCAGTTGAATCGTATGTGGGCACTTGGTGCATAAAGTAGGTGTAGTAAATAGGTGGGCACACATACTTGCAGTTTAGCATTTGGAGGGCTGAGGCAGGAAGACTGTGGTTTCCAGCAAGTTTGAGTAGGCTGCATAGAAAGCTCTTGTTCTCAAAAAAATAAAGCAATACACACACACACACACACACACACACACACAGAGCAAATAGAAACAATATATAGGCAGAGTTTCTCTGTGTCTCAGCAACAGCTCCCAAACAACCATTCAGAGGCTTATTATTAATTATAAATGCATGGCCGATAGCTTAGTCTTGTATCCAGCCAGCTCTTACAACTTAGATTAATCCATTTCTATTCATCCATGTGCTGCCCTGAGGCTCAATTACCTCATCTATGAACTTCCCATGATGCTTCTTCCGTTTCTGGCTAAGACTCTTCAGATTCCACTTTTCTTCCCAGTATTCCCTCAGCCCTGAAAATTCAGCCTAGCTATTGGCCATTCAGCTCTTTATTAATGATAAAAGCAGCACCTATTTACAGTGTACAAAGATTGTTCCACAGCAGCAATACTATTGTTTTTATGAAACTTTGTTTTTATTTTGCTGCTGGGGATTACCTTTGGATGGTTACTAGGAAAACCTGTACTGTGTGTGTACTGAGCCTTTCTTCCCATCCTAGTGGTTCTGGAAGCCCCCCGCCCCCAATAATTAGTCTTTGAGGAAAGAGACCCAGAGACATGAAGACAGGGACTAACTGATTGCCTCTTAAAACAAATATTTTTTCAATGTGTTGGGTGTTCTGTCTGCATGTATGTTTGTGTACCATGTCTGTGCAGTGCTGGTAGAGTTCAGAAGAGGCCACTGGATCTTCTGGAACTGGAGTGAAGGATGGTTGTGAGCCACCAGGTGCTTGCTGGGATCTCAGGTTCTCTGAATCGTTTCTTCAGCACTCCACTGATTACATCTTATTGGCTGAGAATCTAGAATTTGTATCCAAAAGAACTTAGGTCATATTCTGGCTGTATTACTTAAACTGTGTGATTTTAGGCACATTACTTTTTGGTTTTGAATATTATGTTCTATTTACTTTAGACTTTTTGTTTTTATATGTGTGTGTTTTATATGCTATGTACTTTAAATTTTATAAATATTTTATTTTCATATATTATATATTATGTAAAATATATGAAGAAACTTCTGTAGAGTTTAGCTTACTAAATCTATTGTTTTATTTTTAGCCATGGTGTCCTCTAGAGATAGTGACATTATTAACTTTAGGCTGTTTGCCAAATTGAATGCTTTCTGTGTCACTATCTGCGATGAGAAGAGCAATATTGCTGAAATCAAGATACAAGGTAAAGTGTCACAGTATTTAACATTTGCTCCGTTCTCTTTATTGCAGCGTTAGAGAATATACAGACAGAGGGCTCTGAACTACTTCAGTTAGGCTGTGCCGGAACTGGCTGTTTTCTTTCTAGGATTAATGATGGCCAAGTTCTGGCTAGTGTAGTTTTTTCTCTGTCCTTTCCAAATTGGTAATACACCTACTTATCTAAAGTTTGTTCACAAAACTGTTATAGCCTCTTTCAGGCAGGGTGTCTACTGCTGTGATAAACGTTAGTACCACAACCTGGGGAGCAAACGGTTGGTTTCAGCTTTTAGTACCGCATTTCAGTCCATCATGGAAGGAAGATAGGGCAGGGACTGAAGTAGAAGCCATTGAAGAAAGCTTGTCCCTAATGGCTTGATCAGCCTTCTTTCTTTTACAGCCCAGGACCGCTAGCCCAGGGGTGGCACCATACACATGGGCAGGACTCACCACATCAGTCATTACTTGGGGCAGTGCATTATAGATTTACCTACAGACCACTCTTATGGACACATTTTTCTCAGTTAAGAGTCCTCTTTCTCAGTTAAGAGTGACTCTAGCATGTGTTAAGTTGACATAAAACTAGCCAGCAAAGTCTCCATGTAAATGGCTTAGTATCTGTAAGGCATAAAATTTACTTTATGTTTGCTTATGCTGGCTTGATCTTTTTGCACTAGATTTTTTATTTTGCCTTCTCGGGGATTCAACACTAATGTAATTTTATTTTATTTTATTGTTTTTTGTTTTTAACAGTCTTTATTGTACACCAAAGAATATAGGAGTCTTTTCAGTGTAGTAGGAAAAATGATACACTTAGTGTGTTTTTCTATTTCTTTTATTTTTTGAGAATTTCATACTGTATACAATGAAAGATGATCATAGCTACTGCCATTTCCCCACTGTAGCTCCTCTCAGCTCCTCCCATAGTGTCCCCCTCCCAACTTCATTCCCTCTTATTTTGCTTAATAACGTACTAAATCCTTTTAGTGCTGCCAATATATGCATGGATGATGTGGGACCACATATGGGAGCATGGGTAACTTCCCAGTGGCCACATCCCCAAAGAAGAATGATTCTTTCTCAACAAACTACTACCAAATACTGTTCTTTAGTATGGGATAGAGTTCATATAATTAGTTATATGAATTATAACTAAATTAAACAAAAATTAAGTTTTGTGTTTAAAAAACTAAAAATATTTTACATGAAATTTACTAATTTTGAGTTCATACATTTTGTGTATCCCCAAATAATATAATATAATAAAAATAAATATTTATGTTATATCTATAGAAATTATAATGATTAATTTTTTTTCCAGGCCTTGATTCTTCCCTTTCTCTTCAGTCAAAAAAGCAGTCACTTTTTGCCAGGTTGGAAAACATTATTGTCACAGATGTCAACCCCAAAACAGTTCATAAGAAAGTATGTAACACTGAGTAGATACTTACTATTACTGCTTAGAGATTTTATTTTAAAATATCTTACCTTAAAAATTAAATGTATTTCTATAAAGATTGTAATTATAGTATTTTCTATCTGGGACTTTATTTTGTAATTGTTTTTCTGGGCAGAATTCATTCACTTTCTGTTTTTTCAGGCTGTATCCATAGTTGGAAATGAAGTTTTTCGTTTTAACCTGGATTTGTATCCAGATGCTACTGAAGGGGATTCCTACACTGACATGTCCACCGTGGATGGGGTGGTGGCTTTGCATGTTGGCTGTATTCAGATTGTATACCTTCATAAATTCCTTCTCTCACTTCTGGTAAAGTCACCATTTTATGCTCACATTTCATGTTAGAAGCTGTAGGTGTTATGATTATATATGTTGTAAACTTTGGGTTGTGGTATATTTTGATTCTGCCTGGTGTTTCTGTATGCATGTAATGGCCGAAAACCCTCTTTAACACTTGAAATTTAAGTCATTGAGTTTTATCTGTAATTGAAGTTAGTTTTCTGGAACTCAAACAGCAGAAGCCAACTGTCTGAGTGCCCAGGTGTTAAGATGAGTTCACTCTCTACCCTGCTCAGTGACAGATCACTAGTCAGAACTGGACAGCTCCTGACTGAGGATGGATTTCTCCTATCCCTTCCTTTCACCAGAAAAACAGGGTTGAACTCGTAGGACTCTGTGGGAGGAACTTGCATATGTGCTAGCAGAAGGTGGGCCCATTTATAGATGTCCCTGTTTCTGAATTCCTTTTACATTTTGTTCGCAGAGCTTCCTGAACAATTTCCAAGTGGCCAAAGAGGCACTGAGTGCTGCCACTGCCCAGGCTGCAGAAAAAGCTGCCACGAGTGTGAAAGATCTTGCCCAGAGGAGTTTTCGTGTGTCAGTCAACATTGATTTGAAAGCGCCGGTCATTGTCATTCCACAGTCCTCCGTCTCCACCAACGCGGTTGTGGTCGATCTTGGATTAATTAGAGTTCACAATCAGTTCAGTCTGGTGTCAGGTGAAGACACCGCAAGTCCTCCAGTGATCGACAAGATGGAGGTGCAGCTTACGAAACTGAAACTCTCTAGGTATGCATGTTCGGTAGCTGTGCTCTGGAGTGTATGCGAATTTCTCCTGGTATTTTTATACTGTGCTTCTTTCACAAAGAACCATTTTCTGATCAGCTGGTGTACGTATGTATACATCCTTCATGTAGAGCCACCAGTTGCTTTACATTTTCTGTATCTATATCTTATTGTTCAAACAGTGATTGCTAACTGTTTGGGAATAGACATCTTAGCCAGGTGTAGTGGAGCATGCCTTTAATTCAAGCACTTGGGAGGCAGAGCAGGTAGACCTCTGCGAGTTCAAGGCCAGCCTGGTCTGTTTATCGAGTTCCAGGACAGGCTACACAGTGAAAGAACAAGAGAGACTAGTATAATAGAATACACAAATACACATCTTGATCCTTTGTCTCTAATGTCTTTGCCTGTGTCTCTCAAAACCAAGGACATTTATTCTTATATTACCCGTGATATAAGTAGTAGTTTTTAAAAATTAATATTGGCATGCTGTGTAATGTGAATCAGTATTGAGGTTTTGTCAGTTATTACAGTGGTGTCCACTGTAGTAATCCCCCTCCCTGCTCCCACCCAGAACCACACATGGCATTCATTTGTGCCTTCTCTTGTCAAGGTGATTTCTAGGCTAGCAGGCCCTAACTTCTAACAGCTATGTTCCCCTTTTGTCTGAGGTTGGTGGTTTTGAAGAGCACTGTCTGGCTCTCCTTGGGAATGGTTACCCATGGCTTCAGTGAGCTTACACATGTTGATAGAAATACGGTGTAAGTCATACTGTGTCCTCAGTGGTATGCTGTGTGGCATGCTAAGACACAAGATTTAAAAATGATTTTCATATCATCAAAAGTAATTTAATTATAAAAATTTAAAAAAAGACAATTATAGGGTAAGTCAAGGTGATAACCCCCATGGAAGCTTTCTAGAGTGCCTTAGTGACAGCTGGGCCTTGATTTCCTTATATCACTTTGCTGCTGCTCCATCACGGCTGTGTTGTACAGTCTCATGGTCAGCAAACACATGGCTGTTCTCTGCTTAACTGCAAGCATGCACTCTGAGGAAGGCACTGTCAGTGCCTGTATCGTTTTGAGAGCATCACAGTGTGATTGTAATCAAACCTAGAGTCCTTCCACGTGTGCTAGTGCAGTCAGGACACAATAAGTGTGACGTGGATGAGTCTGCCGCAAGTGTAAGATGCTGTCTTTTTAGATGGGTAATTATTCTTATAAGTGGAAAGAGTAGATATTGTAGAAAGTATAGTTAGTGAGTAAACCACTGATGGGGACATTTACCATCTTGTGAAACATTATGTACTGTACATAATTGCCTGAATGTTATATGTACGATAGGTAATATTATCTATATGTTATGGGTATGATGGGTGGTCTGGTAGGTCATCTACACCACTTTCTCCACAAACACAGAAGTAAATGCAGTTGGCTTTGTGAAAGGTACATGGTTGCTAAGCAATAGGACCTTTCTGCTCCGTTGTCTTAGCAGAGCACTTAGGTAGATGTGGCCCATTGTTGACTGAAGGATTGTAATGTGACACAGACTATATTATCCCTAGACTAACGTATTTGATTATTTCTTATGTATCTGCAGCATTGTGAATAAAAACCCTAACCAAACCTTTAACTCAGTTCTTCTCTCTATAGTTTTAGGAAAAAAAAATGTTTACTTAGCTGAGAGTGGTGGCACACGCCTTAATCCCAGCACTTGGGAGGCAGAGGCAGGCGGATCTCTGAGTTCAAGGCCAGCATGATCTATAGAACAAATTCCAGGACAGCCAGGACTGCTGGAATATAGAGAAATGCTGTATTGGGAAAAAATTTTTCTTAATGGCTCAGTGTTCACCACATATTTTAATCTGTCTCTGCTAGTGGATTGTATGTTAATTTCTAACTCAGCTTTGAAACCTCTCAGCTGCAATGTTATAAGCTCGTATGCGGAGCAGCAGATAGTGCTTGGCATGCATGCTAGTTTATAACCCTTGGCTGGGTTCATTGTCCTCTGTGAAGACCTGTGATGTGCACTCTCTCTCCCTTTTACTAGGACAGCAATCCAGCCAGGCGTCTCCCATCCTGATATTCAGCTGTTGCACCCAATTAACTTAGAGTTTTTTGTCAATCGGAATCTAGCTGCAAATTGGTACCATAAGGTGCCTGTTCTAGAAATTAAAGGGTGCCTTGATTCAATGAATGTAAGTACATGAATGAAAATAACTTCTCTGTTGAAGTTTCAACCTGGAAGCTTTCTCAGATGTACCTACGAGAAATGCAAATTTTACTGAATATTGAAAGACATTTTGGTGAAAGGTCATTAACCTTTTTAGTAGAATTTAATCTTAAGTTAAGTATGGTTCACTTTTAAATGTGCTACACACCCATTACAAAAGTCTGGGCACAAATTATTTATTGTTACATTCTCTCTCATAATATGTATTATGTACACACTTGTTTTTAAGGAAAGCAAAGTTTGCCTAAGGCAACTATGGTACTCTTTAAGGAGTGAAATGCATGAGTTTCCAGAACTTGTTATTTTAAAAATGGATTAGATTTCTTTAGGTACAATTAGCTTTAAGGAAAAACTAGTCAATAAAGTTAATATTGATTTGAAAATTTTGTTATTTATATGTTTCAAATTTTTATTTAAAATTGCATAAGTTAAAGTGAAGCAAGTATCAAAATACATTTGTCATTCTCGGTTACTGTCAGGATTATTCTCTCATTGCTGAGAAATTATTTTCTGTTTTATAGTTGTTTCATTTAAAAATGAATATTTTGTTCTCAACTATTTCACAGGTTAGTCTAAATCAAGAGGATCTTAATCTGCTGTTTAGAATACTGGCAGAAAATCTTGGTGAGGCCTCTGAAGACTTGGATAAAGGGAAGCCTAGAATACAGGAGACAGGTAAGAGACTGATGGCCGGTGACAGGTGCACATGTGCCTCTATACAGTCCAGTAGCCACTGAATGTTGTTTTCAAATCTAAAATTTGTTAAAATATTTTAACTGTAGTAGAGACTGAACCAGGGTCTTGTACATGCTGTGGTACATACCATATTATTGAGTTATAGCTACAGCTTGAAACACAATAAGCATGTAATTAAAAAATACATATTTACAAATTTTGATGTGTTTTACCAAGAAAGATGATAAGATGCTGTTGAATGAAAATGTGACTGGAGCTTACAGTCTCTTTTTAGCTAAGCAGACAGTTGCCAGTTAACATGTTTTCCAGACTGCTTGAGCTGGGACAAGGCCATTAGGAAGGGTGGTCATTAGCCAGTGGTAGATTTCTGCAGAAAGCATTAATTTGTATATTAAAAAATTTTAGAACTTTAGGCTCTGGCATCATATTCGACCTGATATTTAAGTAAGACTTAGTGGTAAAGTATATGAATTTAAATTGTTGGTAAATTATCACCCTCTAAAGATGGTAAATATAGTATATTAAAAATAACAGGAAGATTAAATTGTTAATTATGCCTGTTATTACTTAAATTTAAAAAGTTATATTTTAAAGCTGTTGTATATATGCGTACATAGGAATAATATGCACATATGTACACAATTAATGAATATATTATGCTCATAAGTTGTATCTTTTATCTTTTTGAACAGTCATTGGCATGTTTGTTTGCCCACTGTGCTTCCCTGCTGTTTTCTTAATTAACAGTCCTAGTTCTGTATATTTCATACTTGTGTGTGTGTATGTGTGTGTGTGTGTGTGTGTGTGTGTGTGTGTGTGTGTACATGTGTGGTTTTTCAAGACAGGATTTCTCTGTGTAACAGCCCTGACTATCCTAGAACTCTATCTGTAAACCAAGCTGGCCTCAAACTCAGAGATCCACTTTCCTCTGCCTCCTCATTGCTGGGGTTAAAGGCGTGGGCCACCATGCCTGACTCCCTCTGTCATTTTTTTTTTCCTTTAGAATGACTTCCTTCTATTAGATTCTGTTGAAGTATCATAACTTTTTAGATACTTCACGTTTAGTTTTTCACTGTTAGCCATGTTGCATTGAAATGTCCTTATGTATTTATTCATTGTGTTTCTGTAGGACCACACTAGTGAAAGGAAATGCAATCTGTATTGTATCAATGTCATTTAAATTTAACTAACATTATAGGTTTTAATAAACTAACTTAAATTTTAAATTTGTTTGAGAGTTTTATACATGAATGTGATGTGTTTGTTCAATCTAAGGTTTGATAGTGTTACAGGAGCATGTACTTAGCTCTCCTGTTGTTCTGTTTTCCTGTAGCTTTCCAACGGTTTTATAAAATTTGTTGACACTTTTGCCCATTGACCAGGTGAAAACTATTTCACTGTATGTTTTTACTTTTCAATTGTACACAAACCTAAGCACACACCTCCAGCTGTAATGGTCCTGAGCCAGATGTCACACATTCCCTGCACACTCTCCCACACTTCCCTCCCTGTTAGGACAGGTCCTGCCTACCTCGCACTCCTCTCAGAGGTCACTGCTGTTCTGACATATGACCCTGCTGATGGCTTAATTTGACTTTTTCATGAATTTTATGTAAATGGAGTTATGAAAAGTTTGCTCTTTGATGTTTGGCCTTCTTTTCTTATGATCCGTGAGGTTCATTCAGCTGGTTTCTGTAGTGGTGTTTGCTATAGGGAATCCCTGTCTCTGCCTTATGAGGCTGGAATTATAAGTGAGCCATCACACTACTTGGACTTCCTTATTTGATTCCTGGAGAACCAAACTCCTGACCTCTTGCTTTCATGGCAAGTACTTTAGCTGCTGAGCCATTCCTACAGCTCCTTACTGGGGACATCTTCTTCTGTGACTGTCCAAACCTGTTAACAATTAGTTTTATTTGAAGCAATTCTGGAATAAGAGGATAGATGAAACTTTGCTCTCTGAATTGCCTTCTAAAAGGTATTAATGAGTAGTATGGTTTTTCCATGTGAGTTTCTAGTATAGTATGTATATACTCAGGGCTGTGCAGTGTTGGATTAGTGGTCAAGATAATGTTAATTGCAATAATGTTAGTGACAGAGTTATGTTGTTGACAGTGATGTCTGTCAAGTCAGACTGATGAACTTGGACTCTAGCCTTTGCATATGACACTAGGCAAGGTGCCTAATTTGTCTAAAAAATTAATGTGCTCACCTGTGGGATGGGACAATGAAGTTCTTCCCCTAGAAGGATGACCAGCAGGACAGACCACTGAGCTTGTTGCTCAGTGTCTGGAACCATATGTGTTAGGGTGCACATATAACAAATGATAGCTTTATTATTTTTGTGCTATAGGTTAGAAAACAGTTGTACTGCACTTCATGGCGTATGTTTCAGAACAGCATCATAGCCATGGAGCTTTTCTTTTCCTTACCAGACTAGAATACCTGGCCCCTTTTCCTTTCTTAGCCTTAGCCATACTACAGTCTGTTCTGTTTGCAGACCCTGACTCGTGCCGTCTCTGTATGGCTTCCCATCGTTTCTCTCCTTTAAAAACGTGGGCTGTCTTTTCTGAGAGGAACTGCTCTGTGTGGGTCATTCATCTCTGTGAATATTTTCTTCAGCTCGCTGATGTCTCTCTGTGCATTTTATGGACAGCCTGTTAATATTTGCCTGCTCCCCGTGAATAAGTATGGCCTGATTCTTGTGTTTGACTTGGCAGCGTGTGTGTCCTTTTACTAACATGAACTTTCTAAGACTGAGAACGGTTATGCATTTGTGGGTTTTCAGAGTGCTCATACATGTTTACAGTGCGTGTCAGTGAAAGAATGAATGAATAGAAGCAGGTATTTCTGTTTGCCCACTGTAGGGGAAGCGAAAGCATGCCGAGAAGTCTCTGCACCCCAGGATGTGCACACCACACAAGGTGCATCACCAGCCAGAGTGGAAGAGACCAGGTCCATAGACATCATTAATGTACTACTGAATTTTGAAATTAAAGAGGTATGTAATTTTCATCACTTTTTACCAAGTGAAATGAACAGGTTATGGATATTTCTATCATTTCTACTAAGTTAAATTTGTAAATAATTGATATGTATGAAAAGAATCTTAGACTGTTAATGTGAAAGTGTGCTTTAAAATTTGGGGATTTACTAAGGACCAGTTACATTTTAGGAATCCAGTATTTTGGAAGCATTTCCTGTAGCTTGCTTTTTAGACATGATAGGGTGTTGGAGTGTGACTTGCTTTGTGTTTTCATGTAAGAACAACAAATATAGAGAAATCGTTTGCAAATAAATGTTAGAAACTCAGTAGAATAAAGCACAGATCGTGCTCACTTAAAAATGCTCTATTACTTCAGTATGGATTTTCTTCTTTCTTTATCTGTTCAACAGTTGTACCATGTCTGTGCCAGGACTAAGAATATATTAGAAAATACAAAGATTTCAAATACAGTTTTGTATGGCCATTAAAAATATGCTCAGACTAGGCTACTTTCAGGGCTTGTTGTGGAGATGGTAGTGACTGGGCATCTGAGATAGCTGAGAAGTCTAGGGACGGTTTCTGGGAGGAAGTGACATTTGAGTGGAGTTTGTAAAGAAAAAAGTAATAATTTGAGAAAATAGATTAAAGAGAGGGCCTGGGACATAGATCGAAAGGGTGGGCATGGATAGAAAGGGGTGGGTATGGATAGAAAGGGGTGGGCATAGATGATAGGAAGGGTGCACATGAATAGAAAGGGTGGACATAGAATACATAAGCTCTTTCCCTAGCATTTATTATATACACTAAGTTCCATTACTGTGAACCTAGTTGACCTGGAGGGAAGGGATTTATTTGTGCTTGCCAGGTTCTTAGCATTGCACTGTCGCTGTGTACAGGGAGACTGCCACCTAGTGGGTAGAGGCAGGAGTGCTGCGAATGACCTATTTTGCACAGGATAGCACCCCATTAAGTCGCCCAAGATTAAGAAGCCTTGCCTGAGGATTTGTATAAAAAGTAGCTGATGCTTTCAGCAGAGTTTCAGACAGAAGCTATTGATCAGTTAGGATTTCTAGGACTGGATCCCTACCTGCCTGTCTTCACGCCATTCTCTTACCCTCCCTCAATCCCCGTATTTCACCTTTGAAAATCTCTAGAAAACAGTGGTGATGCATCAAAGTCTGAACAAATGTATAAAGAGTAAATAACAATAGGTGATTTTCAGCACCAGAATACCTTTTCCTTGTGTGAATTCTTCATATCACTAGGTAGAGTTACTAAGTTCCTATCGTCACTGTGCGTTAGTAAAGCGGTTTGTGGTAATTCGCCCTCATTCTTTTAGGTTATGGTTACTTTGATGAAAAAAGCAGAAAAGAAAGGAACACCTTTACATGAACTGAAGATCCTGCATCTTGGGGTGCAAGCTAAAGTAAAGGCCCATGACATGACTGCTGAAGCTTACCTGAGAAGAATTAGCGTGCGGTGCTTTGATTTTCCTGGTAAGTGCAGAGGCCCGTCTGTGCAGGTCTCATAACGAGCATAAATACAGGGCTGCATTCTGTTCTTCTACTTACCGTGTGTATTCCTTACATACCCAGTTGGGGATGGTGTAATAAACCTCACCTAAATGAGTATAGTGACGGTAAGAAGTCACATCCCAGGTACAGAGCCCAAAGACCCCTTTTGAAAGTTAATTTACTAGGAAGCTTAACTTTACATTTATTTACTTGCAAATTATATAACTGTTAAGATCTATTTTAATTACATTAGTATGTGCTTATAAAAAGTAAATATTAAACAAAACATAAATATATAGGAGACACTTAGTGTCACTTCCTCCCAGGCGACTGTGAAGTTGCTGTTTAGTGGGTATCTTGGATTTTTTAAATTCACTGTTGGAATTTGCAGCTATCTGAATATTATAGTTCCTGGTGTTTAAGCTTCCTGAGGACTCTGTGGAGCATCTTTGAGAAGAAAAAGTGTGTTTGAGACTAATCCCTTCCTGTGTTTTATAGCTGTCTTTTCTCATGCTAGGATCTGTTCCCGTGATGGTAATACCTGCAGCACTAGTGTATGAATGACAGCTGGTATTGACGAGTGCTGTTTTCTTGTTAACTTTGCAGTCTTTTATTTTTCCTTTCCAGTTTTTGAAAGCTAGACTTACTGAGATACAGTTTATAGACAGTAAATACATTTGTCTGTTTTCTGTACAGTTCTCTTATAAGGATTTCTCTGTGTAACTGGCTGGTTTCCATTTTAAAAGATGTTTGAAATATTGAAGGGATGGCACGGATCAGATTTTCTTTTTCCTTCCAGATTCTAAAGGTGAACCTCTGTACATTGTCAACTCCTCTAACGTTTCTGATGGAACCCTCCTGAAAATGCTGTTCATTAAGGTATCTGTTCTAGTTCATTTCTGTCGCTGGGATAAATACCCTAATGAAAGGCAGTTTAGTGAAGAGAAGATTGATTTTACCTTTAATTCCAGGCTGCAGTCTATCATTGTGGGTAAATAAGGATAGGAACTTGAAACACATAGTGACATCATGCATCCACAGTCAAGAACAGAGAGAAATGAACACGTACATACTGCCTGCTTTTTGTGTTCACTCATTTCTCCACTATTATGCTCCTTGCCTAGGGGATGGTGCTGCCCACAGTGGGCTGTGCCCTTCCCTATCAATTCACTGAAGGCAATCCTATATACACATGCCCACAGGGCAGCTTCATGTCGACAGCCCTCATTGAGACTTGCTTTCCAGATGATTGTAGGCTTCGTGAAGCTACAATTAAAGCTAAGCATCACAGTACTTCATTTCTTTTCTGGGGTTAATACTGAAGTATGAAAAGTTATTTATATTCCCCTCACTTTTGGATGGGCCCACCTATTTAGATGCACTAACATCTCCTCCGGAATAGAATAAGGGATTTGAGATTTTGCATCTATAGTATGTCAAGTATGTTTATGTGGTCAGTTTTGGGGGCATATTCTTATTTGCATGTAAGAAACGTGTTTGTCATCTCTTAATAGCATGTTTTAAGATGTAAAATATATTTTTTTTCAATGTGTGAAATTCTAGTGTTTTTAACTCAGTGGTTTAATTATCAACTGCTTATAGGCAGACAGCGATGGACCAGAATTTAAAACTGTTCATGATAACACCAAACAGAAGCTGAAGGTGAGTCTTTTGTAATTCATCTTAAGACTGTGTTATTGATGATTAAATGTATCTTGTGGCCAATTTCAGTTGTAAGATGCAAGATCTAAAATTAGAATGAAGTAGTAGTTATAGATCTAAAGTTAGTGCATATAGAATTGAAATAAAAGTCTTGCCAAAACTTCTTTCTGAAAATATTCTTTTAAAACATAAATTAATTATTATTTGTGGAATATACAGATAATTTTTATTTTGAGGGAATTTTGTTCACTTTAGCCTACTGTAGTTATTTGGCCTGATATTCATGGCAGAATTGAACATTTGAATTCTGTATTGGCTTTAGGGCTAGAAGAAGATTAAGGAAAAGATAGAACATGGCCAAGTATAGATATACACAGTCCATTTGAGCATGTATACTCAGTGTAGGAATACTACCGTATCCTTATTTAAGACCCAATCAAGCGCTGGGCAGTGGTGGTGCATGCCTTTAATCCCAGCACTAAGGAGGCAGAAGCAGGGGATCTCTGTGAGTTCGAGGCCAGCCTGGTCTACAAGAGCTAGTTCTAGGGCAGGCACCAAAGCTAAAGAGAAACTCTGTCTTGAAAAACAAACAAACAAACAAACAAACAAAAAGACTCAATCAAGCTTGACTGAGGTTAGAATTAATGTCTGCACTGGGAGTGGGCAGGGCATTGGTTTGTTGTCTGGTAAAGACTGACGTGATAATAGTAATAAAGAGGATTAAAATGAAATTAGTAATTCATTCTTAATTATTTAGAAAGGGTCTCAGTTGAGTCATTCTGTGTTAATTACATACATTGAAACTCAGCCCAATGATGTTACTGTGACCCCAATGACATGACTGTCCCCCTAGTGGCATGACTCTCTCCCAGTGTTGGGACACACACACAGTGTTGTGACCGTCCCTGAAACCCTCCCTCTGATGTTCATTGTTCTAGGTTTCGTTTTCATCTTTGGACTTGGTGCTTCATTTGGAAGCCTTGCTTTCCCTCATGGATTTTTTGTCATCTGCTGTTCCATCCTCGGACTCTTCTTCCTCTGGGAAAGAATCTGGACCGAAGTCACTTGTGGGAGAATCCAAAAGTCTTGCCATCAAAGCTGGTATCAGTCTTTTCAATACGTTCTCAGAGAATAGCCTCTATATGAAGCTAGGATAAATGTGAACACTTCGATGTTTACAATGTCTAACATATGAAGGTGACTTCTGAAGAAAGCGGGTTCTACTCTTACAAGATTACATGGCAGTTTATTGAAGAATTTGAAATAAATGTTAATAGTAATCATGTACTTCCAGCGGGTTTCACTCTCTGCAGGTTCTTTATGTTGACCTTTTCATAGTCTTCTGTCCAGTAAAAGTGAGAAGGTAAGAAGTTAAAAAATGGCGACAGTCATACTTAGCCACAGAGACCCACTTCAGTCAGTGCTGCTGCGCACAACACTTGTAGTTCCTTTTGGGCACTGAGGATGATCTCACAGAAGGGACAGAGTCACCTGACCTCTAATTTCATCCCTGTTTCTGTCACACATGGAACTTGGTCTGTGTTCACCAGGTGCATGACTTACATTCTGAAATATTGGGTATAAAATGCCAAGTGGATAAAGAACATGTGCCTGATTTGTAATTAAAATGTTTACTTATTTTTAAAACTGATATTTTCTGGTTATTCCCAGGTTGAATTGTATCTATTTTACTGACATCTTAAGTATAAAATTTCAGAACTATTTGATTCTATACAAGGATTTTACTTTTAAAACCATAGAACAATGTTGTTGTTAGAAGAATTTCCCCTTCCTTGTTGTTTTGGTGGTGTCCTGCTGTGTAACCCAGACTGACTTCAAACTTTTAATCTTCCTGGCTCAACTTCCCAAGTGGGAGAATGCTCTAAATGTGGCCACCGCACTTGACTTCCTTATCACAATGTACCTAACACATTAATATCTTTAAGAGAGCATATTCTTAGAAATCTCGTTTCCTTATGTATCGTATACATATACCATTCATAGCACATCTGAGTTAGTGGAAGGCCAGTGTTCAGACCTTAATCCAACTGAACTGTTATCTGGTTTTGCTGCTCAACTTGACTTGATGGTTTGTTTATCCTGCACCAAATGTTGAGAAAGAAAGCAGCCTTTAATGTTAGGGTTAAAAAGTGAGAGCTCCATGCTTTCCGTTTATAGGAAAGTTCGGTTCCCTGCATGTAAGACAGAGATGTGAGAGAGTGTCAGGACCTGCACAAAAACAAAACAAAACAAAACAAAACCATTCAGTTGTGATTACTTTTTACTTTTATTTGTTTGGTTGTTTTGAGATAACATCTTGCTATATGTAGCCCAGGCTAGATACAGCTAACTCACTGTATAGCTCAGGTTAGCCTCAAACTCATACAGTCCTTCCTTCTTAGCCTTTTGAATGTAGGATTTGCTACCATACTTAACCTGACTATATCCTTACATACACATTTTTTTTTGATTTTTTTTTAAAACTTCAGTATATTTTGTGCTATTATTAGTGACTCTTTCATAGAATTACTTATGGACCCATCACGTAAAGAAACTGGGTTGGCTCCTCAGTTAAAGAATATCTAAAGGGCACAGTAAATAATATGAATTCCATTGACTGTTGATTATTATTTTGATTTTCATTATTATTCTTTGATCTAGTATTTGATGTGACTTGTTAAAATTTTTTTATTAATCAAATTCTAGAATCTAATTTAGAGGGTCTCCTTTATTTTCCTAGAAGAAAAAAAAACCCTACAGGAACATGTCTGCCTAGTGAGTAGCGCTGTCTAGGTGTTGTGGTTGCCTTATCCATAACTGAAAGCCAACATGCTGGGTTTTATATGAGTTGCAAAATCTGTATTTATATTGTCTTGATAGAGAATTTATGATTCCCTTTGCACGTTATGTGATTTTTTTTTATTAGTGAACTTAAACTGTTTTGTTTTTTTTTAACCATCTTTGTACATCACTGACCCCTGATTTCCACTACTTTTCAGGGCCCAGCACTTCTGAAGGTGATGTGTTTGATTTGAAGGTCACAGCTGAATTAAATGCCTTTAACATCTTCATTTGTGATCAGAAGAGTAACATAGCAGATATTAAAATACATGGTAATTATCCTTCCAAAGTAATTTGGAAAGTTGAGTGGATTCATTTATATTGAAGATGTATGCAAGCTTTGAACAACTATACTTTGAAATGATAGCGGTAGACTTGTTATGATTCATTGCTGACTTGAGATAGTCCTTATACATTTTAAAAATTTTAGAATAAATCTAAGGCTTAAAGTTTTATTGTGATTGCATTTTCAGGATAAGATAACTTGAAGCAGGTAAATATCGCAGTAACTCTCAGTGTGAAAATAACAGTCATTATTCTTGTTTCCCTTGACTTTTGAGCACACATAACAGAGCAAAATAAATTTGCAAAAGACGTTTTTTTTTCCCCTGAAACAGAGTTTGCCTGTGTAACAGCTCTGACTTTCCTGGAACTCACTCTGTAGACCAGGCTATCCTCAAACTCAGAAAAATCCCCCTGCCTCTGCCTCCCAAGTGCTGGGATTAAAGGTGTGCACCACCACCACTGGGTTTTGACATTTTAAACTTTTGCTGTCATGAGTTGAGACATCAGCCTCAGGTTATCTGGTAGATTCTAGGAAGTCTGCAATGGCTCAGACCTTGAAGCTTAACACTGGCCAATGTTGAACAAATTAATTTAACTTTCTCTACCCTCCTTCCCCTTTAAGTGGAGACATGGTTGTTGTGAGGGTAACATTTGTACACTTATATTGTGTGGACAAGTGTGAGCCACACTGTGAGCAGTTTTAGAAGGTTGAAAAATCAGCACCATTCAGCAAACACTGCCAGACCTTGGGTGTCGGCAGTCTCTCATGAGGAAGAGTGGTTTCCAAATCCTTATGCCTTTGATATCATGAACATGGCAAACTTTTTAAAATTTAGAAGATTATGCTATAGATGTAAATTGTTGTAGAAATAGTTCTTAGCCACAAGATGACGTTTACTTCAGTATTAATTACATGCATTTGTGAAGTGCATTGGAAAATACTGTCTCCCCAAGTAGTGGCTCTGACCTCACCAATGCATAGGATATTATTTTCAGAGAAATGACATGAATTTATTTAAAACAGTGGCTTTTTAAAAATGTTTTTTGACTTTTATGTATGAGGTGTGTTCTGACTTAAAAGTGGTCCCTCCTTTTCTTTCTAACCCATCTCATACATGGGAGGTGATTGTGTTAGCATGTCTGATAGTAATTTTTATTTACCCTGTATCTCAGAAGCATGTTAGTGCATTTAAACTTACTTCCAAAAAAGAAATATTTGTAAGTGGTGTGTCTCCTGTAGGAATGGATGCCTCTATTTCTGTGAAGCCAAAGCAGACTGATGTGTTTGCCAGACTTGAGAATATCGTAGTTATGAATGTTGATTCACTGTCCATTCACAAAAAGGTAATTACAAAGCTGATCTCTGTGTTGAAGCGTGGTGTCTGGGGACCAGGTGCCACTACTTATGTCTTCGCTGTGTGTTTGTTGTTCATCTGACTTGTGTTGGGCATATTAGGGCTGGAGATGGAAATGGAAGGTCGATTTCAGGTTGTAAAGCCTGCTGTGTAGTGATTTGAACAGTTATTTCCGGAAAGCTTATTAATGAAGTGACACTTATAGAAAAGGAAAACGATGACGGACGTTGAAGGTTGAGTTTCCGTGTTGTTTTTCACTTGTCAGTTATAAGCCGGCCTCTGGGGACAGGAGCTGCGGAAGAGAAGAGGGAGGGAGAGGGTAGGCAAACCCACCCTTTAAAGGGGAACACAGGGAATGTGCATAGGGGGTGCTCTTAGTGGCCGCAGCTGAGGACTATTTTGTCAGGACCCCAAGGGCAGGCCAGTACAGATGCCTGAATACTAAGTCAGGCCCTGTGAATCAGGATGAGTACTGAGGGTCCAGTGACAAGGTTTCTGTAGCTCTGCTGTAATAACCGATTGTCTTGTAATGTCAGGCCGTCTCTATTTTGGGAGATGAAGTCTTCAGGTTCCAGATGACGCTGTATCCAGATGCCACAGAAGGCGAGGCCTATGGTGATATGTCCAAAGTGGATGGCAAACTTAGTCTCAAAGTGGGCTGTATTCAGATTGTCTATGTTCATAAATTCTTCATGTCTCTTTTGGTAAGTGTATTTTTATTTGTACTTATTTCTCACTGAGGTCTAAATATTGTGGCCATATACCTCAATATAGAGAGTTAAAATCTGCACTAATAGGGTATGTTTGTTAGTCTTCCAGCACTGTGACAAAATACTTGAGATAAACAGCAGAAAAGAAAAAGACTTGTTTGGACTCCGAGATTAATAGGCCTTTGACCATGATTGCTTGGCTCTCTTGTTATGTTGAGGGAGACAGTTCTGATAGAATGTGTGTGCTGGGACAGGGCTGCTGACTTCATGGCTGCTGGGGAACAGAAAGGACAGATGGGGCCCAGGTCCCAGCGTCCCCATAAAGGGCATGCTCCCCAGTGACTGCACTTCCTCCCATCATGCACTACTCTAAAAGTCGTGAAGCATCAGTAGTGTCACAGCCTTGTAGCCCAGCCTTCAGCACAGGATCTTTGGTGAGCATTTAAGATTGGGAGCATAATAAATGGTTGTGTAATAAACACCCAAACTCTGAACAGAATGTTCTAAATAAGTAAATATTGTACTTACTTATTTTTCTAAATAACAACGTGTATTTTTAAAGATTTATTTATGTATTGTCTATACAACATTCTGCCTCTATGTATGCCTGAATACCTGAAGAGGGCACTAGATCTCATTATAGATGGTTGTGAGGAACCACGTGGTTACTGGGAATTGAACTCAGGACCTCTGGAAGAGCAGTCAGGGCTCTTAACCTCTGAGCCATGTCTCCAGCCCCCTTTTAAACTGTCATTCTCTAATGTTTTCATAGTTAACATTTCAAAATACTTTTGGTATTTTATTTTTATTTATGTTTGTATATACACACACATATGTATTGTTTGCTTTTTAGTACTTGGAGGTTTTGTTGTTTTTGTTTTGTTTCAATTTGTTTTGTTTTTAGAGACAGGGTTTCTCTGTATAACAGTCCTAGCTGTTATGGAACTATCTCTGTAGACCAGGCTGGTCTTGAACTCACAGAGATCCATCTGCTTCTGCCTCCCAAGTGCTGGGACTAAAGCCACCATCACCCAGTTTGTTTGTTTGTTTATTTTACACAGGACCTCATATAGCCAGACTGGCCTCAAGTTCACTGTGTCGCTCAGGATAACCTTAAATTTCTGATCCTCCTGCCTTTATCTCAAGTGCTGGGACTAAAGGTATGCACTACCATACCCAGCTATTATTTTTATGTAGTTTATTGTTTGTATTGTTTGCTATTGTAATTTAGGGCTTTCCAATATTAGTTGTTTGGTAAATACCCAAAGGTCATTATGTAGTTGAAGAACGAATATTGAAACTTAGAGTTTTGATTATATTTGTGATGAGCCAAACCATGAAATTCTTACTTCTACTGGGTCCTTGCAAATATTTTGAGCTGAAGAGTGTAAATCTTCTTACTGGTTCTCCATTTCTATCTCAACCATCATGTTTATGTTTCTAGAATGTATTTTGGGGTAGTGAAAGAGATGAAATCACTCTTGTATGATTAATGGATGCACACTAAGAATATTGTTTTTAGATTCTTCATTTGGAAAATACTTTATTTCAGTTGAAATGGAGGTGACGTATATGTTACCACAAGTAACTTTTGATTCCTGTTAATGATTGCAAGATGATAGGACGATAGACAATTAAGCATATTTGTACGTCTAGGGTACATTACAAAATCTTCATGAATTAGCTGCTAAAGCATTAGTTGCCAAGGATAAACTTTATTCTTGTATCCTGAAAGCACAAGAGTGGAACCTATTTTGGGAAAGGGTACTAACTTACATAACTTCCTTTTCGTTTAAATTCCAATGTAAGATGTGTCGTCATTCCGAGGAAAGTGGGTGCTTAAGTCACAAGTAACATTTCTCTCACGCGTGCTCTTTATTGAGCTCTGCAGGGTTTTCTCTGGTGCACTGTGTCTACCTGTCATTCTCTCCGAACAGAGCTTCCTCAACAATTTCCAAACTGCCAAAGAAGCCTTGAGTACAGCCACAGTCCAGGCTGCAGAGAGAGCTGCATCCAGCGTGAAGGACCTGGCGCAGAAGAGCTTCCGGCTTCTGATGGACATCAACCTGAAAGCGCCTGTCATTACTATTCCCCAGTCTTCTGTGTCTCCTAACGCCGTTATAGCAGATCTTGGCTTAATCAGGGTTGAGAACAAGTTTAGCCTGGTTCCTGTGGAGCACTACTCTCTTCCCCCAGTGGCTGAGAATATGAGCATCCAGCTTACTCAGCTGAAGCTCTCCAGGTTTGTGTGTGTCGTCTAGGAGTTTATTGCTTTCTGTGAATTTCCAAAAATTTGTTTTCACCTGCAGTAATTACTATGATAATTCATAATTCTCATTCTGTATTTATTCCAGTTAGGAAACTGACTGCTGCTTTCTGGCCAGTAGTTAATAGTATATGCTTTGGAGGGCCTATGTTTTAGCTTAATAATTTTATAGTATTTTTCCATTCTTTAAAAATGATTATAAAATTAAAATTTCCTAATGAGGAAGGGACAGGGCACATGCCTCTAGATCCACCAATTCAGGATGCTGAGGTGGGAGAGTCATGAGCTCACAAGTTTGAGACGAATTTAGGCAACATAGTGAGACCCTATCTCAAAATAGAAAGAGCTCTATACTTAGTAAACATTTGTTTTGTTTTTCTTAATTCTACATAGCTATTGATTTTTCTCTGTGATAGAGAGACCTTCCTGAATTGTAGTGTGATTTAAGATGTTCATTCCCAAACTTTGTTAGGCTTAGGAGTTTCCAGTGAGGCATCCAAGAGTCCTTAAATCAAAACATGAAACCCTTGACTCTGTTGGACAGCAGTACTTACTCGGTTATATAAATGGTTATTGGCAGACAAACTAGAAATGGCTGTTGTTCTATCTTCATTAACTTGTAGGTTTGGTGTGTTTTTCTCCTTGAGTTTGGAGAAATAATGCCACATTAAGGCTAAATACACAGTGACTTCATTAAGGATCTGGTTTTGGAAAGGTACGGCCTTTGCTTACACAGCATTGGACTAGTGTCCTATCAGACAGTCCTGGTAACAGCAGACACATTTATCAGACCTGATTCAAAGTTTATCTGAGTTTATTGTTTCAGATAGCTATGCATATAAACCTGACTTATTCCGATGGGTTGATGTCTGTAAAGAAACCTGTTCTAAAACAATCCTGATTGTAGCTTTTGAGCGTTTAGGAAAGTGTTATAAAAACATACAAAATATGGCTGTCTTCATTTTAAGTTATAGACTTAAAAATACGTGGATATTTATAAGAAATCCTTGTTATTCTTTCAGAACTGTTTTACAGTTTGATTCGCTCCAGCCTGACATTGAAATCTTAGAACCAGTGAATATGCTTTTATCCATACAGCGGAATTTGTCAGCAGCATGGTACACACAGATTCCAGGCATGGAGATCAAAGGAAAGCTCCAGCCTATGCAGGTGAGTATGTAAATTACAGACAGTGCTGGGTAGGCCTGCCTTGTTCGCAGTGCAGTTTCTGGTGTGTCTGAAAACCAACAGTGAGGTCTTTGTTCCGCACTCTTCTTCATTTCACTTTAGATAGACATTTGGTAAAGCCAGGATGAAGCCAGGATGGGGCCTGTGTGGATCCACTGAAAATATATATTTTTTAAATTGGAAAGTTTGATTAAACTCTATGTATGTATGTATGTAAGTACGTACGTACCTACCTACCTACCTACCTACCTACCTACCGTGTTCTGCTCTGCCTGCATGTAAGCTGCAGGCCAGAAGAGGGCACCAGATCTTATTACAGATGGTTGTTAGCCACCATGTGGTTACTGGGAATTGAACTCAGGACCTCTGGAAGAACAACCAGTGCTTTTTAACTGCTGAGCTGAGCCAGATCTCCAGCCCTGATTAAATCTGTAATGTAGTAAAATTGTCAGAGTGTTCAAATTGATGCTCAGATACTACATTCAAAACAAAAGTATTCTATGTTTTATTCATGCATGATTTGCATGTATTGGGGTACAATAGTTTGACTAGTATTGAATTGTATAGGGGAGGGGCCCTCTTTTATTTTGAAATAGTTATTTGAGTAGGCGTGTGCGTTTATTTGGGAGGCAGCAGTATTTTCAGTAGCATAGTTTAGGTCTGTCAAGGGATTTGAGGTCAAGGGTCAAACCAGGAAGGATATCAGTGAACAACCCTAATAACATGTTTCCAGGAAATTGCTTCAACAGTTAGAAACTGTGGGGTCATACTCTTAGCATTGTTCTCCAGAGTTGTAGAAGGGCCACCTAGTAGATGATGTAGTTTTTCAAGTTAGCTGCTCTCAGGCAGGTCTGATATCTTGGGTGACATCATAAGTAAGAAGTTTTAAAGTTGATGCCACATCTGTTACCAGAAACCTGGGGCATAGAGTAAGCAAAACATCCTTATTACCTGGTGCTTCGTGTTCCCCCATCATCGTGTAGGCAGGAAGCTAGACAGTGCTTGAAGAAGGTGCATGTATGTATTTTGTGTGCAGTTAAATGCAGATGCTTTAAACAACCCATGCACAAGTGCTTATACAAGCTTTGAGGACTGCTGTGTGTGCTGGGGGAGGGAGGGCTGAGCAAGGAAAAGATGAGAAGCTTCTAAGCAAAGCCTGAACTAGTGGGTCTTAATAACCTGTGGCCGTTTCCTTCAGTCTGGCCGCTCCACGTTGTTCAGCTCTCCACCATAACGATGCTATTGTTCATGTCCTAAAGATAAAAAAGACTTGCATTAAAGAAGCGGGGAAACTTGGCTCACACACAGCTTAAAGGCAAAGAGCTGGTACAGATCTGTCTCAAGAGCTTTTTAGTCTTTTTATCTCACATGCCCTTTTGTAAAGGTAAAAAGGGAGATGCTGCTTTTCCGGTGTGCATGATGTCTTAGAAAGTGTATGTTGGTAGTTGGATTAGCTATTATTGTAAGAGGTGGCATTTTTGCTAAGCTGCCAGATGTTTGTGTGTGTCTAGTTGTGTCTGTAATGAGATCAGAGCTACAGAAGGACAGGTCCGTTCTGGCAGAGACTGGAAGCTGAACATGTCCCTGTGTTGGACTTGGAGGAAAACAAGTGATAGCAAATGAGCTGGTGCTGGATGAGGTGAAAGAGAGGTGGAGTGGAGCCTGGAGCGAGGCCTAGGAATAGGGTGGTGTGGTCCCAGGGCAGGCAGGAAGGGCACTGGGTTCCAAGGGTCTGGATGCACTGGAGGTGTGTGTCATCCTTGATGAGACAAAATATTTCTCTACTGATGCTGCGGTTTCAGCACATGTGTTTTCTCTCTCTCAAGTAGATGAATCATTCATTCATGAGGCTATAAAGGCATAATGTTTTTCTTACATCAAGTAACCAAATTTTTGGTGGTTTTCAGGTTGCTCTCAGTCAAGACGACTTGACAGTTTTAATGAAAATTTTGCTGGAAAACCTTGGGGAAGCTTCTTCCCAGCCAAGCCCTACCCAGTCTGCACAGGAGGCTGCAAGAGTAAAGAGAGATACTCGGAGTGGACCTGACTACCTTAAAGGTAAAAGCTGATGAAGAGTTTTGTGTTGGCATTGAAAAATTAACAGCATCATACACTGTTCTCTGTTGGTTGTGTAGCACAGTGTTGTGAAAAGAGTCACTATTCTTAGTGTTTACTGTGGAAGGTCTGCTGGAGTTGTGGCAGGGTGTATACATTGTCTACAGTCAATACGTGATATTTCCACAACTGAAGCAAGATAAAGGACCCTTTGCTCTCATGAACCTCTCTAGAGTGCTACTTGAGCTTTACTGATGAAGCTGCCATTAGTAATTACTGTCATGTTGACAACATTACTTCCATAATTAGGCTGGGCATGTTTTGGGATTCTCAGAGTGTGTGAAAGAAGTTTAAATAGCTGAGGCCAGGATCATACTTTGAGTTTGGGTTTGCCTCAGGTGTAGACAAATGCTGGATAAGTAGACTGTTGTTAATAGGACACAGGAGATGAACAAATGTTAGTGATGAACGGTCTCATTGAGTTTGACCAGATTTGTGTTTCTGGTTCTCATTTTATAGTTATTTGTTCAGATGCAAACTGCAAATACAGTGGCGGAACAGAAATTATTTTCTGTAAACACAGAGCAAGCCCGAGGGTTTTCCAGCCTGGCAAAGTCTTGATTTTCTAGTAATTTTTCTAAAGAAGGACCCCGGGTCTCCAAAAGGTTGTAGACTTGTTTTATCTGTTCTGCATATCCTGTCTGTCTAAAGACGGGAAGGAAATTGAAATTACTTCTGGAGTCCCTTCATGTCAGTATTCTGAGGCTTCCCCATCATAATGCATTTCAGCTCTGCTAGTGAGCAAGTCTAAGATGCATCAAAGGTCCTGGAAAGTGTTCTTGGCCCACAGATCTTTTGGCAGCTCCTCAGTCTAGACAGTGTTTGATGTCACTGTTTAATACCAACTAGTTAGGAAAAACGTGCTGTGGTAATAACAAACTGCAATAACAAGCCTTACTTTGAAGGGATGTTTCAAAAAGTTGTCTTGATATTATTTAAAGATCATTTTTTTTTCTGTAAACTACCTCTGCCATTTTGCCCTTTATTAACTATATAGGGATCAGTAATTGCCATTTTTATTAATTGTCTAGTGGGTTATTTAAATATGATAGAAAGTATGATATAAATTTAGAATAATAATTTATCATTCCCGCCTTAAAATAATGTAGCTGTGTGTTTTCTTATTTATGCTTGAACCATCAGAACAAGATTTGACAGACCCAAAGGGCCCCGTGGATCAGACTGTCACCCTTCAGTTTGGCTTCCACTTTGACTCTCTGTCCATTATCCTTTACAACAATGACAGCCACCAGGTAAATAGTATATATTTTTTGTTACCAGAGATGACTCCTTTGCTCTTGAGAGTATTCAGTTTTTGTATGTTGGCACTTTTTGTTTTAATTATTAATTAAATTTAGTGTATCTACAATCCCTGTTTGACCTGAAAGTGTACATGGTTCATATGCTCAGCCTTTCCCCTAGGTTTCTAATCTTACCAGGCCAAGAAAGGTGTTCAGGGTTTCTCTCTCTCCAGAAAAACAGTACCAAAATGCGTTTATCCATCACTAATAGAGAGTTTTCCATATGAGTGTCTGGCCATATGTTTAATTTTATACATCAGTAGTCATCACTATTTAGGAAGAATAATACTGTCTTTGGAGCCTTTCACGATTATGTCCAGTCAGTAATAGATAAGTATGTATATAATAGGTCAGCAGTACTTTAGAAAGCCATTTTGTAATGCATAGTATCTTGTAATAGATATTTTATAGATTAGTTATGTCATATGTTAATGCCCATAACATATCATATAATGCCCAAGTTCATATCTATTAAAGAGTTTATATACTATTTGCACTTTTTATTTTATGGATGTTATACAGTGTTCATACATTTCTCCATTTGAGCTTTGTGATAATGTCCGTTGTTTGTGCAATAAACTGCCTAAAGTTCTAGTGTTTGGTATTCGTGCAAACCTCAGCAAATGCCTTTACTGAAAGTGCAAGATCCGCACACTCTTTATCTTACCTACAGACAGTCATCTGTTGATCTCCAGCCTTCAAATGCTGCTGCTGTCTTTGGCTTCTTTCTTCAACCTTACTTTTTAGACACTGCGTACTGTCACCTTTCTTTGGGTGCATATCTTCATTTCCCTTAAACTCTCCCCCCGTAATTTCTCACTGTTTTATATGAGACCCTTCTTAGCTCATGCTTGTGGTGCAGTGGCTTCCTTTGTCTGTACTAGACAGTGGCACAGCTTGTGTCCTTAGTGATTCTCGTGGAGACACTTGGAGGTTTTTATTTAGAAACATTCACTGTAACAGTACACGAGCCTTGCCTCCTCTCAGTACCACCCCTCCAGACCATCTGCATCAGGGATTGTTTGGAAATGTCTGTGTATTACAAGTCATGTCTGTCAATAGTTATACAGTTTATAGATTATGTCTATAAACTATAACTGTGTTATACAGTTTATAGATTATGTCTGTGTTTTATCTTATAAGATAAAAGCATTCTCTTTGCCAGTAATACTGTCATTCTCACCTCCTTGCAGTCACTATACTGTCTGAAGTTAGTGAGTATGTTGAGTACTGACCAGTGTGCCAACAGGACACACAGATACCTTAGTGCAGCCATGTACTCAGCTGTGTTCCTAGTACTTAGTTCCGTATGTGTGACTCAGCACTTGGAAATGCTGTGAGGTGGTTTGCATTTAAGCTCTGAATTGAGGAATGCGCTTAAATATACTTGGGTAATCTTTAAAGATCATGTATTCCTTTGCTTGAAAAATGTACTACAGGAGTCCAGACTTTCATTTCATAATGATAGTTTCCGTCTTGGCGAGCTCAGACTACACCTGATGGCTTCTGCAGGGAAGATGTTCAAGGATGGGTCTATGGATGTCAGCCTTAAACTGAAGACATGCACCCTTGATGATCTCCGAGAAGGAATTGAGAGAGCAACATCCAGGTTTGTCAGATCAGAATTTGCATGCAGGGTTTCAGGTGGATGTTAGCCCGCCATTGCGAGGTGTGGATCCTTAGCAGAGTCTATCCTTTGGTCTTATTTTCAAAATTGAACTGCGAGAAGACATAATGGTGCTCTCTGCTTCAAACTTTAAATGAGAGGGGAATTTATTAGTAAAGCCAAGTACCATTTTAACAATGAGAACTAGAAGGTTAAAGAGTTTTAATGAGTTGGTGATGTATTTTTCCAGGTTATTGCCAATAGGCAGAATTATTATTATTATTTTTTAGAATCCTTAAATTTATGCATCCTTCTCTTTTCTTGTTTACTTTGTCTTTCAAACAAATTCTACAGAATTTCTTCCAGTTTCAGTAGGAATATACGCTTTAGCATCATTATGTTATCAACCCATGTTGAAAGATTAGCTTATATCAGTCTGGCATGAAATATGTAACCTAAGTAGCTTAATTGTGTTTTTATTACTTTCTCATGGAATGAGATGTGTCATATTTGGTATTTTCTTGTGCAAAAGACTATGTTGCTATTTAAACTTGGACAGCATTGTCTATTTCCTGGATTCTGCTGAACCTGTGACTTTCAGAAAAATGAACAAGCAAGGAAAGTTTGCTCTAGTAACCCGGTTTTCTAATTACAAATTTCATGGCCAGGATAGTTATCCACAGATCTTTAGGCAATAGTGTTGGGTTGATTGATGAAATCATCTTCTAGAGTAGCCTTAATCTTCTCAGTACATGTGAGGGTGTCGAGGAACCGTCATAGATACGGATACAGTTGTTAATTTGGGTTGCACTGAGCACTGTGGGAATAAATCTGATCTCTTCCGCACACATGAGGATGTATAGGAATCATCATTTTAGATACTGATAAACACTTGTGGATTTGAGTTGCATTGAACACTGTGGTAATAAATTTCATAAGGTGATCAAATTATGTAGATAAATTATTTCAGGGAGGTTTTATTTAGTAGAATAAAAAGGTTTGCTATATTTTGAGGGACTGCATTCATACATTGCTGATTACTCACGATCATTTCCGGCACTCTGGTATTGCATTATAATTACAGAATATCCCATAATTGTTTAATCACATGAATCTTTCTTTGGAGATTAGGCAGCCATGTCTTGGCTGCTAATTGGGTGATTATATTCCAATTAACACCGTTCTTTTTCTATTCAGAGTAGAAACTGAAGGGTGAAAGAGAGATGATTAAAATGCAAGGGGACATTTTCATTCCTTTGTTATCTGAGCAGGAGAAGAGGAGTACAATAATGAATGGCGTGTTTGTTTTTCAGGATGATCGACAAAAAGAACGGCCAAGATAGCAATAGTTCTATGGTTGATGTAAGATATAGACAAGATAAAAATGGAAGTCAGATTGATGCTGTTCTTGACAAGTTGTACGTGTGTGCCAGCGTGGAGTTCCTGATGACCGTGGCAGATTTCTTCATCAAAGCTATGCCTCAGAGTCCAGAAAACATAGCAAAAGAAATACAGATTCCATCAAGACAGACAGCCATGGGGAGAGTCAAGACAGAGAAAGGTTAGGAGAAATTACCTCTCTGTCTTGCATGAAGATATCTGTATTTTAACAAAAATTAGAAACAGAACCCAGAGGTGGAGAATTTGAGAAAGTAAAATTAGGCTTGTAGATTTAAGCACATTCTTTGTAACACTCCAGTAAGTAAATGTTTTTAAATGATGATGTAAAGTAGGGAGTTAACCAGTTAGTGGCTGCTTGTTTTATAAAAGGGAGTCATTTATTCAAACAAAACACTTGGAAGCATCCTAGTGCATTGAAGGGTAACAGAAAAGCTAGAAGGAGGAGGTGGAAACAGAAGAGGACTCAACTGACCCAGAACCCCCTTTAGTTCTTTAAACTTTGAGGAAGACTACAAATGCCTGGTATAGAATGGTGGAAGCCGTTTTCCACTTGGTAGTTTTTATATTCCAGCTTTATCAAGCATATTGTTGATTTTCTGTGTTGAATTTAAGATTGTTTTAAGGTTAGATGTGTTTGATTTCTTTTCTTTAATGTAAAACCTGGAAAAGTCTCAAAGAGAGCTTATATTGGCAAGATTGGAACATTGCTTTCCCATTTGCTGTGACGTTTTTACTAGTGGTCATGCCTGATGATGCCATGTTTACTTCTGTAAGTTTGTACTGTGGGTCACATGGCATGGAGAGTGGTGGTTTTGATGAAACCGAAGTGAACTAGTGAGAGTGGTTAATCTCCTTCATCTGAGTCTTTTCCTGAAAGCTGTTTTCTGCTCCTCGCCCCTGAAGCTGTACTTAACACATTTGTGTTTGTTTATATGTGCACACACCTACATTTCATCTCAAGGCACCTCCTAAATCATGCCATTTATAAATGCTCCAGTAGCATTGACCGTCTTTGGTTAGACTTCTAATTGCATATATATATAATGTATATTTAATATATAACATAATATATATTCATATTCAGCAAATGGGTAGATGTGAAGATTTACATTAAAATTTTTCTGTCCCTGATGTTTCTTCAGATGACTCTGTAAGACCAAATATGACCTTGAAGGCCATGATCACAGACCCGGAAGTGGTGTTTGTTGCCAACCTGACAAGGGCGGACGCTCCTGCTCTGACAGCCTCATTCCAGTGTAACCTCTCCCTGTCAACATCCAAACTCGAGCAGATGATGGAAGCTTCTGTGAGAGACCTGAAAGTGCTTGCCTGCCCCTTCCTGAGAGAAAGGAGAGGGAAGAACGTCACCACGGTGAGGAAGACTGTAGACATTGGCGGTGAAGCTAGTGAGAGAGTGTAATTCTAGACTCTGCTAGAGAGTGCCTGGCTGGACATCACAGACTTGGGCTTTACGGATCTGATGTTAGGAGGCTCAGTCATTGCCACCAGTGACAGAAGTAGGGGTGCCTCCAGGTGAACTCTTTTTATCGTTGCATTTCTCTTGGATAGGTTTTGAATTTTATGAAGACCCAGTGTTTTTTCCCTCACCTTTTTATTTGTTCTCTGTAGTACAACCAATGAGTGAATGAGAAAATAAATGTGGTATGAAAAAAATTGTAATTGGAGTCATGTGACTAAAAAAGAGGGTTGTATTCTGTTGTTAAAAGTTAATTTAAATTCTGCTTTATGTTATTTTTGAAATTTGTGATCTTAGCTTAATTAACTTACTTATACCAATTATTTTTAGTGCCATATCTATAACTTTATGGTAAGAGAATCTTATATTGCTTGGCTCACTTGCAGTATTGTTTTCAATTTGGAGGGTTTTGGAGGTATGTTATAAGCACAGAGAAGTGATGCCTAAGCTTCCACGCTTGATCATGAATTATTCTTCAACATACGATCTTTTACATGTCACAAAGAACTAATAGTAGTCACTTCACTGAAGACAGGTTCTAATTAAAAACCACCATAGTTAAATGCCGTTGCCATGGCCTCATTTATTAAGAGACAAAGTTACTTGTATCTTTAATGATATATGTAGGATTCTAGTTTTCATAGTTCAGTCCTCAAGTTTGAAGACTTGAGGTCTGTCCTCAGAAGGACCATCTGTGCTATTCACAGCCCGTTAGTCTTCATGACACATCTTGTACTCTCTGCACTCTAGGTGGTAGCTTGTGTTTATAGTTACCTCAAAGGAGCACTTTATGAAGGGCATCATAAATGATAAATAAAGAAGGTGTTTTACCAAGAAGGGAATACTTTGGAATAGAGTCCTTGAACTGTGCCAGCTTTGATTTGGTATAGAAGAGCGTCTCTAGGAGGGACAGCTAATGTGCCTTTGCTTGCCATAGAGCTGGGGGGAAAGTTCTTATAACTGTATTATACATAATGGATGCATTCCTAGGGAAATGTGACTTTCTTTTTTTGTTTCTAGGTGTTACAACCCTGCTCTTTATTTATGGAGAAGTGCACATGGGCTTCAGGGAAACAGAACATAAATATCATGGTTAAAGAGTTTGTAGTTAAGGTTGGTGCCTCTCATACATGTTCTTTCACTGGAGGTTCAGTTTTACTTTTACACGGCATTGTGTATTTTTAGTGCTTTGCAACCATATCTTTTGGTGTCTCACAACCCTGGTGTTATTGCTGGGCACTTAATTGGTAATCAGGATAACTCTGTAATTCAAGTATCTTTTCTTTAATATACATGCTTATTTGTGCTGTTTTGGAAAGAATATTTTCTCAAATAACTTTATAAATATTTTTGTTTTATTTATTACTGTACCTGTGTGCCTGTGTGCATGTGTGTATATACACATATACATGTATACTATGGTACCATGTAGAGTTCATAGGACAAATTTCTGGAGTCAGTTCTTTCCTTCTGTGTCTCCTAGGAACTGAACTCGGGTCGACAGGCTTGCATGGCTAGACTTAACCCATTGAGCTATCTTACCTGCCCATAGTAATGCCTTTTATCTGTAAATGATGAGAGTCTCTCTCTCTTTTTTTCTATTTGTTGCATGTGTGTATTGGGCAGGTTAAGTAGGTGTGGAGAACAGAGATGGATGGGAAAAGAAGGGAAGAAAGGACGGTGAGGTGAAGTTGAGATTACTTTGTTTGTAGTTATTTGTTTGGTTTTTATTTGCTATTTAATTTGATTCAGCTTAATAATTATGTGGTTAAATATTCTGTATGTCTTTACAAATATGTATAGTGGCAGGTATATACCTGAGATGAATTATTAGGACTTATTGTGTTTTAAACCCTTATGTAATGTATTGCAAAGAAAAAAAACCTCAGTATTTTCTAATAGCATTCAGTTTCTGTTTTCCCATTTTCTTATGTCTCACTTGGTGTGGTGTGTGCATGGTGAGTCAGTGTCTACCTCTCTTTCTCTCCATCTTATTGTTTTGAGACAGGGTCTCTTGTTTAATCTGGAGCCCAGTGGTTGGCTGCACTGGCCATAGAGCAAGCTCCCAGGTCCTGCCACAGCTGGCTTTTTATGTGACTACTTGAGATCTGAGTCAGGTCCTCATGCTTTAAAGGGAACACTTTACTTAGCAGGCATCTCCCAGCCTGGCCTTTAAATTCTGGAGGTTGACTTTGTGCCCATTTACAAGTGGGAATAGAGAAGCATTCTGGTTTTTTTTCTTTCCAAAGTATGAAAAAAAAAATGGAGGGATTTTTGCCAGTCATGATAGATCAGAGACCAATAATGACTGAACTAAGGCTTAAATTGATTACATCTACAGTTTTGTCTAAATGACAGTGTAGTTTTCTGTCTTTAAAAAATATTGAATAGTCTTAAATTGTGTTTTGCCAACTGGTAATGAATTTACCAGCTTAAATATATGGAATGCTAAGTGGAGCAAAACCTTTGAATTTACATGTATTTTTCTAAGCCATTAGGTTAGTTGCTGGAATAATATTTCATACCTGAACATATATTTATTCAATAAAATTTTTATTTTTATTTTTTATTTTTGAAGCAGGGTCTTACTTTGTAGCCCTCGCTGGCTTTTAACTCACAGAGATCTCCTGACTCTGCCACCTAAGTGTTGGTTAGGTTAAAGATGTGTGCCACCACACTCTGTCAAACATTTTTTTCTCTTACTGTGTGTAAAAATGTCCTGTGTAGGGCAATCATAGTTAATTCCTACAAGAGAGTTAATGACACTTACAGGAGAAAGAAGGAAAACGGTGATTATAGCCTTTTGTGCAGGCAGCACATGCATCCAGGCCAGTGCATATGAAAAGCTCGCTGAAAGCAGGCCTTCCTGAACTGAGTCTTCAGAGTCCTTAGGACGAGATTGATGAGGAGGAGGAAAAGGCTATCCCTATAGGACTGGCAGTGTGTGCAATGGAAAAGTATAAAGAGGCTGAACACAAGAAGAGCTTAGGGGGTGGCCCCTGTGGCCAGACAGATGGTGTGGTAGAGTGTAAGCCTAGGTAATGTTCATCCAGCCAGGGAAAACAGCGGTCTCAGCTGATGATAGGTAAGGAAGCAGTGTGTGCTGGAGTCTGCATGTCTGTTCAGCCTATTAGAAAAGTGGGGATTAGAGAAATAACCCGTAAAGGACTCCTTCTAAGTTATTTACCCCAAGGTGTAACAAGCGCTGGAGAATTCTGGCTAGCCAGTCAAACAGGCACTGCCTCACAAGGAACTTTTTGTACCCAGTCAAGGAGAGTTTGAATTTATTCTGATAGTGCTGGAAGGTTTCCAGGGATTTTAATACAACAACAATGCTTTGCCTACATTTGGTGTTAAAAACAGTTGTGCTGGTGGCATTTGGGGGTGGGGGTGGGGCTGAGGGTGCCGGCTGGATTATTGGTATTATTTGTGTAGCGCTGAGGTAGAGATAGGAATGAGAGTGAGCCAGGGCATTCTCCAATGATGAGCAAGCATCATTAATCCGGGATGGGATGAGAGGGTCTTCAGTCTCAGCCTCTTGCTTCTGACCTTGATGAGTGAAGTTAGCTAGGAGCCCGTTGAAAAAGTTGGCTGCATGTGCACATTTTTGTTGTTTTTGTTGTTCATGTAATATTATCTGGTTCTGAATTAGTAGTTTCCACTTTGGGTTTGACTGTTGATATAACATGAACTATTTAATTCCCGAGGACCTGAGCTGAGATTCTTAGGCAGTTAGTTGAATTCCCGTTTTCTTACTTTCCTTTGTTCAGAACTTAATATATTTAAATTTGTTACTTGATTTTTGACTTTTGAAACCATGTATTTCAATTTTCATTTGGGAAGGAATCGATTCTGAATATATTTCTGCTTTCCTTTTTAAAGATCTCGCCTATAATCCTCAATACTGTGATGACCATCCTGGCTGCTATGTCTCCAAAAGCCAAAGAAGATGACTCGAAAGACACTGCTAAGGAGATGGACAATCTCTGGGCCATCAAACCTGTTACTGATTATAACTCTTGGTTTCTTGGTGTTGACACAGCAACAGAAGTAACAGAAAATTTCAGAGACTTTGAACGTCCCCTGATAGAGGAAAACTGTGTGGTTGCTGTGGAGTCAGTTCAGGTCACCCTAGAATGTGGCCTTGGGCATCGCACCATGCCCCTGTTACTGGCAGAGTCTAAGTTTTCTGGAAATATTAAAAACTGGACTTCTCTAATGGCTGCTGCTGCTGACATGACATTAGAGGTACGGCCGTCTTGGCACCTCCAGAGCACAGCTGGAAAGCACCCTTACATATGTGAGAGAGACAGCTGCAGCAAGTCTCCATGCGAATAGATAGCATAGTCTAATGTTTAATGCGATGGTGTAGAATTACATGTTATAATTATTCTTAGAGAATATCTTGCTAAGTAGTTTATTGGCAGCAGAGCAATAGAAAGGGGGAAGCTACATTGTATTTTGTGTGTGTTTCTTTAGGTGGGATTTTAAAATGGCTTTTGATATAGAATAGTAACTTAGTATGCTTTTTCTACTGATTACATAATTATATGATTAATGTTGAACAACCAAGTAATTGAAATTCTGCACCTTTTCAGGTTCACTATTATAACGAAATCCATGCTGTCTGGGAGCCACTGATTGAAAGAGTGGAGGGGAAAACACCATGGAGCTTAAAGCTTAATGTAAGGAAGCCAGTGCTTTGCTCAGCGTGATGCCAAGCGTCGTCCTTAGGTGTTAGTTCAGGGATTTCCAAGATTTGGTCCAGGGTCTGTGAAGCCACTTAAAATGTTCGTGAGGCGATAACTCCTTTCACAGCAATAATGAAACATCATATATAATTCTTATTCCTATTTTCTCATGATATACAGTACAGTTTTTGAGAGACTGATTACAGAAGTTTAGTCTGTGTAGCAGAACTGCAAATTCATGTGTTACTGCAGACATTCATGATACGTATCAAAGTCTCTCTTCATGCTTACATTTTTAAGATTGTTTTTCCATTAAAACATTGATACAAGGGATAGCTCTCCCACTCTTAGGACCACAGGACCAGCTCTCCCACCTGGTCCTGCTGCCACAAGGCCATGCTGCCACAAGGCAGATGAGAGATGGGGAGAGCTTTCCCGTGTTCACAACTTCGCAACTGGCTCACTGACACCTGAGCTAACAGAGATGACTCTGTGGTGCTGCCCTGGCAAGGTGAGGGCCTGCTCTCCCGAATGTTGCCGCTGGTCAGGGTCCAGGACAGTTCTCTTATGACCACAGGGCCCAGCCTTGAACCAGACCAATGGCCTCTTACAAGGAAAGATAAAGGGACAAAGGGGTTCATTGCATGACTCACTGTGTCCAGCTTCCATGATGAGATTTTTAAGTTTTCCCCTTTCTTTTTTATTTGTTTTTTCTTTTTAATTTTATTTGAGGGGTGTGCAGGGGTGGAGAGTGGATGTGAAGGGATGGGGAAATGAATGGATCAAGATACAGAATAGACACATAGAATAATAATAGTTAAAACATACCTTTTATTTTTATATATTAAGTGTTCTCAGTTTAATTTCTAAAATAGTACATGTTGGTAGATAAAACTCACAAATGGAACCTTTTTAATTATCCAGTGATTTTTAGGAATGAGCCTCCCAAATTGAGAATTAATATTATTATAAACTCTGTTTTTGACATTTATTGTTTGTTATTTGACATTTAGTACTTCAGAATCCTTGATGTGGAAGTTTGTTTTTCTACGTATGCAGGAATGTGAGGTGTGTGCTATTAACAGACTATAGCCACTTGCCTTGCTGAGGTTACTGATGGAGGAGTCTCACATGTAGAAACAGCTATAGCAAATTCCTTTTTAGAGATGACCACTGAGTTAACTTGTATTCCTACTCTTCCTGACTAAAGCAGGGGCGGTATCTGGTCTACCTCTCTCTGACATAATGAGACTGGAAGAGAATATTTAACGAAGGTTTTGATTTGCTATTGGAATGAAAATGTGAATGTTATTTGCAATAAATTTAATCCAGAAGCTTACCATATTACTTACCAAAAAAGTAGTAGGAAAAATCATCTTATTTCCAGATGACATCCCTAACCAGAATCAGTTAGACTTTGGAGTTACCTTTAATTGCTAATGCATGCTCAGGAGCTAGCTCACCCCAGCAGTGCTTGTCAGGTGTGACTGAGTCCTCAGCATTGTCCTTAGCATCGTGATGAGTGTTTCCTTTCCGTAGCCTAAGTGCAGAGAGAAGGCTGCTGATCTTCGCTGAATCACAGGGTTGCTCTTTATGGTTGAAAATGAGATCTTGAGGAGACATATTGTAAACTAACTAGTTCAGCTGAATCCCTCAATGTTGAACTTTTAAAAGCTACCGTTGGCTATTTGACTAATAACTAATTCTGTATGGTGTTTCTCTTCCTAGGTGAAGAAGAACCCGATCCAGGATAAAAGTTTGATGCCGGGAGATGATTTTATTCCTGAGTCACAAATGGCAGTTCATATTTCTTCAGGAGCTACGATGAATATCACAATATCCAAAAGCTGTCTTAATGTTTTCAACAATTTAGCAAAAGTATGTGTGATTCTGATTTGGAACATTTCATATAGGATTTATGAATGAAACATGTATGGATTTTTTTTGTTATCAAAATAAATTTCAAGAGGACATGTAGCCATGGTAAAATGCTCATAAGAAGTATACTTCTGGGGTCTCACTGTGCTGTGTTCCTTTGCAGGGCTTCTCAGAGGGGGCTGCTTCTACTTTTGACTACTCTCTAAAAGACAGGGCTCCTTTTACAGTCAGGAATGCCCTAGGTGTTCCCATTAAGGTGCAGCCCAATCGTAACCTCAAGGTGATGGGTTCCCCAGATAAGAGTGACATTTATGACGTGGACACTGGTCAGCATTTGGAGCTGGAATATGACAACCTGGAACCTTCGCGTCAAGGAAAGCTGTCGATTCTGAGCCGGCAGGAAAGTTCCTTCTTCACCCTGACCTTTGGTATGCTGCGCTTCCGTGTCTTCAGAGCATGGCAGGAACTGTGGCAGCTTATTTTTGATAAGTCATCCGATACGAGTTTGCTGAAGCTATCCTGTGAAACATTTGTCAGAGGTTGCAATAAATAGTGGACAATTCATCTATGGGTTTCTTCTAAACATAAAGTTGACCTTAACTAATAAATGCACATAAAACTTGATTATTACTATGCCCTAAATAATAAGTATTATGTTTCAAAAAGGATGAGCAATCAGTTCAGGGAGAAACGTGGTTATAGTCAGAAGTCTAAAGCCTTAATACCATTACAAAGGCAGGGGAATTGTTGTTATCTAGTTGAGAGAATAAAAAAAATAGGTTGGATTTTATTTACTTTTAGTATATTTAACCCCTTGCTGTTTGTAGCAAAAGTTTTATATTATTGTCTTTTTATTTTTAAATCTCAGAGTCTTAGAAAAACATGTTTTCTAAAGATAAACAAGCATACCCTTGTCATCATTGTGGCATGTTATTATTTTGCTTAAGTTATTTACTTATATTTTGGGGTGTTTTCCTTTCATGTATGTCTGTGTACCATGTGTGTGCCTCGTGCCCTTGGGGGCTGGAATAGGGCCTAAGATCCCTTAGAACTGATATTGTGGGTGACTACGAGGTGTCATATGGGTGCTGGGAAGTGAACCCAGATCCTCTTAACTCTGTAGGTCTAGAGTTTGCTATTATTAAAAAAGTGAATATTATAATTCTCTTTTCCTGTGCTCTACTTTAGTACCACATGGCTATACGGAAGTGGGCAGTGTCCCTGTGGCCAGGCCTGGCCGGCGATTGTATAATGTACGGAATCCCAGTGCCAGCCGTTCTGATTCTGTGTTGGTGCAGATTGATGCGACAGAAGGTAATAAGGTCATCACTCTCCGCTCGCCTCTGCAGGTAATGCTGTGGCAATGTGTGTCCCTTTGGGTGTGCTGGGCATTTGTCATCTAGCTGGGTGTGAGAGGTGCAGTAAAACTTCCTGAGCACCTCTGACGGTTTACAAATAAACGACTAAGTGAAACAGCTTCTGCTCCTACCTGGTTCTGGTACTATGATTTATTTTAAATGGCTTGAAAAACAGTTTCATGCATGTATTTATTTATTTATTTATTTACTCATTTACTTACTTACTTATTAAATAAAGTCCAGTTTTACTGCCCACAAACCCATAAGCACTTACGTTCCTTTAGAGATTTGGAACACTTAAACATCTAAACATTATTATGTTCTTTGAGAAATTTAGAGCTGAGATACTATAATATGGTTGATTGTCAAGTAGGATAGCCTTCTGTTCTCTTAGTAGATCATCACTTGAGGATGGATTTTTCAGATATGTGTTAGGTGTTCGAAATGACCTACTCTCATGTAAAAAAAGAAAGGCATTTTAATCTGTATAAATATTTTCCTTTCTATTTTTAGGGTTATACGAAACCTTTAGTCTTTCCAGCGTTACTACAGGCTTAGTGTATGTGTCAGTGTAAAGAACATTTCTCCTTGCCTAGTGCATGTGTACAGATTGGAGCTATTTCACAGCTTGGACCGCTACCTCTTAGGTCATTGTTAGCTGCGGCACAGTCTGCAGTGCAGTCAGGAAAAGAGCTCCATGGCTTTGCTCATTTCTTTGTCACATGGTGTGGTAATGGGAGGCTGTGATGGAGAAAGCATGGTTGCAGTCTTCAAGAGTGCTGCATCTTTAATAGTGGCCTAGACTAGCAATATACACGTGATATGTAGAGAATGTGGCGATGTGAACTCGCAACTGTTACTTAAACATTAAGTACAATGTTCACATGTAACAATTACATACCTAAATATTCTTGTTAGCCCATGGAAATAGCTTCCAAAGTTAAGTCAAAGCTTTCTGGATCTATGGTAAATCTCCATGCATGCTACATGCTTTCTTTTTAACTTATATATCACTTTAAAGAAAACATTTATATATCCATTCAACAGATTAAAAACCACTTCTCGATATCATTTATCATCTACAAATTTGTCAAGAATGTTAAGCTGCTGGAGCGCATTGGAATAGCCAGACCTGAGGAGGAGTTCCATGTCCCTTTGGATTCCTATAGGTACGCACCTCTGTGGATGTAGTAAGCTTCCAAATGGGATGGTGGTCACCAGAGCTGGGGATGGATGGGCAGCACTGCCGAGGAAATTCTAAGGGGTGTTGGTGATGGAGTAAAGAACAGTAAGTGTGCACAGTTAGATAGGGTATGTGGAAGTACTATAGGGAAGCCTGCTAATGTGTCCGATTAATGTGAGTTGTTAATTATATAGATAAATAAATGTTATAAAAGAAAATAATGTGTATTCTTAGTTTTATGAATTGGATCTCTATTTTAGGGAGAGCTGCCTCACATTTTTAACTGTCCTAGCCATACAGCAGACATCTTTAGGTTACATAAGTCTTTATCCCTTAGAGCAGAAATACATATGTTATCATTGAATTGACAGTATAAACTTTTCATCAGATATTTGATGCTTTGCAATTTTCTAAGATTACATATTTTATTAGCTTGCCTTTATAACCAAAATGAAAATGTTTTAAGTTGTCCTTCCTCTATGGGACAGCTCTGTCACCTCAGGTGTGTTCTCAACATTCTTAACAGTGGTTTCTGCATTTGTAACAATACCGGTACCCACCTTATCGAGCCATTGCGAAGACCCTGAGGTTCTTTTCCTCACCTTCTCTCGAACCCTCTAGATGTCAGCTGTATGTGCAGCCAGCTGGCAGGCTGGAGCAGCAGTACACACAGTCCACCACGTACATTTCCTGGAAGGAAGAGCTTCACCGTAGCAGCGAGGTGAGGTGCATGCTGCAGTGCCCTGCGGTGGAAGTCAACTTCTTACCGCTCATCGTGAACACGGTCGCTCTGCCTGATGAGCTGAGCTACATCGGTGCCCACGGGGAAGACTGGGACCCAGCCTACGTTATCCACCTTTACCCTCCTCTCACCTTGCGGAACCTTCTTCCGTATTCGCTAAGATACTTGCTTGAGGTATGTGTCTTGTATTTTTATTATTATTGCTGTTATTGTACGAAGTGAATTCTCGTTCTGTTTTATGATGTCAGTTTAAGTCGGTGTTTCATGTTTTTAAGATGCATTTATTATCATTAGCCTGGCACAGCTTTGCCGTTTAGTCCTCCTACTGTGTGCTTTCTGTTCCCATGCTTCAGTCCTCACAGTGGTCTCCGCAGTGGGTACAGATCCAGGTCCTGCTGCTCGACAGTGGTGAGGCTGGGATGTAAACCTAGGCAGTTCAGCTTCCCAATCCCTCTTCTTTTCTCTGCTGTGTTTGTCATAAATTAGAAGTCTCTTCATTATTTTAAGTCTCATTACCTAAAGGAGAGAAAGATGCAAATGGAAATAATTCACTCTGATTTTTGCCTTAAAGTTCATGCTAGGAGTGAAATTCACCATCTGCCGTGGACACAGGGGTGTTATCAATATGACTAATTTGTACATTCTGTGATGTTTTAAGATGCAATGGCTTGAGGAAGTGTCTGGAACTCAAAAGATTCCTTTCCTTTGTCAAACAATGGTCCCTTCCTGAGTTATGGAGACAAAAGTTAATGAAATGAACCAAATAGCATCCAAATAGAAGGCCCCATTAAGGAAGCTGGTTTCATTTGCTAGCTTTTATATTTTTAAAAGATTTCTCTTGTATTTTAAGTGCTTGTGTGTACATGTGTGAGTGCAGCATTTGAGGAGTCTAGAAGGCCTGATTTCCTGGTGTTGGGAGGTGCAGGTGGTTGTGAGCCACTGGATGTGGGTGCTGGGAGCTGAACTCAGTTCACTGCAAGAGCAGTACATGTCTTAATTGGTGAGCCATCTCTCCAGCCCTAGCATTAATTTTTAAAGTGATTCTACCTTCTTTAGCCCGACTTTCCTGGTTCTGTACATACAGTAGCGGTGAGCCGTGGTATGGGAATAGAGAGGATGAAATGATGCACACTCAGTGAACTGGCTCATTTTATGATCCAGCGCTAATGGGAACAGCCCAGGTCCCAGATCCAGTCTTTTGATTCTTGGCATAGGTACAGGTTTTTCTCAAAAAATAGGGTGGTTTCGCTACAGGTAGCCGTAAGACACTGACTGTGGCTATGATACAGTGTTTCCTTTGGAGTCCTTCGTAATTGCTGGGCATTTCTAATATATGAGTGTGGTTAGACTTGGTGGTCAGCCTTCCTTGGTGGAATATTTGGCACTGTGTAAATACAGATTGTGTTATTAAAGAAGCTGGGTAACCACGGCTTTATGTGATTGTTTTTAGGGGACTGCGGAAGCCCAGGAGCTTGCAGAAGGCAGTGCCGCCGATGTGCTCCAATCTAGAATCAGTGGCGAGATCATGGAGCTGGTTCTGGTGAAGTACCTGGGCAAGAACTGGAGTGGACACTTCCGTATCTGCGACACACTTCCCGAGTTCTTCCTCGTGTGCTTTTCCTCAGACACCGCGGAAGCGATGACAGTCGACTTGTCAGTACACGTCAGGCGACTTGGCTGTCGGTTGGAGCTGTCTGTCTTCAGTCCCTACTGGCTAATCAACAAAACTTCTCGGGTTCTCCAGTATCGCTCTGAGGACATACATGTCAAACACCCGGCCGATTTCAGGGATATTGTTTTATTCTCTTTCAAGAAGAAGAACATCTTTAGTAAAAATAAGGTATGTTCTAGCAAGTTAAAATAGGAAAGCTTCTAAATCTAGAGCCTTGGGAATCTAAAAGCATGTTTGGTTGTGTGTTCAGCACCCTTGGTATAAATTAAGTCCAAGGAGACTTTAAAGCCTGCAGAGTCCAGCTGGACTTTAGGAATGTGCAGCAGCAATCATCTGAAGCAGAGCTGGCGCCCCATTCTTCAGGAGCTAGCTACGGGATCACTGCTGTTACTCAGGTCCTGTCAGGTAGAATGGCTCTGTTTTATTCTCTGTCTTGGTACTGGTGTGCATGTGAAACTCACAGCAGTTGGACTGGCCTATATCACTTGGGCTTCCCGGTGCTTCCTAAGTGTCCAGTCGTGGTCAGCACTCATCCCGAGGCTTTTATATATGCTGTGCCCGCTGCACAGAGTTCTAGTCTCTCCTATGTGACCAGTTTCCCCCGTCTGTCTTATTTGCTGCTCATCCTTAGATTTTCTGTTTACAGTGACTCTCCATATCCCAGTCATGTTGCTTGCAGTCCTGGGTCTCAGATCTCAGTGTACATTATTGTCACCCAAGTGGCTTTAGAATTGTTTGCTGAGTCCCATCCCTGGGTTTACTTTAGTAAAAGGTCTTGGCAGAACCTGAGAATCTGTATCGAACAGAATCCCAGGTGATGCTGCTGTCTAGGGATGACTGTTAAGAATTTGGATCAACACGTGATGTTGGAATTGCCTCTGTGTGTGACTTTGGGGTGTCCTCATGTTTTTTTATGGTCTTTGTGGATGGGGAGGGGTGAGCTTAACTGCAGGGGTGCAGTTAAGTCTGTCCTGTAGGACTTCCCTCTAAATCCCAGAGATACTCACTGTCCTGTCACCCACTGCATTTTATGTGTAGTGTCATAATTATTAGAATCAGCTTCCTTTTATATGCATTGAGTTAAATGCTCACTGAGAATGACAGCCATGTCCTGCGTTCTAGTCTTTCACATTGCCTGTCTTTTATTACCTGTTGAATGATGTCTTTATTTGCTAACACTTTTGAGACTTTTCTATCTCTGTCATAAATCTAGCATTGCAATATTTAGTATTGTGATCCTTTTAAAAAGCAACATAATGCATGTTTAAATTCTTTACTTTCATTGCTGAGGTGAATGGGAAAGTCAGAGCTATCCTCCTGGTCTTTGTTTCCTTGGAATCATTCCATATGGTTGTGATTATATTTTTCTGTGTCTCAAGATAGTGGGGAAATTGCCAGAAGTCTAGGACTTTTTTTCTATGAAGTAAAATTAATATCATTTTTTAGGTTTCTTATATGTGTTTTGTGTTCTCTGGTGTAGGTACAGTTAAAGATTTCAACTAGTGACTGGTCCAGCGGTTTCTCACTGGACACCGTGGGAAGTTACGGGTGTGTGAAGTGCCCTGCCACCAATATGGAATACCTGGTAAGAGTATCTGCTTTATTACCTTTGTCTGTATACTATAATATAGTAAGTACAGTAGTACACTGTAATATTATAAGTCAAATTATTCTGGGGAGGACTGTCTCCAGATATTCTGTGATTGCTGTATCAGAGCAGAACTTGAATTTGTCAAAATTTAAGAACAGAGTTGAATCCAATGGAGATGGCAACTTGGTTAATATTCAAGATACACTAAAATTTTCATTCCAAATACCCTGTCAATTATTTCTTAAATCTTAAGTGTGACTCCTTTAAAAATCTGAGTAATCTGGTGCCACATAACCTGATTACTACTGTTTCAGAATTCTAAGTTTATTGGTAACAGACAAAGCAATAAAATTTGAGCCTAGTAATTATAAAAATTAACGTTGGATTATTTTTAATAAGTAAAACAAAACTAGACAGTAAATCTGTCATTGAAAATTGTCATGAAGTTAGTGACCTGTGTTCTGCAGTTGATTTCTGGTAAAGCTAATGTAAGATACCAGGCCTTTTCTGTGAGAGACGGTGATAGAATACAGCTTTTATTCGTTACATTGTTTAAGAACTCTTACCTTAGGTATTTTTAAGTTGTGTGTGTGTGTGTGGTGTGTGTCTTCATTTTTGACACTGAACAAAGAGCATGAAAATGAGCTCGCTTGTTTCCTTCCTTCAGGTCGGGGTCAGCATCAAAATGAGCAGTTTCAACCTCTCAAGAATAGTCACTCTGACTCCCTTCTGCACTGTTGCAAACAAGTCCTCCTTAGAGCTGGAAGTCGGAGAGATTGCCTCCGATGGCTCCATACCGACCAACAAATGGCACTATGTCGCCTCTTCAGAGGTAAAGTTCCCTAAAATATGACCGAGTCCTAAAATGTACAGATAAACAGAGACATGGAAATGTAAATCGCATTGATATTTTATTACACACTCTCATGTACATGTGTGTTAAGTATGACAGCAGCTTTCAAAGATCTTTATTTCATCCCATTTGGAAGTAGGAAGTTTTTGGTAATTTTTCCAGTGGTCTTGTCTCGATGGCTACCAGACACTCTCTAGTTCTTCCCACATGACTAAAATTGAAACGTGTTATGGAAATCACATAGAACCAATGTGCCGTGTAAAAATACTGTCTTCTTGTCTTTGATGTGAGTTTGCCACAGTAGTATATTGATTCAGAAATAGAGTTTACCGAGTGTTCTGTAATAGAACCACATTTTGTGTTATATTAAGGGAACAGTCCCAGTTTATAGATGGAGAAACAGAAGCTAAAATTGACAGCTGCTCCTGGGGTCTGGACTTGCAGCCTGCCTTGTGGTAGCCTCTTCCATGTCTGCATTTGGTTTTCTCGTTTGTGTGAAGAAGATATTCTGTGAAAAGTCCTTTGTGTATAAGTGAAGTGAATTTGACAAGGCACAAGAGCAAATGCAATGATTGACGGATATAGACTTTAAGTCTATGGAGGCGTTCTTCATCAATAAGCTCTTCGGCTTCTTATCATGTAATTGCTACAACTACATTTAGATTAATAGATTTTTATTCTGATGAATGCCTTTTGGTTGCATAATTATATCAATAGTGTTTTGTTTTTAATAGGTTCTTGCTATTAAATTATAACCAAGGCTGCCCTTAAACTTGGAACCTTCCTTTTTCAGCTTCTGAGTGTACCCCCCCCAGCTTATCAGTGCTTTCATTATGAAGCAGAAAGGAATTTAAACAATTGTGATGGCATTTTACTCCGATTTAGACCTGAAAACTTGGTTACCCAGTGTGCCTAGCAAGGCAGCATCCTGGGTTACCGCACAGTGTCAAAGCTGGCGTTCTACTTGTGTTTTCAGTGCATTCCGTTTTGGCCTGAAAATTTATCCGGCAAGCTATGTGTGAGAGTGGTGGGCTATGAGGGATCCTCCAAGCCGTTCTTCTACAACCAACAAGACAATGGCACTCTATTGAGCTTGGAAGAGTTGGTAAGTCTTCATATTGTAAGACACCGTGTCTTTGACTTTTAAAACTTGCTTGGACATGTTTCTGTAAGCTGTGCTGTAGAGATCAGTAATGATTTGTAGGCCTACTGTGTGCATATTTAATGCCAACATATGTTTGTAAGAATCAGAAGCAGTAAGAACTGCAGAAAGGAAGCAGTGTGTTTATACAGCTGATTGAACTGTGTAGCGGTTCATGTGTAACTGAGATCCAGCTAGTACATTGAATGTGCTTTTTTCCCCGAGACAGAATGGAGGTATCTTGGTGGATATAAACACTGCTCAACACTCAACTGTCATAACCTTCTCTAATTACCACGAGGGATCCGCACCTGCCCTGATAATGAACCACACACAGTGGGATGTCCTCACATATAAACAGAGGTATGAGAAAAGGCTGTGTGAGAAACTCGATTTTTTGCTGTCATTGGACCATGGTCCCTTCTGGAAAATGGTGGAGTTTCACATCCCAGATGTCTTCAAACTTTAAGGAGCATGTAGTGTTTATTCCTGATATGCTGGCAAGTCTTAACCCAGTATTCATTCACCGAAACATTTACATACCTACAGCAGAATTTGCATGTACCATGTTAACCTGGGAGAAAGAGATGCTCTTAAAGGCCTCAGTTGGTTGAAATATATCTTTTTACCAAATGTCGTGACAGAAAACATAAGAAAACCTTTGGGGTTTTAGAAATTTCAAAATGCATACAAATGACTGTGAAGTTTTTTTATTAAACATTATCCCTCCCTTTGTAACCTGGTAATGGTAAGTGAACCTCTCCCTGTAAATGCATCTCTAGTTTGACGTAGGGTCAGTGAAGGTTAAGGGAGATGTGAGTTGTGATGCTGTGTCTATGCCAGGGGTAATAGGAATCTTATTATTCTTGTTCTTGGAATGTTATCATTTGGATAATGTCATTATTTAATGATGTGAAAATAGTTTAAACCAAGCCTATGGCTCACTCAGGTCTGTAATTTTAGCTATTTAGGAAGTTAAGGCAAAAAGATCACAAATTTAAACCCAGCCCAGGTGACTTGGTGAGATCCTGTCTCAAAATAATGCATGAAAAAAGGACCAGGGATATAGCTCAGTGATAGAGCACTTGCCTGGCCTATAAAACCATGAGCTTAATAAATACAACAGAGGGGAGGGGAGAAAATAAGGAAGGAGGGAGGGAAGGATAAGAGAGGAAGGGGTTGAGGAGAGATATCTAAAGATTTTCAGCTATGCAACACATGTAAATAAATATGCATGCATGTTCAAATTCACTTAAGATTTCTGTTTTCCTGTTTTAGATTTTATTTATTTATTTATTTTATGTGTATGAGTGTTTTGCCTGCGTTTATGTCAGTACTGTATTGTGTAGTTCCTGTGGATCCAGAAGAGGGCATCTGACCCCCTGGGACTAGAATTGTAAACAGTTATGAGCCACCATGTGGGTGCTGGAGACTGAATCCCACTCCTCTGGAAGAGAAACCAGTGTTCTTAACCACAGAGCCATCTCTCCAGTCCTTGTATTTACTATTCTTAATTTTCATGATATGAATGCGGGGAGAAACACTGAAGCACAAATTAGGACAGAAATCCAATTGGTTTGCTTTTATCTCCACTGAGATGTGTTTGCACTCTATAAACCTATAGGTCTTCAACTTTAGTCGGCCCCTTCAAGCTCTTTGGGGATCTTGTTCTGATTTCTAATGGGTTAATGTTGATAAGGTTCAGCACTTTACAGTTTAGTTTGTTTAGCTGCTGGTTCTCAGACTACTCTTTGAATAGGAATGGATGGACTCTTGTTTCCTTTTTGTCCTATGGTACTTATTATTGCTAAGCTTTTGCATTTGATTAAAAACTTTAAACTTAGAAACTGAATTAAGTTCTGCCATGGGTGATGTTGACTGTTCACAGCATTTCATAGAGGGACTTAGGTAGACCAGTGTGTTTGCCTTCATGGGTTCCTCTGGTGTGTTCCTTCCCGGCTCAACTCTGAAGGTGTTGAAGTTAGAAGTAGTGCTGTGCTGCCATATTCTGTCTGCCCAGACTTCAGAACTCTTAGTTGTGGAAGATATTAGTGCCCTTATTTGGGGTTGATCTGTATTTTATTACTAAACAAGCTCCTAAGACCTTTGCGGTTTCTCAAGGCCAGGGTGTGCTGATCTTCCCCCTGTCAATCATTTCAGTGGCTCACAGGAGGAATTTGTATTGCTGCCAAGAGAAACCCGACTCTTTGCTTGGGCAGATCCCACTGGCACCAGGAAGCTCACATGGAGCTATGCATCAAACGTTGGAGAGCATGATCTCTTAAAGGTACCATTTGTTATGGAAGTGCTGTCTTCACGGGTTGAAAGTGAATTAAAATGTTTGTAGAAAGTTATGTGCTTTATATTGCAAATAATTTGTATTGGTTGTTTTTCCGGTTGCTATGATGACGTTTTGGCAAGGCATCTTTATCGAGGAAAGGGCTTGTTTGTGCCTTTGTAATTCATGGGAACACAGTCCCTCAGGCCAGGGAAGGTGAAGCAGCTGGTCACAGTACATCTGACGTGAGGGAGCAGGGAGAGAAACGCTGGTGCTCAGTTTGTTTGTCCTTTTTATTCAGTCTAGGACTATAACTTCTGGAAGGGTGCTGTGCACATTTAGGCTCATCTACCCACCTCTATTAGATTTATGTAGAAAACCCTTCACAGATATGTCCAGAGATTGTCTCCAACATGATTCTAGAGCCTATCAAATTGACTTGATAAAAATAATCAAAGGCTCACCCAATCGACTTGACACCCGATACCCAACCAACTTTTACATATTGGCCTTCCATCCCTTGACTCCCTCCTGTGAGCATTTAATAATGTAAAATGCATTCAGTCTGCCTTCACAAGTCCCTCTGGTCTTTAACAGCCCTAACACTATTCAGAAGTATAAGTACAGTCTCTTCTGAGACTCAGGCTGTCTCTTAACTGTGACCTCATCCCCACCCCTGGACAGTCATGAAGAAGCTACATATTTCCAACATACAGTGGCTTATAGTAAATATTCCATGTCTAAAGGGTGGGGATGAGGGCAAAGCATGAATGATCATATCTAAATAAGGGAACCCGGCAGGACGAAGGTGAAATTCTGCATTTTCATGTTCAACATCTGGGGCCTGTAGAGGAATTATCCGAGGCCCAGAGAGCTGTGACACCCTGCCAGCTCTGCTGCTGATAACAGACAGCCCCTCTCTGTGAAGCAGCTGCCCTCTGTACTTGAAGATGTCCCATGGTTCCGGCATCTCAAACATCCTGGGATTTCTACTACAACTTAGGGGTCATCCCCACAGCTCCTTATGATGACCTTTTAGGGGCCTCCTTGCAGGAACTATTCTCCAGTGTGGAGACAGCACTGGTGCCAGTAAAGGGTGCTCAGTGCCCTGCTCAGTGCCCTGTCAGCCCTAGTTAGGAACTCAGACCAAGGCACTACTCTGCTGATAATAGGGGGAAAAAAAATTGATGGTTTTGTGTATGTGTGTTCTGTGCATGTATGTATACGTTCATATGGGTGTTGGCACATGTAGTGAGTGTGTAAGTGAATGTGCTTATGCATGTAGAACCCTGAAATTGATTTCTGGGGTCTTTCTCAATCTTTTCCCACTTTATCAAGACAGGGTCATTTAATGAGGTTAGTCTCAGTTGCCAGCCTGCCCCAGAATCCTCTGCCTCTGCCTCCCAAGTGCTGGGATTATAGGCAACCACCTTTCCCACCTAGCTTTTAAATGGGTTCTAGAGCTCAAAACTTTAGATCTTGTTTGCAGAACTCTGCTTTCTCCACTGAGGCTTATCTCTAGACCTGGTAAGTGTTACTATTATTTTTATATAAATGCTGGTTTATGTCAATTTAATGACTGGATTTTTCTATTTTGTAGTCATTCTTTTTAGGCTTTTCTAATCCATCCCAGTTGTCAAATTCAGTTTTAAGTTTGAAAACTCCATTCTAGTTTAACTCGAAGTCTTTCTTTCTCCAGGATGAGTGTGGACAGTTTCCATACGATGCAAACATCCAGATCCATTGGGTGTCCTTCCTCGACGGGCGCCAGAGGGTTCTCCTTTTTACGGATGATGTTGCTTTGGTTTCCAAAGCACTCCAGGCAGAAGAAATGGAACAGGCTGATCACGAAGTAACCTTGTCTCTCCACAGCCTTGGGCTTTCTCTGGTTAACAATGAAATAAAGCAGGAAGTCTCATACATTGGAATCACCAGGTATATATATACAAAGGGAAATAAGATGTCAGGAATTTTTAAAAGGCCCAGAGTCCATAATACCTAGTTAGTGAGACTATAAACAGATTCTTGTTCTCAGTGTGACATATTTACTAATAACTCTTTGGACTGTCAGCTGAGAGGCCCAGAGACACAGAGGGCTCAGATATATCTGTACCTTCACAGTATTCCTGTCAGTTGTCAGGGAAGGAAGTCCTTCCTCCCATCCTTCCTCCCTCCCTTTCTCCTTTCTTGTCTTAAAAAACGAGTTACAAAAACATTGTGAAAAACTAAAAATAGTACCTGCATCTGCAGTGGAAATAATTCATTTTGTACAGTGGAATTTGGAGAATCTGGCATGCCCTGGGAGAGACAACTAGAAATAAGTTAGGAAAAGGTTCATAAGGGAAGCAGTATGTACTATGATATGTATTTGAAAGGTTTGGGATGTGAAGTTCAAGGACAGTGAGATGCATTGTTGAGGATTTGTTGGCGTACTACAGAGTTCTACAATAGCCCAGAATGGAGTATAACAAAGGTTATTTATCTGGGAATAAACTCACAGAGAGTGGTGATCCACAGTCCTCTGTGTGTGCTAGGAACTGGAACCGAATCCAGCAGCAAAGAGACCTGTGCATGCTTTTCATCTGCATTTATAATACATGAGACCATGCCCAAAGTGGGCTGGTATCTTTAAGACTATTAGCTGAAGGAGTTCCCACAGCACCTCCCCATTTTGTCTAAATAAGAGAGATCTAAACCTAATACAAAACTATATACAAGGGCTGGAGAGATGGCTCATTGGTTAAGGTCTTTCATAGGTCCTGAGTTCAATTCTCAGCAACCAGATAACCATCTGTAATGAGATCTGGCGCCCTCTTCTGGCATGCAGGCATACATGGAGGCAGAATGTTGTATACATAATAAATAAAATCTTTAAAAAACAAAGCAAAACTATATACAATAAGAACAAATATCAAGTATTATCCATGGAAAAGAAGAGGCAAAAACATACATAAAAATTAGAATTACAACCAACACAAACAACATTAAACAAGAAACATATGCTAAAATTTTCAATAGTTATCCTATCCTAAGAGTCTAAGTCTTATATTTGATGTGACTTGGCTAAGTCATGAGAGGAAAGTTACTATGACTGATCTAGTCTTCAGCCCCATCAAAGACCTGAGAAGGGAAATAATACTATTTGAGTAAACAAAATGCAATCAAGCAACTTCCAAAAGGTGCAAGAAATGACAGAGACAACGGACTACCTGCAATCACCCAAAGTCTCATTTGCAACTTGGGGCAAACAACTTTGGCTAAGGCCTAGGGTAACTTACAGACCATTTTCAGAGACATACATACAATATGGCACAATAACTTTACATAGGTACACAAATATTGTAAACAGCAATAGTAGCATATTCAATATAACAAATATAATTTGAATTTGTCAGTATACAAGAATCTATACCAATGTAAATTATCTATAAATAATAGCTTACAAGTAATAATCTAATCTATTGATTATCCCATCCCATCCAATCCCCTTTTTTTTCTTTATCAAAAGAGATCCCTGAACTCACTTCATTTCCACCCCCAACCATATACCACTTATAACTAACCCCTAATAGATGTCCCTAACCCTGAGAACAAACTTTATTGGAAGAGGGGACGCCATTTCTAGAATTACTTCCAGTTGTCATGGGGGCAGTGTTATTTCTGTGGGATCCTGTAAAAACTAAAATGATGGTGAAGCTTCAAGATTACTGTCTGGTATAACTGCAGATAGTCTCTGAGTAGTCAGTAGAGTTTTTCTGAAGTTCTTACTTGAAGTTCTGGCCAGAATGTTGTAAGAAGGTGCATCATCTCAGCTGCCAAAGTTGGAATCATATTGAGCAGTTTGTAACCCAAAACCGATCTTAAAGTGGTGCTGTCAGCATAATGACATCATATCAACCAGGTGGAATTGTTGTTGTGGGCCCCATCTTCTTTCTGGAATCTTCAAAGATTACTGCAGGAAAATTTATTGTTCATTGTGAAAAGCTTAAACATTATTCATATAGACATATATTCAATGAAAGGTTTAAACGTTTACGGACAACAGAATAGTGAGGGCACACTCCTGGGAGAGTTTAGGCCCAGCATCCAAGACAGCATTTTAGGACTCTGAAGGGGAGTCAGGCCCATGTGGCAGAGTTTGGGTCCCTTGTTACAGAACTCTGAGGAAGGGGGCAGGTTTCCCAGCATGAGCAGCAGCTAATTGCGTTTATATTCTAAAAGGCAGGCTGGAGGGTGTGGGAAGGGGATGTGTGGGTACCAGTAGCTGCAGGTGGCCCTGTGAAATGTTAGAGCCTCTATGTTAAACTCTCTTTCCCAGGTCAGTAGGGTGCCTGCCAGCATGTAAGAGGGGAGAGGCCAGGCTTATTGCGACCTGAGAGCACTCTGCTCTGGAGTCTTTTATGGCTAGTTGTTTAGAACTTTTGCAACCACTTATTTCCTCTGGTTCTGATTCTGCCAAGAAAACACTTGTTTCCTCTGATCACACTGAGTTTGGTGAAGGTCTTATTTAGAGAACAGTTTTCCACAATGAAACAATCCATGTAGATGCCTCCCATCCGTGAGGAGGTTTTCCCAAGTTTCTTGGTTTTTATCAGGGAAGCTGTTGGATTTATGTAACACATAGGTATCATTATCAATGACTAGGTATCAGTAAGCTAAGTAAATTAAAATGTTGTAGATTCATATTTAAGAACAACGTTCTTTAATATACCTCAGCAAAGTACAAATTATAAGTCACATCTACCTACTACCTGTTTATGAATAGCTTTCAATTTCAAACCCCAAATAATATTTTATAAGAAGTGAGATGATATGACTAAGTGTCTTTTGCAAACACATCCCTGTTTATTGTCTCCCATGTGTAGCTGCAGTCTCATTGTTGCTCTGTGCGCTCAGATCACAGTGAACATTGTCTTGCTATATTGCTTAATTTATTTATTCTTACTACTGAATACCCATTATATAAAAATGAGAAGAATGGATTTTGAATGTACCTCTTTTAGGGCATAGCAGAGTGAGCATTATCTTCGACAAAATTAATTTATTGTGTAATGCCATTATAGCTGTACCAGAAGGAGATAGAGTACATTGATACTTCCAAACTAAGCATGTTTGCAAGTGAACAGCAGCTGGAAAAATTAGAAACTTTTGATACAGAACGTCTCTCCACAGCACACATTTTCACAAAGACAAGCATGAATGGGGCTATAGCCAAAGTCAGCTTCTGGGGAACTCATTTGTCAAGTGTAGCAAGGAATGCCCTTTGTCGTCAGCCATGGGCTGGTTGAGTCCGTCTGGTTGCAGCAGCTAAAGAATGTGTGCAGAGATGAGAACTTACTTAAGGCTATTAGCATTTAAGTGAGGACAGTTGTATAAGGAGTTGAGGACATTCTGAACACCACCAGTCAGGTATAAAAGACCAGTCACAGGTGGCTCCCTGGCTTTGAGGAGTCAGCACATGGTCTTTGCATTCAGTCATTGTGCACCTGAGAAGTCATTGCAGAGCCTACAATGACTGATCAGCTTTTAAGTGTAGGTAACAGAATATTTTCAAACAGGAGAAAGACAAATTCTGCTTGACTGAGCTGAAGTCTGAAATGCATTACAACTGGGAACAGAATCTTAGTTGGACAAGTTCATAAAACTTTGAACTGCAAAGCATTTCATGCCCTCTGTTCTTTATATTATATGTCAGCAGATATGTAGGAAGTACTTCAGTCTGTTGTATGTTGTCACACTAACCACATGGGTTCTGTGATGTTTTGATGGTGATAGAAGTTCACTGTCCTGTGTCTTACTGCACAGCAGTTGGAGGGCTTAGCAGTGGGAGCCTCTCACTGAACTCTTTCAATTCTGGGTCAAGAGTAAAATCTTCCTAACGGGAAAGAGCTACCCTTCTCTACTACTCTTGTGCTCTAACTGGAACTGGAAACCATCTTTTGCTAAGGAAGTGACTGTTTCCATATGACTTTTAATTGACCACTAGAAAGCCAAATAGTGCGTCTATGTAAAATTTGTGTTGTCATAAGCTTATTTTAAGGCAGGCAATGTTTAAATCATAAGCCACATCAGTCTGTCTGAAGTTAGAGTCTCCAGTTCCCATGTGTTTGGAGAGGACAGATTTTATATCACAAACCTTCATTTGCAGAGACAATTTTTTTCAAACCTTCAACATATATGCGAAAGAAATGTCTACATTTCAAAATTCACCTGCCCAGTTGAGGAACTTCCTTGTAGTCTTTCATTGCAAGTGATTATCTGCAATGTATTGATAGACTAAAAGGCAAATATCAGCACAGGAATTTATTAGAATTTTATAAATCCCTGCCAGGTAATAAATAAAGAGTAAAGTAATTGTAATGTTCTTATAGATTGATGTCAGGACTTGGAAGTAACTGTGAAATGATTGGTAAGATGTGTGTTACAAATCAGCATGGATATGGGGCTGGAGAGATGGATCAGAGGTTAAGAGTGCTTAACTCTTGTAAATAAACCAGAGTAGACTTCCTGCATCTATGTTGGGTGACTCACAAAAGCCTCTAACTCCTGTTCCAGAGATCTGGTGCCCTCTTCTGGCCTCTGTGGGCACTGTGCACAGGCACACACACACACAGTCACATAAATAAACAATAAGTACTTTTAAAAATCTATTTGAACAATTGATCACTTGCACTTGATTTGGATAATTAGGAACAATAATTATGTAAGATGTTGACATCTCCACAAGAGTATTTTATAGATTTATGCTTTTTAAAAAAAGTATGTTTAGTTATTTTTATATTTTAAATTATATGAAGGTTTTTTTCTTTACTTGACATTGTCAACATATAATTTCTGTATGTGGCCCTGTGAAAAAAATAAACAGTAGCAGTCAGTTGCTTGATTGTTGCCATGAAAGATATTTTCACCTCCCCTTGTTCTTCGTGCATCTTTTTGTGCAGGCGAAATTTGCTGTTTTAAAATTATCTCTCATATCAATATAGTTTTCATGAGAAATTGATGACTAGATAAATACAAATTTCAGTAACAATCCCATGAAAATATATACTTACAATTTAGTTTTATTTGTGAATTATTTTAGTTCAGGTGTTGTTTGGGAGATGAAACCGAAGCAGAAATGGAAGCCCTTTAGCCAGAAGCAGATAATGTCACTGGAACAGTCCTATCAGAAGCATCTTGTTTCACAAGACCGTGGCTGGATTAAACTGGATAGCAATTTTGAGGTATACCAAAGTGTTGTTTTCTGACTTTATAGTTTGTGGTTTTACAGTTTTGTAGGTCCTTTGGTTCTAGGTAATGGTACCTGGAGTAAGTAAACTTTTAATGCCCTATGTACAGAAACTAACTTAAACGTAAATAAACCTGTATTTATTAGGAAGATTGTTAATGTACTTAATCAAAACATAGTTATGAAACTATTTAGTTCTGGATTTCTTCTTTCTTTAGCACGTGTTCTACTTGCTGGTCAGTTCCATGGAACTTGTTTTCAGTAAGCTTATGGAGCTATTATGACTGTGGAAACAGTTTCTCACATTCTGAGTAACACTTGCACTTTGATGAATGCAGTTTGTGATGTTACATATTTCATGTAGCACGAATTCTAATTGGTCTTAATAATAGAAACCTGGAGTCAAATATCAGGATAAATGCTGAAAGATCAAAGAAGTAAACAAGCCAGCCACTAAGGAGGTCTTTTACCTCTACTGAATCCTCAGACCGAAGGGGACAAGATCCTGTCTCTACGAATCCTCAGACTGACTGCTCTGAATTCCTATCTCCTTCTGCCTTATATTTTTCACCTTCCTAGTGCTGGGATTAAAGGCGTGTGACTTACAAGTACTGGTATTAAAAGTGTGAGCCAGCACCACCTGGCTCTTTTATACTGAATCAAAATCTTCTATAGCCCAGGGTGGCCTTGAACTCAAATCTGTCTGCTTCTGCTTCTGCTTGTGCTGGGATTAAGGGTGTGGCCACCACTCTCTGACTTCTGTGGCTAACTAGTGGCTTAGCTCCACACTGTCATCTCTCTCAGCTTCAAGCTTTATTTGTTAGATCACAAACAAAATATCACCACATTTTCATTGCTGAAAAACATACATAGACTTTGCTGTATTATTTCATCCCATGAGAGTGATGTTTGGATGTGGATAAGTCCCCACAAATAAAGGTGTGCTCTGCATGGGTCACCCAGAGCAAAAACACGAAGTCCTCTTTGCTGCACCATGTCTCCAGAAGCTTCCCTGCATTTCTAGACTATTCCACTGCAAGCCTGAACTTTGACTGTTCTCATCTTTGCCATCTTAGGGCAAAACCCCCAGTCATGTGCTCTTCCCACACCCATCAGTGTTTATGGGCTAGATGAAAATTTTATGCCGTTAGGTTATACAAAAACAAACTCAGCTCCTTTATAAAACCTTTTTGCTAAGGATTGCCTGGGATTGGGCTGGAGAGATGGCCCAGCAGTTACGATCACTGGCTACTCTTGCAGAGGACTGAGGTTCAATTCCCATCATCCAGTGGCAGCTGACAACCTCCATTAACTCCAGTTCCAGGGGATGTGATTGGTTCTTCTGGCCTCCGTAGGCACTTTGTGCTGTGGTACATACACATAACACATGCAGGCAAAACGCTCATAAACATAATATAAAAATAAATTGAACCTATAGAAAATTATCTGGAATTCTCTATTATTATTGATTTTTACTGTAAAGCCTTTTAAGCACAGTTTCTATAATTTAAAGCATTTGGAATTCCTAGTTCCCTAGTAAGTATTAGGAAAGTGATTCTTCTACCCCAGAGGCCATGGGCACAGGTGACCCGAAGAGCTCTTCTGGTTGGGCGTGGTAGCTTGTGTATGTAGTGTCAGAACTTGAGAGGCTGAAGCAGGAGGATTGCTGTGAGTTTGAGGACAGCCTAGGCTGTAGAGTGAGACCTGGCTTCAAAGGAAAACAACGGAAACAGAATAAAGCAAGCTCCCTTGGTGAGACAGAGAGATGACTGTGTCCTGCTTATGCAACATCATGAGTGAATCTGTCTTAAATGCTGCTAAGTAGCTGCTGGGTGATGCCAACTCGTCTTTTGTTTCTTACAGGTCAATTTTGACAAAGTTCCGATGGAAATGCGGCTTCCTATCCGGTGCCCTATTAAACGGGACTTCTTATCAGGGATTCAGGTTGAGTTTAAGCAATCTCCTCACCAGAGAAGCTTAAGGGCCCGGTTATACTGGCTCCAGGTAACATCACCCTCAGCTAAGTAGATCTCTGTGATCACTTAAGCCAACATGGAAATTAGAATTAATTTATTCTTAGAGAGCTCTAATTTGTGTTAAATTGTTATTAATAATAATATTATTAATTATCTCAATAATCAAGGGGGCACCTTGAGCAGAGTAGGTGTGCATGAGGCCCCGGGCAGTAAAGTTGTAAAAGTAAATTTTCATTTTATGTATTATTATTAGTATTAATTTGTGTGCACGTGTGTGTGTGTGTGTGTGTGTGTGTGTGTGTGTGTGTGTGTTTTCCCCTATTCTCACACAGCCTGTGGATTCAGCTCCTCACCATCCCAGTCGAAAGCATTGCATGTTATTGAGACTGTCAGTCTGACCATTGGCCTTTCAAGGGTGTTTTCTTACACTATTATGTTGTTCTTAAATGTTCCTTCCAGTTTGTTATGAGAACCTAAATTAATGGGCTTCTTTATGGCATGTTTGAGGTGATTTCTTGGTTCAGTAAGCTTATTTGAACCATGTTTGGAGGTGATTTCTTGCTAGTCCTCTCTCCATCCTCCCTCTCTTCTCCCCCACCCTCCCTTTAGTATCTCTCCACCTCCACCAAGTTTTATTTAGGTTTCTTTTTTATCTTTCCACCTTCTCTAATTTTGTATTCACTTCCTACTTTCATTTTATTTGTGCCCACAGAGTCAGAATCTCATATTCCAAAGTACCTCCATCTGCCTCGATGGCTCAGTGTGCTATCAAGGTCAGGGTCAATGCAGCTATGAGGGTTGCATTTCATCTTTCCAATGAAAGCATGGCCTCGCTGGCCCCCGTAGCGTTTTACATGTAGTGAAGCTGCTCATGGCACCTCCTGTGTGTACAGGTGCCTAATTACCATCTCTGAAGCTGAGGTTTATGTTTGACTTACTCTAACCTGATCAAATGTTTTGTGCTTCCAGGTTGACAATCAGTTACCAGGCACAATGTTCCCAGTGGTATTTCATCCTGTGGCTCCTCCCAAATCCATTGCTTTAGATTCAGGTAAAAAAAAAAAAAAAAGGAGAGAGAGAACTACAGACATACTTTCCATAAAAACCCTAGAAGATACCAGTTTGGCTCGTGGAAAGGTTGACTTTGTTCCTGTATGTTGTGTTTCTTTTAGAGCCCAAACCGTTCATCGACATGAGTGTGATCACAAGGTTCAACGAGTACAGTCAGGTCTTACAGTTCAAGTGAGTAGAGCCTTGTCCTGATCCAGGAATTACAGCGAGGATCCATTTGGAGAATAAATTTTGTTGTCCTTTTGTTGTTTGTCCATTTGAGGGTGGCTCCTGTACAGAAATTCTTTTCCCAATGAATATATTGATCCGGTTTGAGGCTGTTAATTAAGAAATTGTTTGAGTTTCTTAATACTTAAATATATTTTAAAGTAGTCTGCACACATTTTAAAATTCAGAATTCCTTTAGCCATCTCTCATTCGAGTTAGGATACAGAGTGGTGAAGGACAGATCTGTGAGCTGTGTTCTAGGCAGGCGCCTAGAACTTGAAGAACAGGCGGTAGGTGCTGTCTCTCATTTATTGTCTCCCGTGACATGATCCATGTGGGCTGTGGAAAGTGCTGATGCAGCAGTCCGCCCTCAGCTGTGTCTTTCCACACTGTGAGACTTTAATTTTATTAGCATAATGTTAAGACACAAAGAAGAACTTAGAATTTACTGTAGCTCTTGGGTGAAAAAAATCAGTAATGACCATGGTTAGAATTTTTTTTTTGAGACGGGGTCTCAGCACGCAGCCCTGGTTGTCCTCCACCTCACAGAGATCCATCTGCCCTTGCCTTCTGAGCGCTGGACTCGAACATGTGCCCGACTACTCCTAACTTAAAGCATTATATGTATTTCTCCATAGGTATTTTATGGTTCTCATCCAGGAAATGGCTTTAAAAGTTGATCAGGGGTTCCTTGGAGCTGTGATTGCACTGTTTACCCCAACAACTGCCCCTGAAACTGAAAGGAAGCGGGTAACAATTTTTATTTCTTGAGCCAAACATAAAATGAAATAAAAAATTAAATTAGCCATTTTCGAGCTAATCCTTATAGTGAGAAAAAAATTAACTGTTGGGAATTTTTTTTTCAGACAAAGTTAATCCAACAAGATATTGATGCTCTCAACACAGAGTTAATGGAGTCTTCCATGACTGATATGTCGATCCTGAGTTTCTTCGAACATTTTCATATATCTCCTGTTAAGGTTTGTTATTAGACGATGGGTGTGATTGCCTCAGAACTTTTGAAGGGTCTATATACCGGTATACCTTCATTTGTTACATCAGGTATTTGATGGGGTTTCATTTGACTAAAGGTGATAATTAAGGGAGTCCTCTGTGACATCTGTGCAGCCATAATTCCCACAGAGGTACCACTGGAGCGTGTTCTCTGGAGTTGAATTAATGACCCCTGTACGCAGGGAAGAAGCTGACAGTGGCGTTTCTTAATTAAGTGTGGAGTGCTCACCAGTGTTTAATGTTTTGGCTGCATTTTGAGGCAACTACCACTTTCTAAGCAGAGCTGTGATGGGCACTCTCGCTGGCATGTGAAAACGCTGAAGTGGGTATTATGCTGTTGACATGGTGCTTTCGCCCCACCCCAAATGCGATTGGACCTAAGGGAGTGGAAAATTGAATTACCTTCTACTTCCCTGACTGTACTCTGCGAACCCATTTCCTGTCTCCCTTTGGTTGTTCTTTTCAGCTCGTGTGGGGAAGATGACTTCTTAGTAAATTCACTTATGCAGTCAACTATTAAACACTGAACTTGTGTAATGGTCCAGATTTACAATTAAGTAATGCTTTACAATGTTGATGATCCTTTGCATTCTCAGGAACTGTCCACAGCACTATAGAGCCGGTCATAGTCACCAGTTTGTTCAGCTAGCAGCATGCATAAAACAGAGTTGGTATTCTACGCTGTTATGTACTAGTTTGGAGATATCAGGCATTTCCAGAGTTTTAAGTTTAAAATCACTTTGTGTAATCACTTTATGTAATAGATTATATAGTTATGTAATAGATTGAATATAGTTTCATTCCAATTAACAAGTGAAGGTCAGTTATTGTTGGGATTAATGTTATAATTGTTATCATAAATTATTCACCTTGTTTAGATAGAAATAGATGCTTAGCCATTGTTTTACCTGGTGGATTGCTTGGGTACCATTCAGCCTGTTTTACTCTTAGGCAGTGATAACATTTTGCAAAGGATTCTGGTCTTCTTCATCTAGATACAGAGGTGTTTACTCACTTTAGGAATGGAATTTTAATCTTAGATCAGACTAATTTATATTTTATGGAAAAACCAGCAAGAATCAAATGGCCTACACTGTGTCTGTTCTGTTGTATGTAAATAGGCTGTAGGAGGCTTCTCCAGGGCACCTTTGGTGGTGCCGGAAGATCTAGTTCCTGTGTCTACACAGCTTTGAGCTTCTCATGTATTGAATGTTATTTTTTTTCAGTTGCATTTGAGTCTGTCTTTGGGTTCCGGAGGTGAGGAATCAGACAAAGAGAAACAGGAAATGATTGCAATTCATTCTGTGAACCTGCTGTTGAAAAGCATAGGTGCCACTCTGACTGATGTGGATGACCTCATATTCAAGTAAGACCCTTGTTAGTGCATGTTGGGAACCACTCCTACCCAAGGTTCTTCAGGATAGTATCAGTGCTACCCATTAGTGCAGTGTTAGCCTAGAGAATGGTTGGGTCTTCCTGCTCATGACTTGAAGAGTGTGGTCTGTGTCTAGTTACACTCAAGTTATATCTTTGTTTACTCATGAATATTTCATAAAAACTAAATTACTCTGAAGTGTATATTACAAATTGACTGTGTGTTAGCATTGAGTTTTATTTAGAAACACGTAGCGGGGTGGGGGGATTCCAGTGTGGAATGTAGCAAAGTATAGTAAGAACCCGTCACTGCACTCAGGAGGAGGCTATGTGTGCTTGCCAGCTCCAATTGCACTCCACAGCTTCTACTGAATGGAATGGCGCACAGTGGTATTGACAGAAGCAGTTAGTTACCCGAGAGAAAAAGCACATCTCACATGTGTGCTAAGTTTCAGAGAAAATGAGGAGAAAGATATAAAATTCAAACTGAAAGACTTGAAAAGTTAAGGACTGGGGAGAAATCTCAGCTGGTGAAGTGCATGAGACCTGAGTTCGATCCCCAGAACCCACACAAAATCCAGGTGTGGTGGTGTGCACTTGCAGTGAAGGTGGAGGCAGGTGGGTGCTGGTTCTCATTCGGCAGCAGTCTAGTCTGTGTACTTGGCTGTGTACCTGGCTGTTTCCAGACCAGTGTGAGAGCCTGTCAAAAAAAAAAATGGCAGACAGTCCCTTGTGATAGTGTGCAAGGTTGACTTCTGGCCCCTGTGTGCTTGTATACATACTTGCATGTGTACCCAGGTTCACAGGGGCATCCCCCAAGCATTCACACACTCATAAACACAGAAGTAAAAGAAGCTGTTATCAAATCTCCGAGTAAAGGTTTTGTTTTGGTTTGGTTTTTGGTTTTTGGTTTGGTTTTTTTTTTTCTTTTAGCAGTGAGAAAATCCCAGTGGAAAATACAAGATACGTTTGACTGTGGTAGAACGTGTGTGTTTGTGTGTGTGTGTGTGTGTGTGTGTGTGTTGGTGCTGGGGGCATGGGGAAGAAGGGAGTGGCAAACCGTTGAATTTACTCTCCACAGCCGAAAAGAAAGCAACAACCCCAAGCGACACTTTTCTCAAAACCAAGCTGTGGAATAGGATGGCAGATAGGACAGGGTGATGGCTCTCATCTCAGGGTTAAACATGATCGCGAGAGTCAGGGGCAGAGCAGCCACAGACTGTGTGGAGGCATCCCGGAAAGAAAATGGAAGTGGCAGGCAGGTATTAGAGATGGCGAGATGGCTACCATTACTATCAGACATACATATAAATGAATGAAGAGTTCGGAACATGAATAATTAATGCTAGAGAGGGTGAATTTTAGAAATGGGTACTTTTTAAAATGTTAGTTTTATGAATGGAAACTTATATGTGTATACATACATATATCATATTCTCACATATGCAGATATACACACATAGATGCCTTCAGGGTTTTTCTTGTCTACCACTTAGTTATTTTGGGTGTGTGTGGTGGTGGGGGTTTAATTATTAAATGATCCTGAATTGCAACCAAAGAGGTATCCCTACTGTGTACCTGGCAACATCCTTTATTATAACAACCTTGGACTTGTCTAAAAGCAGGGATTGTTCTCTGTGACTCTGTTGTATGATGGAATGCTACACACATATTCAAATGCTTATGGAAATTTTGAAAAAACCATTTAAAAAATATAAACACAATTCATAATGTTGAGTTTAAAAGTGATATACAGAATGTTTTAAGTTTTGTGGTTGCATAGAGAAGGAAATAAAGAACCATAAAAGGGAAGCAGTAAGAAAAAGCTTAAAAATTTACCATGTCATTTTGCCGTTTTATTGTTACTTTTGGGTGTGTGTGTGTAGGTGTATGTGTGCGTGTGTGTGCATGCATTCCCTACTAAAGAACCAGGGACTCACACATGCAAGACAAACACTCTAACACTGTTCTATATTTACAGCCCTGTGGTTGACTTTTTAAAACTGTTTTCTTCTTTATATATTTATAAAAATCTTACATGAGAACTACTGGTTTTGTAAAAATGTTGTTACCACAATATTAAGATAGCAAGTATGAATTAAATGTTACTGAAATTAACTGCTACTGCAAGTTTCTCAGACTGTCATTGTAGGAGCCTTCACTCTTTCCCTTGTCTCCCTCAGACTTGCTTATTATGAGATCCGCTATCAGTTTTACAAGAGAGATCAGCTCATGTGGAGTGTTGTTAGACACTACAGTGAACAGGTAATTTCTTGCCGTAGTAGCTTGGGAACACACTTCATAGAGTGGGTGGGTAAGACACTAGTATGTGTGGGAAGATTTGTGATTGACTTCAGTCTTACAACTCTGAGGCTTTGTTGTTGTTGTTGTTGTTGACTGTTTGAAACATGTTCTTGTACAGCCCAGCTTGACCTTAAACATTATAGCTGAGGCTATCCTTGAATTCCCAGTCTTCCTTTCTTAGTCTTTCCCCGGACCTGGGTTTGCAAGCATGTGCCATCAGACTCAGCATTGCTTAGTGGTTTTCTTAAGTATCTAAGTTCAGTTCTTTTTTAAAAAAAATGAATTTTACTCTAGATTAACTTTCTTTTGTTTCATTATGCTACTAAGGCTCAAACATAATTTTATGCTCGTCTTACCATGAACTGATTTCTTTCATTGTAGCCTAGATGTTTGTATCAAGAAGGAATCTAAGATACTCTTAGTAATCCTAGCTTTTTCTTCTTGGACATTTCATACATACATATATGTTTTGATTACATCCATTCCCCCATTTCCTCCATTCCAATTACTCCTCACCCCTTTTCCCTCCCATCCCTTCTCTTGCTCTCCCCCCCCCCCCCCCCATGAGTTCACTTAGTGCTACTGGTGTGCATGGGTATGGGACCATCTACTGGACTGTGGGTAGCCTGTAGTGGCCACATCTCTGCTGAAAACTGACTCCTCTCCCTCCCCCATAGCCATCAGTTGCTGAAGTTTCTCAGTGATGGGCAGAACTTCATGGTGCCCTGCCCATCCCTGTTGGGTTTTGCTGGCTTGATGTTGTGCAGATCTTGAGGTACAACCAGTTTCTGTTTCTCTAGGTTGCCTTCCATTACACTCTTTAAAATGTTTTCCTCCAAGGCCCCTTTCCATTCTCAGTGACACCTTTACTGCTTCAGGAAATGTAAAATAGGATAGGGGATTGCAGAAGGGCCTCTAAGCCAGCTTCTTCCTATGTATCAGCTACTGTGTGAGCTGGTTATGTAGGCAAGGAGGGGCAGCATTATAAGCCTCTCTGGTACAGTTGCCACATAGTACTGCAGGGCAGCATTTGTCTTCTGTCCTCTGTTGGGAGAGTACTCTTTTTGTGATGCGTGTGGATGGTAGGTTGAAACAAGTATACATTTTCCTTATTTTGCCTTAATTAATAATGATAAGATAATAAAGATAACCAATGGCCATTGAATTTTATATTCACTTACTGTGCATACTCTTCCATGCAATGTCAGTGTAATCTTCCATTTTGCAGTTTGGAAGGCCAAGATTAACAAGTAACTTGTCTGAGGTCACATGTCTGCTGACTGACCGTTGTCTCAAACGTGTAGCCGTTTGATTTAAGGCTCACACAAGGGGACACTAGGATGTGGGGGTGCAGGTGGTTATTGTACACGCTGTCCTTGACCTCCATTCCTCCTGCTGTCCCCTCTTCTGCTGCTTCCTAGCGTTTCTTCCATATCTGGAAGGGACTTTGCTGACTGTCTTTTCTTCTTTAGTTCCTGAAGCAGATGTATGTGCTTGTATTGGGCTTAGACGTGCTTGGAAACCCGTTTGGACTGATCAGGGGCCTGTCTGAAGGAGTTGAAGCACTGTTCTACGAGCCCTTCCAGGTACTGGCTGTTTAGTTCTGTACATGTACAAAACAGACGCTCTGCTTTCTACTGACAAGTGTTGGTATTTTAACTGTATATGGCAGTGGGATAATGTTCAAATAATAAAAAAAAAATTAGTTTTCTGTTTTTATTTAAAGTACTTTAGGTGACATTGAAAGATTGTTTTACTTCAAACGAACACATCTATTGTTTATCTGGGCAATGAAAGATACCTGAGTTTTCTGATATTCCGTGTAAGCATCTGAGAGTTTGAGAGTTTGGTAGATTACAGATGGCTTCTGCTGACGCGGAAAGGGCAGAGTGAGGTCTCAGGAGTTAGCTGGCCACCTTGGAGCTCTCATCCCACGAATCCACCTTTGTTTCAAGAATCTAGAAGTTCAAAGTCGTCAGGGTTTTAGAAGAACCATGCAGAGAGAATAAGGGAGAGGGGAGAGCCAAATAGCGTGGTCCTGTCCTATGAGCACAGCTTGCTTTTGCACTCCAGTGGAAGTTGAACCAGCTGTGAAGCCAGTTTCATGTTGTGGCCAAAGCCAGTGACTGTCACCTGTGCAATGCTCATCTAGCAGGATCTGTTGACATTGTGTGGGTTAAAACTATTCTTAGCCACAGTCATTGTAATCTATCAGAATTTAAGGTAGAGTGGAAATGCTTTGGTTTCAGTCCTTGCGTATTTTTATACATTCTTTGTCTTCGTGGAATCCCCGAAATTCTAGATTAAAAGTCTCACACTTAGTGATATTTAATTCTTAACCTTTTTTTTTTTTTTGGATCAGGGTGCTGTTCAAGGCCCTGAAGAATTTGCTGAAGGATTAGTGATTGGGGTAAGAAGTCTCTTTGGACACACAGTAGGTGCGTATGACTTTTGTGTACATATGTATGTAATTATTACTCTGAAGTGCATTGTCTTTGGAAAGCAAGTGGTTATTTGTAGTAAGAGAGAGTTCCCCTTCCTATTGATCTCTCTGAATGCACATTTCCTTTCTTTCACCTGGGACGTGACTTTATTTTTTTTTCTTTTTTTTTTTAATGAGAAAGTAATTTTATTAAATTATAAAAGTTTGGGACGTGACTTTAAAGTGGCCTCTTGGGTTCTTAGTGTTCATAGGTTGACTGAATGTGCTTTAAAACTTACGTTACTCCACTTGCCAGCAGAAAGTCATAGTAATTCTTGTATTTACATGTGAGTAGGTACCTGTGTAAAGGAGGGGTATGTGCCGCTGTGGCTGTGGCTGACTTCTTGGTGCACTCTTCAGGTGGTGCCGCGGGAGTCGTGTCTCGAATCACTGGTTCTGTTGGGAAGGGCCTGGCAGCAATTACAATGGACAAAGAGTATCAGCAGAAGAGAAGAGAGGAGATGGGTCGACAGCCTAAAGATTTTGGAGACAGTCTGGCCAGAGGAGGGAAGGGCTTCCTGCGAGTGAGTCTCCTGTTGAGTCTTGAGGAATCTATCTCAGATGCACGGAAGCAGTGAAACTAATGCCATCTGCCTTATGATCCTTTCTACTGTGAATTTCCTATGATTTAATATTTGCAAAATCAAAATGCTCACTTATATGTGTGCGTTGTTCACTGTCAGTCCTCAAATCTTAAAAAACAAAACAACAAAAAACAGAAAAAAAAATGTAGTATGTCTATGGAGACCTCTAGTGGTTGGTTTAGTGTCAAGCACTTTCCGTTTGTTGGAGACTTGATGGTGGATTTCTCTTGCAGGGAGTTGTTGGCGGGGTGACTGGAATAATAACAAAGCCTGTGGAAGGTAAGTAGAGAAGACTTTCCTACTGTACAGAGGTGAAGGGCGTGCGCATGCCAAGGCTATTGCTTCTTGGTGTTTGATTGCTGATTGAATTTTACATAGTCCTGATATTTACTCTTTTTATTTAATTATTTTTATTTATATTCCAACTCCGATTACCCCTCCCTCCCACTCTCCCTCATCCGACCTCTCCCTTTCCTACCCCCACATCCACTCATCAGAGGGAGTTAAGGCCTCTGTTGGAGAGTCAACAAGTCTGGCATACCAAGTTGAGGCAGGTCCAAGCCCCTCCCCACTTTATCAAGACTGAGCAAGATATCCCACCATAGGAGATGGGCTCCAAAAACCAGTTCATATACCTGGGATAATTCCTGGTCCCACTGCCATCACCCCCCAACAGATGAAGCCACATAACTGTCACCCACATTTAGAGGATCTAGTTTGGTCCCATGCGGGTTCCCCAGCTGTCCATTCAGAGTCTGTGATCTCCCACTAGTTTGGGACAACTGTCTCTGTGGTTTTCCCCATTATGATCTTAACCCCTCCCCTGGCTCATGTGATCACTCCTTCCTCTCTTCAGCTGAACTCCAGGAGCTCGGCCCAGTGCTTGGTTGTGGGTCACTGCATCTGCTTTCATCAGTTACTGGATGTAGGTTCTATGATGACAGTTAGGGTAGTCACTAATCTGATTATAGAGGAAGGTCCGATAAGGCATCCTCTGTCCCTAGGAATCTTAGCTGGTGTCATCTATCATGTGGATTCCTGGGAATTTCCCTAGTGCCATGTTTCTCCCTAACCCTATAATGGCTCCCTCTATCAAGATATCTCTTTCATTGCTCTCCCCCTTCATAACTTTCAAAAACCTGCTTCTTTGTACATTTTTTTTATCAAAGTACAGAAATTGATGAGTTAAATCTAAAGTTTAAATGTAATTCACAAGATCTAAAATAACTAAAATGTCCTTAAAAATTAAAAAGCAATGTTGGAGGACTCACGTGTCCCAGCAATCTTGTATGTCCAAATTTTGAAGCTTATTGCAGCGTAAAGCTCCAGTAAGCTTACATAGCAATCATTCTGGCAGGAAGGCAGGCATGGAGGTCAGTGAGCTTTTGCAAGTCTGCAGCTAGATCCCTGAGATGGGTGCTGAGATGAATCTAGAAATGGCTTCAGCAGCTGGCACATCTGCATGTGGAGAACAGTAATCCAGCCCTGATAGAGACTGCCTGTAAAAATAAACCCAGAGTGCTTGAAACGCCAGAGTGTGAGACCGAAACTCAGAACTTCGAAGCAGATGCAGCAGCTAGTTCTGTGATTTGGCAGAGCGCTTCTAGACAGGACACCAGGGTGTGGGTCCCAAAAGAAAAGGCAGATAAGTTAGACTCACCAAGATTTTAATTTTTATGTGTTGAAGAAGAATAATACCACGAGGAAATAAAAAGACAGCTTTCCAAAATTAAAAAAAAACCATCCCTTGAAAGAATATTATCATAAAAGGAAAAAGATCCACAAAGTGAGCTGAATGTTTTATGAACTATATTTAATCAGAGATTTAAATATTGACTATAGAAAGAAGAATAATAAGATGCTAACAATAAGACGATAACCCAACTTAAAATGGGCAAAGGAGCTAAATAGACTTTTCCTCAAGGAAGAGACGCAAATGAGACATTACATTAGTTGTCAGGGAAGTGTGGATGTAAATCTAAGCAAAATCCCACCTAACATCCATTAGGATCCCTAGAGTCAAGTTCGTGTGAGTGTGGGGAACTGGGAATCTTGATGGCTGAGGTTAGGAACATGCAGTCGTTAGTCTGCTTGCTCATCTGCCGTTAAACATGGAGGTACCACAAATCAGCAAGGCGCCCTAAAGTATTGAAAACAGACATTCAAATAAAGTCTTACGTGTGAACATCCGTAAGCTTCATTATTGATTGTGGCAAAAACATGGAAAGACTATTACCAATGCATAAATATATAAATATGGCATATCTGCCCAATGGAATATTATTCAGCCATAAACAGAAACCAAGAAGTAGTACATGCCACAGTGTAGGTGAATTTAGGAAACGTGATGCTAAGTAACAAATAGCGCAGTCATGATAGACAATACAGTGAATGCTGCTTGGATGCAGTATCCAGAAGAGAACTCCATAGGAAGCATTCTAGGTGATGCCCAAGTCTGAAGGGGGAACAGGGGAAGAGGAGGTAAATTGGATAGGTCAGATGAGGAGCTGGGGAAAGGGGGAAGTGATGGACTGTAGGCAGAGTGTCTTTCTGAGACAACAAAGATTTTCTCAAATTGATGGTAATGATGTACCGTTCTTTTTTTTTTTTAATTTATTCTTATTTTACATGCATTGGTGTTTTACCTGCATGTAGGTCTGTGTGAGTCAGATCCCCTGGAACTGGAGGTATGGGTACTGGGAATTGAACTCAGGTCCTCTGGAAGAGCAGTTAGTGTTCTTAACTGCTGAGCCATCTCTGCAGCCCCGATGTTCTTAATACACTGAAAGCATTTAATTTATATATTGGAAGTTTTATAGTGTGTGAACAGAATTTTCAATAATTATGAGTTGTTTTTAATATACAACTCATATATTTGGATGAGTTTGGATGTCTAAATGGTTGTGATGTAATGAACGGTTACTGACTGAGCTGGATCAGCACCTCTTGAGTCTATGTGGACCTCAAGGTCTTTGGGGGGTTGCTGCCCACCCTTAGCATAAGTGTCTACTGCAGCAGATCTGGTTTTCGCAGGAATCTATGCTGAGGATGCTTTGAGAACAACCACATAATCATGTTAAGATGAATGTACCTTCCCCAGATATCCAAATGGCACATGGCTTCTGAGTTGGCTTGGGTTTTTGTTGAACTTGCTTACCTTAAAATATTATTGCCTATTCATTGTCTTTGGTTTCCTAAAGGAGCCAAGAAGGAGGGCGCTGCTGGTTTCTTTAAAGGAATTGGAAAGGGGCTCGTGGGTGCCGTGGCTCGTCCAACTGGTGGAATCATAGATATGGCTAGCAGCACCTTCCAAGGCATTCAGAGGTAACAGCATCTGCATGGTGGGAAGGCCTGTGTTGTGTGTATCTATCGCTTCTAGGAACATATGAATGAGCTGGGAATTTAGCCTGTTCTTAAGGCTCTTGAATCTAATTGAAAGTTATGGAAGCTTTATAAGACAAAGTACCATGGAAAGGAATATGAAAAATAAATCTTATGGCCCAGTTTTTATTTATTCAGCACTTCAAGTGTACCTCTCTTACGCCAGGCACTGATAGCAAGGCCACAAAGTGTCCATGACCTTTCAGAACTTGGCATTTTCTTTCTTTAAGAAAAGGGTGAATACTTTAGAGTCCATTAGGCAAATAATTTCTTCTTCACTTTGAACATGTCTTATAAATTACTAATAGTTTTTAATTATTTATTTGCGAGTTTGATCAACATGAATTTGTCTGATTAAAAGATTCTCTCATTCAGGGCAGCAGAATCCACTGAGGAGGTGTCCAGCCTCCGTCCACCTCGTCTGATCCACGAAGACGGCATCATCCGTCCATATGACAGGCAGGAATCTGAGGGCTCCGACTTGTTAGAGGTAAATTTTGTTCTTCATGGCTGTGAATTGGAAAGATTCCAGGACTGAGAGTTCATGGGTGGATTTTCAAGGACCCGATCATGAGTCTTTGAAGGAACCACCCATGGTTTATAGAGGAGAATTTATTGTTTTGTATGATGGCCTGGCATGTTAAGGGAAAGTAGCTGGTAACTGTTTTCTGCCTTTGTGCAAAAAAAAGGGCACAAGGCTTTTTCTGTGCAGAAAAGACTGTCTTGAAAGGAGCTGTTGGCTGTTTCACTGTCTCTGCAGCAGCTCCTAGTCACTGTGCTTAGGTTTGACTTCTTGCTTTGTGGCTAATTGTTGGAATCCCATAGCTTCCTTCGCCCTCAGCCAGATGGACTTACTCCTCTTACTGTGAAAATCTAAATTTATCCTGGTAAACAGAACTGTAAGAGAGAAAAAGAGATTATACACTTAGATATATTATAATCTTGTTAAACATTTAAAAATTAATATAGGTTGGCATTTTGTCTTGGTTTTAGTATCATTATATTTAAATAGTATATCCATACTTAATTTGCTATTCTCCCATGACTGGCTTTCTTTCAACAGAAACTTATTGATATGTTTGTGCCCTATGATAAAGAGGGCTTAGTTATTCTTAGCCTTTGGTTTTCGTTGTATGTGATTACATTTTATCTTTTTACACACTTCTAACTTTATTTTCTTTCTTTTTCTGCCTACACAGCAAGAACTGGGAACACAGGAGTAAATGTTTCCTGTACTGCCTGATTCCATCCCTAAAACTCAAATCAAACTGCTCCTATTTAACTGTGTGAATCAGACTGAGGGTTGATTTTAATGAGATTTTCTTTATAACTCTCACTTCTATCTGAACTTTTCATAGTTGTGGCTTGGCCATGGTTGAAAATTGTGGCTTCTTGTAATTCTACACAGGTCTAAGAGGTGTAAAAGGTGCAGGAAATAACTTTGCCGGTTTGGGGTTGGGGTCTAAGGGTATTGAACCCAGAGCATATATTTTGCTACAGTTTTGGAAGTTTATCATTTTTGTGTATTGGGCTGTTCATGTACAGATGAAGTTGAGAAGGGTGGGTCTTTGCAGTGAATGTCTCTTTATATTTGTGCATTTTGATGATGGAATTATGTAGAGTTATGCTCCACATGTCTCCAAAATTTACTCAAGTTATGGGACTGTTAATAAGTAATATGTCAGTTTCTCTGAGCGTGTTCTTAGACCTGAGATGAGACCTGGCATAGGAATTGTAGGCGTATATTTCTTCAGTATTTTTTCCTTTTTTAACTCAGTTATGGCTAAATAAATGAAGTAATTTTATGTGGTCTGCTCCTTTAGCCTTTAGCAGAATACTTTTGAAAAGCTGAGCCTCACTGTTGGTTATACGTACTTTGTAATTACTGATTTTAATTATCGTAGTAGAATCAGTAACAGAACATGTAATTAGGCAAATTACCTCTGTGGCAGTTGAATGTATAAATACTTTTACTTTTAAGAAGCAAACTCTTTAGAGACTGGGATGATGGCTCAGTTGGTAAAGTCTTTACAAACAAGCCCAACGACCTGAATTCAGAAATCCAGTACCCATTTAAAAGTCATGTGATGGTGGTACATATCTCTAACTTCAGTCTGAGAGAAGGGTCAGGAAACGGGCAGAACCTGGGGCTCACTGGCAGCCGGATCACTTGTTTTAGTGAACACCAGATTTAGTGGGAGACCCTGCTCAAAACCAAACCAAAACAAAACAAAACAAAAGAGATTAATGGAGGAAGATACCTGATAGTGATCTTAGGCCTCCATACATACATGTGTGCACACCTCCACATACACATGCACCAATATCAACATGCATATGCCATTGACACCTCATAAATTTAACTCCCATTAAATTTAACTCTTGACGTGAAAAAATTATTATAAATTATCATTTCTACCTCCAGTTAATTCTCAAAGTAATTTGTATTTTAATTTCTTTAAAATAAATAATAGAAATGCTTACTTTGTGATTTAACAGGTGTCCTTATCTCACAATTTCAGTTGAAGCTAAAATAGAAACCCATCCCTAATATATGTTTGAAGATAATAGAACTGTTAAGATTCAAGCATTCAGTTGGATTCTAATTTGTTTTTCTAGGCAGAGTCTCACTGTGTGGCCCTGTCTGGCCTAGAAACTCTATAGACCAGACTGGTCTTAACTCTTAGAGATCCTCCTGCCTCCAAGTGCTGGAACTGAAGGCATGAATTTATGTGTTTTTAAACATACAGTTATAAAAAACCAATTATTCTAATGCTTTACATTAAAAAAAACACTATTTAAAGAAAAATAGTTGATGTCCAATGACCAGTTCGTGTTAGTTGGACAAAGAAATGACTTACATCATTGGGCGGGGGTACAGCGCAGGTAAAATGGCATGCCCAAGGTCTGGGTTTGGCCCCTGGCACCACTGTGTTTACCTGAAAATAAGACTTCTGTGCTTATGGGACCAAGTATAGAAAAACATGTAAATATTAACAGTAGCAAAAAGAAAGGAAGAATCTTCTTGTGCCTGGATAACGGGATAGACAGATGTCCCCGTGTGTGCAGCTTCTCTGAGAATCAAGCACAATCCCTCGCTTCAGATGCTATAGGTTCTTGTGTGAGAGCCACTTTTAGTTTTCCTGACTGTATCTCGACTTTCTCAGACTTTTGTGAACCTCTGAAACCTAAGGTCTTTATTGGTTATTTTTATTTTATTTTTTGCTCCTTAGTGATTCTTGAGATTCTCCTTTTTATAAATGTTTATTACTAAGCACAAAAGTTACTTTAACTAAGCATCTAGGCATCTCGTATGGATTTTTAGTTTTAGCTCGATATCAGACAACCCTTTAAACTTTAATATATGTAATAATTATTGGAAGAAACAGAATGTAAGTTGCTGTAGAGTTTGATAGTTTGTTCGTGGGTAACTGAGAAGTTTAGCCCATTGCTCGCTCATCTTGCTGTGATAAGCGAGTTGGGTAAGAAGCACTTACTGGTTGTTTAGACTCTACTGGACTGACTCCACAGGGAGTAAGTAGACATGTAAAGATCACAGAGTTCTAGAGTATTATATTATATCCTCCTAGATCTTACTGTAATATTAGTTTATTCTAAATAATTTATTTGGGGACCATTTACCCCTTTTTCTTTTTAACTCCCAAGCATTCCTCTGTGTTCTTTACTGCTCGGTTGTGAAAAGCCTTATTCATGTGCCATATGTTTGTAGAATAGTTCTCCAATATTCCCTTAAGATAATACTGCTTATGCTGCCCATGTGTGTGTGTATATGTATATACATATGCATATATAGACAGGCCTTATTTATTATTTATTTTGCTTATAACTCTTTAATGTTCATACAAGATTTAAAGAGGCAGTCTTTGCTTTTTCTACCTAAGTGTGTTTTTCTATATATGGAAATGCTTCATTAACATTTTACCCTTGGCCTGTCTACCCTCTGAGATAACCTTACATTGTGTATTTGACCTCAGTCCCTGACATTGGTTCCTGTACCGTACTTGGTACTGTTAACTCTGTGATAAACACTGCTGTATACTGGCATTTTGCCATTTCATGCCCTGTGCCGTTTCCTTAGAATTAGTTTGAAAGGGATGAGAGGGAATGGGCAAAGGACCCACTCTTTAGTCTTACTCAATTGCCTGTGCCGAGTTTGGAAGAGAGAGTATCACTTTGGTCAGCCTGGCCTCCTGCTGCCCTTGGTGGCTAAGGAGCTTGCTGTGGCTTTCAGAATTCAGTGGTTCCTTACTAGCACTGAAAAGGTATTTTTTCAGTACTAGATTTCCCATAAGGCTCTTGGTGGTTGAAACTTGATAAACAACGACGAGATTAGGAAAGAAACAGGTGTGTCTATACTCCCTGCAGCTCTCCGGCTTACACGTGCATTCCAAGCTCCGGCTGAAGGGCCTACATTGTTATAGTGTGCTATTCTGTTTCCCCTTTTCTCTGAAGAAACTGATGGCAAAATATTGGAACTAATTCACAGGGGCACACTGCCCATCTCTGAGATGTAACCTGAAGATGCCACCCCAGCTCTGTAGGAATTCACTTCCTCATTCATGGCTTTTGTAATACTTGTCCATGGCTTTTTGTAATTGTCAAGGAATGACTAGGGGCCAACATTCTTTTAAAATGTGGGTTCCATCCCCAGCATCACAAATGAAAAAGGTACTTAACCTTTGAAATCCCAACCCCAAGCGTGCTTCTCTGCTGTGCGTACATTGACTCTGTGATCCTACTGCTGTTGGCGGTGTTTCAGTCGTGCAGTGTGCCAGTCTCGCTCATTCTCTGTGTCTGTCTCTGTATCTTATGCCCATGTATTATTTGATCTTTAATCGTTTATTATAGGTGATATCGATAATAATCTTTCATTAGTATTTGTTATAAAAACTTTGTTTTTTAATGTGTATTGACTCATTTAAGTCAATAGTTTTAAGAAACTTGAAAAAGAAAATAAATATTTTATTGGCTACAATTTATACTTGGATTATTTTGTCCATTAGGAATAAACCATGCAGACGATTTCAAATCATTTTGAAATTCTTCATGTCCATGATTGTCTATTTTAGTCAGAAATATAATTTGGTATTAAAATGTTCCTTTTCAATTGTGCTTGCTCTACACAATCAAATGTGATCAAAACCAGCAAATACCTTGGAGGTTTACCATTATGTAGTACATAATCCTGTCTGAAGAAGTGGTTGGGTCTTAACATTTTAAAAATTATTTTTTTATGTAATTATGTCTGTGCCTGAATGTATGTATGTGCACCGTGTGTGTGTGTGTGTGTGTGTGTGTGTGTGTGTGTGTGTATGAGAGAGAGAGATAGAGAGACAGACAGACAGACAGACAGAGAGAGCGCGCCTTTGTAGGCCAGAAAGAGAGCATCAGAGCCCTTGGAACTGGAGTTGCAGGCAACTATGAACTACAGTGCGGGTGTCAGGAATCGAACCCTGGTCCTCTGCAAGAGCAGTAAATGCTCTTATTCCTTAAACCAGTTCTCAGCCCCTGGGCCTTAGCTTTTCTGAAGGATCACAGACTTCTCTCAAAGGAATCAGAAGAAAAATGTGAACCATTCTCTGTAAAGAATTTCAAAGCCATGATTTCTAATGTTTGTGTTCCCTGTAGCACTTATTGGGCCCACCCCAAGCCCTTGCCAGGGAGGGACCCTTTAAGGACTGCTAAGACATTGATGGAGCAGTTTTATATTTACCACATGTTTATATATTCTTGATTAAGGTGTGTGATTGCTTCTGATTGATAGTTTAAATCTCTTAAGTTACTAAGAACAAGATGTTTTTCATCAGACGCTCACCTGGTAAGCATTCAATACATTTCTCTTTAAGGCAATAGTGAAAAGTACTTGATATTATAAAGAAGTTGTTTTATTGCTTCGGATGCCACTCTGTAGTACGCTAGTTTTATTTCCAATGCACCTTTTCCTAACATTGATTTTCATCGACTATTATACAGATATTTAAATCTATGTAGTTCCCAAGTCTTAACTCGTGTTTCTTTCTCAGAACCATATCAAGAAGCTGGAAGGTGAGACCTACCAGTTCCACTGTGCTGTTCCTGGACACAAGAGGACAGTCCTTATGATTACAAACAGGTATTGACATCCAGATGCAACCTAGCTGTGTTCATGGGAGGACTTTCAAGTGCCGTTGACAGAAGAGTTGGAAAACTGTACTTCAGGGGCAGGATGATCATTTTCATCCCGTCACGGAAGCACAGCTCTAGGTAGTGTCCCAAGGGCATGTGTTCAGAGTGCCTTGTTCTGGAGATGGAGGAGCTAGGCCCAGCTTGGCTTGGGGCTTCTCCAGATGTGGCAGCTGCTGATGGCACAATGAGCATTGCCTACATCCTGCAGTGGTGACGTCATTGTAAGGAGACACACTTCAAATTGAAGATGGTGATTCTACTTTTCCTTGTGAGGTTTGATTTGGGGTATTGGTAAGCCCCTCTTAAGGATGGTATTGTTCCTATATGCTTAGATGAGTGCCTTCTGAGTATTTTGGTAAACCCTTCTTCCAGAGAAAAGGGATTTATGCTAAAATATCAAATAATGTTCCAAGATTTACTCTAGAAATGAACTTGTCTCCAGATAGCTACTGTAGATTAACAATTTTCCAAGGGCTCTATTTTGTAGAATTAAAGCAGAGTGTTTAGACACTCTGCCCTAGTTTCTTCCCTCTCCCTCTCCTTTGCCCTCCTTCCCTTTCTCCCTCTAATGCATCCATCCCATCTATCTGAGCTGTAGTGAAGAGCTGCGGGCAGGCCTGCTTTTCATCCCGCCCGGCTCCCGCACAGCTAGCTTAGCCCCAGAAATAACAACACACAAATTGTATTCATTTAAACACTGCCTGGCCCATTATCTCTAGAGAGTTAGTTACTGGCTAACTCTCACATCTTAATTAACCCATTTCTAATAATCTGTGTAGCACCACGAGGTGTGGCTTACCGGGAAAGATTCAGCATGTCTGACCTGGTGGCTGGCTCCATGGCGTCTGCCTCATTGCTCTCTTCCCAGCATTCTGTTCTATTTACTCCGCCTACCTAATTTTCTGTCCTATCAGAGGGCCAAGGCAGTCTCTTTATTAACCAATGAAACTAACACATAATAGAAGCCCCACCTACATCACTGAGCTTTGGAAATCAAACCCAGGGTGTAATGGTTGATAGGCAAGTATTCTCATACTAAGCTGCACTCCTCACTGTTGGACCCGAATATACCTGGATGAGAAGAAAAATAAGAAAAGGTGAATTGCAGAATCCAAACTTTGAAACATGTCTTTCTAAAGAGGTTAACCAACGAGTCGTAAGGAAGACTTGTTCAGTCTTCCTATTGGTCCATCAGTAGAGGTGTAATCACAGGGACTGTAGAGACAGCTTGGTGATTAAAAGCATTTGTTGCTCTTTTGGAGCTCAGGTTCAGTTCTCAGCATCCACACTGGGCTGATGCCTCTGGCCTCCGTGGGCAGCTGCATGTAAGTGTACGTACCCACAAATACAGACACACTTAAAAATTAAAGTAGACCTTTAAAAAGATCAAAGCTACACAGAGAAACCCTGTCTCAGGAAACCAACCAAGCAAACAAAGGGATCTGGGGTGGAGATCTTGGAGACTCCTTGCCACAGTGTGTCACCCAGGAGATGACAAGATTTGAAGGTGATACTTGGAGCAGGAGAGAGAATGGAAGTTTCAGGTATGGGGGAATATGCTATTATTGGACTGGTCAGGAGAAGAGAGAGCTTAGAAACATACAGAACAGGAAGCTGCATCTGGCACAAGGCTGATACTGAACTGATACTGACTTGGGCTTAGGGTCGGGTGTGGGGCCGCTCATCAGAGACTGGTTAGAACAGTGTGCTGGTGCTAAATGTGTCAAATGAGGGAAGACTCTGCTGGCTCTTGCTCTGCAAGGGTCAGGGGTGCTATAGGTATCAGCCCTGAACATGGCCAAAATTCTCGTGGCAACCCCTCTGAGAAACAGTGTCGGAGGCCTGCTGTAATTCCCATTGTTCACCAGGTTCATTCAGGTCTGCCTTCCTGAGCACGCAGAGTCTGGCTGTCTTTTCCCTCACCTTACAGCCACCATCATAAGTAAGGCTGTCACTGGTTCCTCCTCAGGCTTTGCAGTCACGGCCAGTCTTATTTTTCTACTCCAGACCCTGAGCCTCTACTCTCTTGCTTGTCACTAAAGGTTTGTTTAAAACAAAGGGTCTTTATACTGTGTCCAATACCTGCAAGTTGAAGGCATAATTTCAAGATTACGGTGAATAAATATCATCTAAAGTCAGACCTTAAAGTGATTTTTCTCACAAAGGTATGCATTTGATATTCCAGCCTCAGACCTCCACACTCCTTAATTAGCCTTTTCTTCTGCTGGGGTTGGTGGCGCAGGCCTGCTATCCCTTATGCTTGGTAGAGGGAGTCAGGAGGATTACAAGGTAAAGGCCTTAGGGTATTGAGTTTGGGGACAGCCTAGGCAATGTTGAAAGACCCTGCCTCAAAATAGAAACCAAGAAGGTATGTGGGGGAATACCTGAGTGAGTGCTTCCCTAGCCTTTGTAAGGTCCTGGATTCAATTCTCAGCACCACACTCAGTTCCTTCTACACTTAATCTGGCAGTGTGTCTGTACTGTCTGAGCAGTCACCGTCTCTCTCTAAGGAGAACTCCTTTTCAGTGATCAGCTCCAGCTCACCTCCCCCATGCCACCAGTGAAGCCTGCCCTTGTTGGAGGAAGCCACTTGTTTGTCCTGGCCACCCAGAACCAAAATAATCACACAGAAACTATATTAATTAAATCACTGCTTGGCCCATCAGCTCTAGCTTCTTATTGGCTATTTCTTATATTAATTTAACCCATTTCTATTAATCTGTAATCACCACGTGGTTGTGGCTTACCAGGTAAAGTTCCCAGCATCTGTCTCCTGCAGCTCCATGGCTTCTTTCTCTCCGATCCCATCCTTCTTTCTCCCAGCATTCCATTTAGCTCTGTTCCCCTATAGCTCTGCTATAGGCCCAAAGCAGTTCCTTTATTAACCAATGATATTCACAGCATACAGAGGGGAATTGCACATCATGCCCCCTTCCCAGTGTAGCCTGCGCCCTCCCTGGCACAGTCTGCCCCCTCCCCGGTGCAGCCTGCCCCCTCCTCACTGCTCTGAATCTGTGTGGCGTCGTCTCGTGTACTTGTTTTCTCTTCTAGGCACTGGGTGCCTCTCAAGCCTCGTGCCTTCGTTATTTTCTCTGGCATGTTTCCCTAGATGTTGTTTGAATTCACAAATCTACATTTCTAGTTTTTCTGTATTTAATGGAGACTTAAAATCAAGTATAGTTATAACAGTAATTAATCCGACTTGCTGACTGGGAAGTCAGTGTGGGTGTCCTTTAAGGATTGTATTATTTTTCATTATTATTGAGTAAAATGAAACATTCTTCCTATGATATACATTAGCGTTAAAATGTTCAAGTCTGGTATTTATTAGTGGGTCTTTGCTGACATTTGGACTTGTGACATTTCCTGCATGGTCTGTCTTGGCTGGAAGGCTTAAGTGACTGACAGAAAAGAGCAATTAAGAATATTCCAAGTAAATCCTCCTCAGGGGCTTTACTCTGTTGCTTCCCAGATGAGGGCGCATCCTGCACCACTTGTGTTTCAAATGCGATTCCCTGCTCAGTTGTTTTGCTATTTCAAAACCAAAAACAGTATTACTGAATTCTGCAAGATTGACAGAAGGGGAAGATTTAAAGTCCATTTTGTTAGGTAGAGATTATATTGCATTTCATTTGACATTTATGTAGACTTTTTTAAATGAAAAATTTACTTTTCTGTGAGTAATTTTTAAAAATTTTTTGAACGTTTTCTTCTTAAGAATTTCATGCATATATACAATAAAATATGATCTTATCGGCCTCCATTTCTCCCTGCCAACTGCCCTTGTATCCTCCCCTAACAGGTTTCCTTCTCAAATTCATATCCCCTACCCTCCTTTCTTTTCTTATTTAATAATCCACTAAGTCTAATTTTTGCTGCTAGTGTGTACATGACTATGGGCTTTCCATTGGGGCATAAGAAACCTACCAGCAACTGTACTCAAAAAAGAATGATTCTCTCTCCCCAAGGACTACCCACTGCCAGGAGCTCCTCAGTAATGGGGTCTGGAGACCGTTTCCCATCTGTGCTGGGATTTGGGCTGGCTTGAACTCACGTCTTGTATTAGTAACCACAGTGACTTTGGGTTCCTGAGTGCAGTAGCCACGTTAGGTCCAGAAGATAGCATTTCACACTCTCCTCCAGTCCTCCAGCTCTCATCCATTCTGCCTGCTCTCCCCTGAGTCCTGGGGTGAGGAGATTGATAAAGATTTCCTGCCCCACTTCAGGCTGAGGTCTCAGCTCTGATCCTCAGCACTCTTATGTGGGTCAGTTTTGTTGTTTAATAAACATGCACAAAATAAAGGATAGAGCTGACACAAGGCTGTATTTGTTTTCTTTTCCAAAATAGGCGGGTGCTGTTTATAAAGGAAGTTGAAATCCTAGGCCATATGTCTGTGGACTGGCAGTGTCTGTTTGAAGATTTTGTGTGTCCTCCTGGAGTCAGTGAAAACCTGCTGAAGATTTCAGTTAAGGTAAGAGAATATGGATCCGCCCTTCAGAGCCAGGGACGCAGTCAGTCTTGCTGGCTGCCTCTCAGTTACAGAGGTAGACTGTCAGGAGGAGCAGTACCATCACTGTCTGTCTTACTACATGCTAAGTGTAAACAAACATAACTCATTTTGTGTAACAGTATTTTCAGACAAAGAGGAAAAGCTCAATTTATCTGCCAGAACTAGGGTGCTGGCGGGTGCTTCTGCCTTTTGGTAAGATTGAGCATTAGTGAGTAGGGGTTTTTCTTTTTTTATATGTATATCCATTTTTCCAGAATCTGAGACTTTTCTAGAAATACTTGCTTTGTCAAGCTTTTAGGAGACTAAGTGCTTCAGTGAAAATAAATGTGAAGTCTAAGGTCCATATGCTCAACAGGTGGAAACACTCGCTGTGCAAGCTTGGCGGCCTGAGGCTGACGCCAGAACTCTGGAGAGAAATGACCCTGTAGAGTAGTCATGACCTCTTCACACATACTGCGGCGTGCACACCTACCTGCCACACACCACACACACAGTTAAAAATAGATTCGGTCTAGATGGCTTTGTTTATTATTTGATGCACATAGAATGCAAATATAACTTACGTGTTGTGCGTTTTCTGTGTCTTTGCTCCCGTCCTTTTCTAAGGATGAACTTTGCAGTTACACAGTAAAGCATAAGCAGGAGTGATAGCTCACCTTTCCTGGGGTTTTGGGCTTACCCACTGTGGACACATACTCTATTTTAGATGTATTCTTTCTTAAGAAAATTACACAACTGCATATTAAATATGGTAACTTTATAGTATGTTTGTTATTGCTAAAATAACAATGATATTATCCCCTTTACTGAAACTCTCCAAACAACATTTCCCACAGAATGTAATAGACTTTAAATAGGTTTGAAGTGGCTGTCCTTCACTTCTCTCATTGTAGACCTTTACAAACAAGACTCCTGAGTCTGCCTGCCCATTTGTGTTTGGAGCAGATCCTTACACAGTATAGAGTACCCTGGTAGGAAACGTAATGTTGGAGCTGGGGCAGACTGTCCTCTTCATATTTTATAGTTCCCTATTTAATTCTCATCTCTCAGTTACTTTTGCATTGCTGTGATAAAACACCATGAGAAGACAACTTTTAAAAGAAACAGTTTAATTTGTTGCTTATGGTTTCAGAGGATGAGAGTCCATGATTCTGGAGCAAAGGCACGGTGGCAGGAACAGCTGAGAACTTACTTCATGATCTGAAAGCTAGAAGCAGAGAGCAGGAGAGTCTAAGTCTGGGCCAGTCTTCTGAATCCTCAAAGCCTGCCCCCAGTTACACACCTCCTCCAGCAAGGCCACACCTCCCAATCCTTCCCAAACAGTTCTACCAACTGGGTACCAGATATTCAAACATATAAGCTTATGAAAGCCATCCTTATTCAGGCCACCACAGTATTTTGCCTTCACATAAGTGTTGAGAATTGATTCGATGTATTTTACATTGTATAAGAATTTTATCTATCAGCAAAGGAAATGAAGGGGAGGGCCTTTTGGTCTTTCACTGGTCTGTCATCTGGCTATTTGTTGTTGCCTGCAGAAGCCCTTATTTTACACAGATAGGCCTATAAATTATGACTCTAGTGTGCAGTTGCTCTCCTTGTGGCAAGGTGATTTATTTCATATAGTGGATTGAATGTATTCCATAGTTTAGTGCTTATATCGTAAGTTGACATTTAAGCATCCAGTGTAAGATCATGCTATTTTTTTCTTTTAGAGAATAATTTCTGTCATTATTTCCTTTAAAACCAGGAACAGGGTCTGTTCCAAAAAAAAGACAGTGTCAATCAAGGCTGTCTTCGGAAAATTTACCTGAAGGATTCTGTCACAGCCAAGGTAAACTGTTGGTTTTAGCCCCACCGCCTCGAGGTTTTTAACTGGGGGGCCTTTACAAGCCTGTCATAGCTAAGTAGCCATTATTTCTCACATACTTTCTCCTACTGGTAACTTTGCATAGATGCACCTATGAATGACAGACTGTGAACCCACCAAAGTGGAAGGGTTGTGGTTCACACTGTGTGGGTGGTGGAAGCCTGGGAGTGTCACTGCTCACACTGTAGGGGAGGGTGGTAGCCTGGTCCTTGTCTACACCTGTGTGGAGTCTCGTGTCCTGGCCTGCCCCTGCCCCTGGGTGAGCCACAGGTCATCCTAGTAGTCATGACCCTGCTTTGCCTTCCAGAGAGCACTTGACGCCCTTGAGAGCGCACAGTCGTCCAGGCACCAACAGAAGCTGATGAAGCAGCCTTCCCTCCGGCTCCTCAGACCCCAAGTTCCATCCTGACCACAGCCTTTACCGGACTTCTGAGAGGGAAACGGTCACTTCAAAAGTCCTGCGAAAGAGAACATTTCCAGCAGTTCCTTGATTTGTTTTTTTTCTGGGAAATCCAGCACTGTGTTTTCCTTTTGGACTCTTATTTTGAGTTTGGGTTTTGCAACTCGGCATATATCAGGAGTCTGTTGCTACACCATGTAGGTCAGACCTCAAAGAAATACCACTTGAGACTCAGAGGGAAATGTTCATTAATATTAAAATTGGGAAACAAAGAGTGCTGGGCTTGTTTTTAATGAGTCTGTACTGAAGAAAGGAGGTTTTAAAATGAGTAGTGTTCTCTGAAAGTTTTAACCACACAAATAGTGGACCCTCTGACCTTTGTTTAAAGGTAATTTGTGCAATAATTGACCCGAGAGAACACTTTTGGTAAACCGGGGAACTGACCAAAGAAATTCAAAGGGAGAGATGGCATGTTTTTATTTTTGTTTTTGTTTTTCGTGAAAACATTTTTCTCCTAATAGGATGAGTTTTACATCGGTGTTTCCCCTCCTTTCCTGCTACTTACAGAATGTGGGCAGTCTGGAATCTTCGGGGAGCCGTACTCCATTATCTGTAGTGAGACCCTCCCTGGATATTGGAGTGGCTGCTTTTTCAGGATGCATTCACGGGCACAGTTACATTTTTTTCTGGGAAGTGAAAACAATTTACTGTAAGCTTCTCAGCATTCAGAAATGTTTAAAGCACAGTATTTTTTATATTTCCAGAAATTTATTTTAGAATTTATAAGACTGCTAAGAGCGCCATAAGTTAACATATGATGCTAATGCATACCTGTAAATGTCTTTTAAATACTTGCTAAGAAGAATGTAAAATCTTTACTTGCTTTATTATGTTAGTTTTTATAAATGTCAGTATAGAGTTGGAAGCAGGTGTTCCCTGTGTGCGCCGGTCAGCACAAGTTCCTGTCCTTCCTCCCCTCTCTAGTACGGGTTATATATGGCTGCCTGGTGACTCTGAGACACTTTGTCTTCTTGGATGAACCTTTAGCTTTGATCAGGGTGTTGAATATGGCATTTGGATGAAGGCGTGGGTGCTCTGGGCCTGCTCTGCCTGTGTTGAGGTGTGACCCTCCTTTCACATAGTAGGCTGTGCTTCTGAGACGGCACGAGAAGACGTCTTAGTTCCCCCACTGCTGCCCGTCCTGTTTCTCTAAGGGAGGGCAGAGCTCAGTGTCTGATTTGTGGTAGTTGTTGAATTTCCAATTAAATTCTTTACCCCCCAACCTTCTTCTTTCTTTCTTTTGATAGGGTCTCACAATGTAGCCCAGGCTGGCCTTTAACTCACTGAGAACTGCCCACCTCTGCCTCCCAAATTCTGGGATTAAAGGTGCACGCCACTCCGCCTGGCTTAATACCTTTATTCCTGTTAAGAAAATCATCACATGTGAAATGCATAGCTTTAAACCTAATTGAACTTTCTAGAACTAGAAGCCGGAGATAAGTCTTCTAGCAAGTCCAGCAGCATCCTGTGTCTTTAAAAATGACTTAACCAGGAATTTGAATATCTGATTACATTTTTTCATGTTAACCATAGCTGTTGATGGTATCATAAATATTTCCGGCATTATTTTGCACTGGTGGTTTATTCCAGAAACAGGTATGCAGGTCACTGGACTGAGAACAATTAAATCTATAAACCTACTGTCTTAGTTGATTACCTTCAAGTATCTGTGACTTTTTTGTTTGATGCAATTTCCTCGGACAGAAGTAACCCACTGGTTGGATGTAATTAGGTATAGTGTGTTTTTAAAAATGCATTTAGAGGCAGTGACTTGCTTATAAAGTTCTGAGAGAAATAAAGCATTTGGTACGTTGCTTACATGTTGAGGTCTCTGTGTTAAATACTGAAGTCACATTCTCTTCATGTCTTCTTTCCCCTTCCCTCTTCTGATCCCATGCCAACCAGAAGATAGGTGAAAGGCAGGGGCTTTACACAGTGCTGGTGAGGGAGAGCCTTTTCCAGGGTGCTGAGCCCCTTCCCACACTGGAACTGTGTGGCCCGGCTGCAGCACTGGGGAATGCACAGCCGCATTGCACTGAGCTCTCAGCCCCCTGGGGACTTCCTGGGAGACAGAATTCATGGTGGCAGACTTGCCTTTTTGGTGGTTTTGCAGATCTGGACTGCTTCTCCTTAATCCCTTGCAGTCCCCTTAGTCTTTCCATTCCTGGCTCCCCACCTCTCCCACTGGGCACTCATCGGACCCGTCTGAAAGCCCATCCAGCACAGAGTATGGGATAGGAAGAGCAGGCTCGCACAGGGCCTGTAGCAAGGCAGAGACATCAAAATCCAAAGAGACAAAACACTGAAGAATACACTAGGGCTTTCTAAGAAAATGCGATCTGGGATCAACATCCTGCCTATGCTTATTGGGTGAGTGTTTTATATTGAATTATGTATGAGTGAATACCAGTGTCTTTAAGTCTACTGATGTGGGGTGCTCCCTGGCCATCTGTTTTGTTTGTTTCTTTTAAACAAAGCTCCCATGTATGATTCTAAGGCACAGGCAGAACTACAAAGTGATAATCTGACTTTAAACAGGCACAGAAAGCACTACAGATACCACTGCCAGTTAAAATGTGGCATTGCATTAATGCCTGAGCTGTAAGAACTATCCACATTTTGGAGAGAGATGAGTCTTTTTTAAAAATGTCTTATGACATTTATTTATTTGGCTGGGATATGTCTGGTCAGAGGATGACTGCAGGAGTTGATCTTGGTTCTCTCCTCCATCATGTGTGCCTTGGGGATTGAACTCACATTGTCAGGCTTGGCTGCAAGCTTCTTACCTACTGAGTCACTTACTGTCCCCACAAAGAATCTTGAAGATAAGAAGGTTGCTCATTTCAGAGTCTTGTGTCCTTGAGGAAGGAGGCCTTTTGATTGAACAATGTGGCCATGATGACTGTGACTACTGCTGAAAGGGGTTCTGGATCATGTGTTTATTCTGGGAAGAGAATGGAACCTGCTAGGGCAGAGGGACATAGCTTTCTTCTGGTGGCTACCATGATCCTGGTGGTGACCATCCTCTGGTGATGATCATGCCTCTGGTGGAAGAACTTAAGTTTCTTTCTGAGTTCATTCTCAAACCCACCCCCCCACACATGGAAAAGCCTGTGCCATTTAGGTATTGTACATTGTGGGTCATTTTGGACTGAGAGAACCTTCAGAAAGATTTGAATTATGTTTTAGCTTCACATACTGTATATGTATAGTCCCTTATGCAATACAAAAAGCTTTGAAAGCCAAAAAACTGTGAGTTTAAATCAAAGTCACCTGGCAGCAAAATCTCCACTGAACTGACACTGTATTCCTTGTGCTCTTTCTTTATGTAAACTCGTTTGCCGTAACTGTTGGTGATTATGGAGTGTAGCCACATAGGATAGGAACCCTGCTGCCTCTGGCCCCAGGGGCCCCAGAAGACACTGTTGATCTCTCTGTCCTGTTCAGTTAACCTTTCTCATTGCTGTGACCACATGGCAAACAAAACAAATGAGCAAACAGTGGTAAGGAGTAAGGGTTTCTTTTGGCTCACAGTTAGAGGGTACAGTCTGCCATGGTAGGAGAGCAATGCAGCTGACACCTTCCAGCTGTAGTCAGGAAGCAGAGTAAGTGTGCTGTTCAGCTTATTTGCCCAGTTTGTTTTTAAGTTGGCGACTCCAGCTGATTGAATTTTGTCACTCAAAGATAGAGTGGGTGCATCGTCTTACCTCAATTAAAACAATCTAGAAACTTCTTCACAACATGCCCAGAAGTCTGTCTCCCAGATGATACTAGAGCCTGTGTGGTAAACAGTCGATATTAACTACACACTCTCAGAATTATCAGGTTATTAAATGTCTCAAACTTTAGGGGGAAGGAAGGCTAAAGAAAAGACCATGAAAAGTGATAGAATTCTTTCCCATTCAAGCCATGTCTCTACTGCATCTTACAGTCCAACTAACAAGACATTTTGCTGTTGAGGTCAATGTCTAGTAGAACAGTGCACCTTGATGGTGCCGCTCGAGGGTTTATGACACCCAGAAGAAATACACACCAAGAATGGAACAGTCCTGTCCTTTGTGTGCACTAACTATTAGCTACTTTCCAGGAGGGTTTTAAAAATTGACCTATAGTGAGAAATTAATTAGGATGGTGATAAAATTGGACAGCCTGGTTCTTCAGGTCAGTTTCAGTCACTAAGATATTAACCCTTTCCAGAGTGGATTTTCTTCCTCAGCATTAATTCTCATAAACCCAAAGAGAGTTACTGAAATCAGGATTCAACAGTATTTGCCAAGACTCTGTTTCCACTCCCCACCCTCTGCCCTTGCTAGAGAGGGATACTCAGTGTCAGTGTGCAATAAACACGGCCAATATTGGCGTCTTGGATTTCTTTTAGAACTTTGTGCCTTTATCCTGCCCCTCCTAGTTATTTACTTCCTCTCCATATACATTTTAAGCCTAACAATTGCATAGGCATCTCCCATACAAAATACTCAAGAGTCTAAACCAACCAGCCCTTGGTTCAAACTCTTTTCCCTCCTGGAGAATTCTCACTCATAGTCTAATGTTACCATGATGGCTGATAATATCTGCAGTATATGTAGCCTTTGAGGTATAATGAGGAGGAAGGAAAAACTTGACTTCTCTGTTTCTAATGCTCTTTTAGAACTGAGAATGAAATGCACCAGACTTTACCACAAGCCATCAGAGAGTTCTGCTGTCAGAAACAAAACACATGCCCAAGAAGTGCTTTATCACCGAGGCTAGGGGCATGCCCAGGAAGAGATGAGAGGGCATGACATCACAGAGTGATGTAACGGATGAGTGGGTGTTGAAAGATGTGATTTGCATGGGCGCTGTAAAGGTTTAGCTTCACCAGAGGGTGCTGCTGCAGCTTAGTTAAGCATGCAGTTATTGATGGTTTAAATTAAGCAACTGTACTTGAAGAGGGCATATCTCCCTTCCCTGTGGAGTACTCTGAGAGGCTTAACCTACTTTGACACTTCTGATCAAATTTTTCCTACTTCACTTAATTCACAGTGGTTCATGCTTTCAAAAAGTAGTTAAGGGGGCATGAATTAGTGAATTAGTAACCGAGTTCTTAGCTTTTTCAATAATGAACTCTAATCATTTGAGTAATCTGTTCTGAATAGCAGATTTTCTTTTCCCTAGGAAGTCATACTCCTGAGAGGTTCTGGAATAGTTCTGAGGCCAATGGAACATTTCCGATTGTGTCTGAAGTCACTTCCAGCAGGAAACTATGACTTGTTCATGCTAAAGATCCCTACAGTTAAAGTTTAGAGACTCAGAGGACACTTGCTCCAAGCTGACTCCAAAAGAACAAAGAAGACCTCTTGCACATCTCCCAGTGCACCCGGGTGAACGGGAGCCGCATGAGATACTGCTTTGTAAGTGCTGGAAAGATGAATTACTCATGACTAGAAGGGTGGGTTAGCATGCATTTCCTGAGTCCCACAAAATTGCCACTGTCAATGTGGCGCGGGAGAATTGTATTTTGTCAATCATGTGTTTTAATAAAACGCCGATTGGCCAGGCAGGAAGTATAGGCGGGTCAACCAGACAGGAAGTAGAGGTGGGGCTATGAGAACAGGAGAAGGCTAGGAAAGAGAAGCGCATCCCCCACTCCTGCGCAGACCACCGAAGAGGCAGGATGTAAACTGCCCAGCTGAGAAAGGTACTGAGCCGTGTGGCTAACGTAGATAAGGATAATGGGGTAACATAAGTTATAAGAGCTAATAAGTAGCCTGACCTAATGGGCCAATCAGTTTATAACCTAATGTAGACTCTGTGTTATTTTCTTTGGGAATTGCTGGTTGTGGGGTACCGGGCAGGACAGATACCCCAACAAGCAAGCCGGCCCTCATGTTACATCAATGAACATGGAATTAGGAATCAACTCTCTTACAATTGTCATCCTTGTTTAGGTCAAATGAATTACTTTTGATTATTCTAAAAAAAAATCGTTCACTTGGCAACCTGTTACAGCTTGAGTCTGTGTTTGAACACTCAGTCCCCAGCCAGAGGAGCACCTTTGGGTTCCATGGCTCAGCTAGCAGAAGTGAGTCACTAGGGCCTTGCCTTAAAGGTTTTGTCTACTTCTAGAGCCTGCTCGAGCTTTCTGCTTCCTTGTTCACCAGATGGGAGGACCTTATGCTCCCTTCATCACACATGAAGCCAGCTACCATGCTTTCTCCCACCAGAGTGAACTACATACATCCCCTGAACCAAAATAAACCTGTTTCCCCTTTTAGTTTCTTAAACTAGATGTTGAATTATAGTAATAGTTACTAGTGGGGCAGTCCTTATATTTAGCCTACGCGTATCACCATATGGCTCTCATCCATTGAGCTCAATCCTTAGGGCTGATACAATGAAGATGCTTTTGTGTGAAAGCTTGTGTCAGGGACACTCTTAAATACAACTGAAGGTTGGGTCTTGGGTGCTACCATCTGTTCAACTCTAAATAGAGTTTACATGTTGTCATTATCACCTACTTAACCCATCTGTAATCTGAATGGCATCAAGTTGTCTTATATACCTCATCTGCCCCATTCACCCTCTTAGGATGTGGATGCATTGATCTCTGTCAGTGTTGTGGGGATCAGCTGAGGCAGAGTGGCTTCAAACAATTTCATATTTCCCATTACTTCCCTAACAGTAAAAAGTACCCCAGCCTTGAAAACAATTACTTACATGAAGTAAAATGTCCAAATGTCCCCATTATCATAATTTATTTTCTATGTACATATTAATATTACATTATCTATTTTTGTTAAGAGTTCTTATATGTATATGTGTGTGCACCTACATGATTT